AGCTATCTAGCTCTTGGCCTGCTCATTGGTTTTTGGACTTACCTTTGTCGATAGTAATACAGGCCAAAATAGGCTCTGCACTACCAGTACCCACGGTCAAAAGGCCCTTCTTGATGTCAGATTTAGTCTGCTACAATGCTACCACCGGTATGCTTGAGGCTCATTAATCCTTCATTAATTACAGGCGTACATCTTTGATATGGATCTTTGATGCCCTTTTCTTGCCCTCTCCGTCTGACACTATCAGCTGCGTCTTGCCTACAGCAGTTCAAGCTAAATGTGCCTTTTTTCCTCCTAGCCCTATGGTGCCCTCTTCGTCACAATACCCAGATATGACCACTTATCTTCCATCGCTTGACCATTGGACGCTGCCTTCCGGCCGTCGACAACCCAAGATAGTTCCTGAATCTACTTCGGGTTCTGTTAGAAGATATTGGAGCGATCAACGCGATCCGGTTGAAATTGGTATCCCTTACCGTACACCACCCGCCCGACGCCTACCACCTTTACGATGGAAGCTCTTTTGGTCACTGGAAATGAACATGAAGGCTTTCACTCCCTGGTGGCGACTTCTGCATGATAGCATTGCCAGTGAAGGCAAGATCCATTCTTGGAAAACAACTACATTTACTTCGCCGCTTGTAGTATTTGTGGTATGATAGAGGAAAGTAGCTATCATTTTTTTGTCGATTGCCCGGTTAAATGGTCATACTGGCAACAAGTATTGACTTCTGTCCAACTGGATCGTCAATTTGAAAATCCTAGTGATCTATGGCTAGCACTTACTTCGCTGGCAGACGAAACCAACAAACTGCTGCCCTCAAAGACCTTAGAGATATTAGGAAATGGTTTGACTGTGCTCTGGAGGTACCACTACAAATGCATCTTTGACAAGGAGTTATGGCACCCATCAGCGCCATTCAATCTGTTTTTGACCGAACATCAGTTCTTCAATATGTAAATCAATTTTGATAGATAAAGTAATCACTTAATACAAAAAAAAAAAGATCAATAACATGTTCACTTACTAGTTGACAATTTCAACAATTCGAGCTCTTTCTTGAATACTCTTAACTATTAATTTTTTTTACCGGATTCCCTGTTGCATCAGAGTGATTATAATACCCATAGAGGCCCATAGCAACCATACACCACAATGTAGACGATTGCATTTTTCTTCCATCAGTCGAAAGAAACTTTCATTTTTGATAGAAGATTTCTGCATTCAATGTAAGAAATCTTCCATCGTTTACGCTGTGGTGCTAACTCTACAAAAAAAGGTAACTAGAGCGATGGAAGAAATTATGGAAAGACTCATGTACCTCAGGCCTTTATGATCAGTGCGATGGGCTTACAGAAAAAAAAAGGCATTTCCAGAAATAATAAAAATATCAACAGGTATGCCGAAATTACAAGTATGCCATTTGCGTACTCAAAAAAATATTTTTTGAAAATTAAAACCATTATTCTAAAATAAATCAAAAACATTTTCTGCAATGACAAACAATAAAAAAAGTAGAAAATTTGTACTTTTTCTGCTTAAAATTAAAAAAAAAAAAGCTTATTTTTCGATTTTTCTGCTTTAAAATAAAAAACAAGTCTACCAGGCAGTCATATTCTTTTTGAGCTAAAACAGTAGAAACATTGTCCGGTAGATTTGTTTATTAATTTAAAATAAAAAAATTGAGACGCAAGCTTTTTTATTAATTCAAAACAGGAAAATCAGAAATTTCCTACTTTTTTTATTTTTTATCACTACAGAAAACATTTTTGTTTTATTTTGTAGTGGTTTTATTTTTTTTCTAAGAATATTTTTTTTTCTAAGAATATTTTTTTTCTAAGAATATTTTTTTTCTAAGAATATTTTTTTTGAGAAACAAATGGTATACTTGCTATGTCGGCATAACCGTCAATATTTTTATTATTTTTGATTTTTATTTCTGAGAGAAACCCATTATACTCATCGAAGACTTCTGATGTTTACAATTTTTGCCGTGTTTTTTTGGCAAAGTTCTGCAATTTCTTCTCGACCAAAGCGACACCTAAGCGACATGGAAATTTACTAAATGTATCTGAGAAAGACACTACTGAGCGTATTCTCTCTGGTAAAATTGTCCCACGACAAAACAATTTTGTCATACCTCTGAATCTCTTTCAGAACCAGAGACATCTCTAGCCCTAAAGGTCTGGTGCAAGTAGGCTGTAATGAAGTTTGCTCAACTATGACTATGCTATTTTCTATCTGTGCCAACAATACTTTTTTTTTTCAGACTTCCTAGAACTAATCTCAAGTGCATTTGTCTAATTTAATGGTGACTCGTTTGGTTACCTGAAGATAACCTTAAGTCATGTTCCTGTGGCGCAGGCCTCTATCATTCGCATGTTATCCGGTATCTTAATATATATTATGTTCAAATCACTCACAACATGCATCCAATAAACCTCTATACATTCCCTCCTATACAGATCGTCTTTATGAAGCATACTAACACAAACACTCTACTCCTTTTAGCAACCGACCAACTGTCTCTCTTCTTTCTTTGACTACAGACATATGTTCACAAGTATCGTTAAATTAAGACTTTCTCCTCTATGTTTCTTATCTTTGTTTCCTTAGAGAGGGTTTTAGTCTAATCCAATTTAGTTGGTCTGATGAATTGACCAAACCCAAAAAATTTAGACTAAATTAAGCCGTATGCTCAAAACCAAATCAATAAATCTAACAAAATTTATGCAGATATACGAGTGTGCCATTTGTGTTGACAGAAAATACTTCTGGAAAACAATTACTTTCAAGTAAAAAGCAATTAAAAAAAACTCGATTCTTTATTGCAGCGTAAGCAGTTATATTTTTCTTCCATCGCTTACGCTGCAGTGTTTACTCTTTTTTTTTTGTTTAAATTAGATATGAAATTAAAAAAAATCAACAATCAAAATTTTGAAAACAATTGACAGTTTTAATTACATTTTATTTTTCTACTTCAAAATTATAAAACATAGTGCAAAAAAAAAAAATGGCTGTTCTCTGCTCAGCCATGTTCATCCATGTTCATCCATGTTCATCCATGCTATTCCCTACTAATTCATCAATTTCAAAATAAGAGCAAGAAAATTAAGATTGATTAAAAAGTGCGGTTTATTGAGTTAACAATACATTCATATTTATAGATGATTACTTGTGTCAGGCTTCATCATGATCTTCAAGAATCTTTATTCCATAGATAGTAGAATTGGTCCAGATAATTCACTGATTACTGCTGTACAAGTTTTTGCATTAGATGAGCCAATCAATCTCCAATTGGCTCAGTATGATTGACAAGCTGATACCTAAGATTTTTTACTTAATTTAAGGCATTTTATCAATAAGACAATAACTGAATAATTAGGCGTAAATCATAATAAAGTGTCAAAATAGATATTGCGTGAAATGCATACAATATATGTTTCTATTTTGGTTTATTTTTGAATGAGAAAAAAAAGTACTACTAAGCTTGCTTGCTTTTTTTTTTTTTCCTCAGAAGAAACTGTTCTTTATCTTTTTTGCTCAATTAGTCTTAGTCACACTGACACCTATCTTAGTAAGGCTGCTCTAAAGTGTATTTTTTAGTACTCAGTGTGCAGGCTAAAAACGTTTAACTTACCTCTTTTTGAACGTTAGACATTCCACTGTGTACTTTGATCATACGATCATTTCGTTCAACTAATGTATTCTGCATTTGGTAAGGCAAGCCAGATGGGAATCACTTATTAGGACTTCTTCATAAAAAAAGCTTCAAAATGATAACTACGAAGCCTAATGTCAGTATGGGTGATATTTCCTATATCTTTAGCGAAAACAGAAAAAGTAGCTGTTCAAGTATCACCTAGATAAAGTCAAAGTTGGGATTCTTCGCCTTCGTCAATATCTTTCACAAGGGCTTTAAATCTTGCTTTACAGCTTCAATTGTTCTGACAATCTTCTCGGAGAACATAGGGTTTCTTGAACTAACAATGTTATATAAAAGTAACAAGCAAAAAGAAGAAGGAGATCTCAAGCCAGTCTCTCATTCCAACCTATCTGTATGCTTTCGAATTACAAGTAATTGTCTGATTGGACCATAGAGTAACAGAATCAGTAGCATAGACTACTGAGGCGATTACAAGCATAACCAAACAGAGATTCAACTCATGATCGACGCCTCAGAAAATTGTTTACAATACTGCTGCAGAAAGCTTTGTAGAGGTGGTCAGAGCCTGTGACAAAGGCGAAGACGAGGTATTGATAAGCCTTGCGACCACAAGGTTTGATCTACTCGAGTTGGTTCCTTAAGTATCTGTCTATGAGGCGTTCGAACAAATGTTACTGGTGTATCAAAACATTTTCTCCCAGCTCCATTTCTCTCAGGCGTGACGAAGATATTCAACTAAGGCTTCAACATGTTTTCGTAGTGTATGCTTAATTTTTTTTTTTTTTTTTTCGTTTTCTTATTTATGATTGAGAATCTGATCAACTCTTATTCAGAAAAAAAGAGGACTCAGAAAAAAAATTTTTTTATCATCCTAATCAAATCCAATATATGTTTACGTTACGTATGTCAAGTTCTTTTGTATCTTTTACAATTGTATCTTTTACAAGTGTGTTTATTTTCGTTTAATCTCTGGTTCTTCTCACCCCAGAATCAAGTCATCTCTTTGCCTAAACCTTGTAATCATGCATTGCTTATTCATGCTCAGTAATTAACACAAGCATATCAACGTACTTAATAACTGTCATTTTGTGCTCCTCATTAAATACGTTAAAGGTCCTGTTTCTTACTATCAAAGATTGAATCCGGATCTTCTTCATACTGCTTTACCCATCTCTGTGCAGCACGAACATGTATACCTAACTATTTTGCAGTTGTTGAAGCACTCAAACACTTATCAATCTTCAGTTTGAAAAATCTGGCCTTTTCTTGATTAGTATATCGAGTATATGCACGTTTTTCAGTCATTTCTCTCATATGCGAGTCTTCGTCCTTTTACTCTCTTTCATAACCTAGATGTTCTACATTGACTTGTGCAGTACTCGTAGAATTTACATTCTGCAAACATTCGGTGTGTGATGTAAGTGACTCTAATGCATAAAGGTTTTGATCGACAATGTAATCAATTGGCTCAGGCCTGCCATTTTTATCAGCAGCATTTCCCTGCCCATTATAAGAAAAAACTACACCATGATGTATAATTCTGATTGTAAAGTTGTGAAAAATAAAAATAAAAATGCTGGTGTCCTATAATATTTATATTTTCTCAATTACAGCTGATGAAACTAGGTTGGGCCAATAAAAAAAAATTGTCATTTCAAATCAGATTGGGACAGAGTTGAGAAAATGTGACACTAATAGGAAAGTGGGACACAGGTACAAACATGGGACAAAATAAGACTAATGTTAGCTCTTTTTATGGAAAGAACCAAAATCAACTCCTTCACTTACCTATTGTGGACATTGAGTTTTAGCAAGTTGTGTAGTAAATGGCGAAGTATAACCTTCAATTACTAAAACAAAATACTTATACTGTAAAAAGTGTGCGTTTTTTTAAGTGTGATCATTAAAAAGCACATGAAGAATTCTAGCTATAATTTTCTTCCAATAATATAGCAGTTTTTGTTGTTCAATTGATACTCAATGAACAAAAACCCTGCATATTTAATAAGCTTGAATATCTCCCAAATTTAACAGTACATCATAATAAATAAATGCAAGAGACTTCCACGATTAGCCACAACCACACCAATAGATTCGGATGTAGAAATAGTGAATATGACAAGTTTATTATAACGCTCGCAGGCTTTAGTATTGTATGAATAAGCTAAAGAGTTAATTTATTCAACAATTTTACAACATATATTATCTTTGTCGATGGATTGAAACTCTAGATTTTTTAACTTGACGGTTTATATAGCGAAGAAAAACTGTATTGACTATTTATATGTTTGCTGAAATAATAATGAGACCATAATTGTATACAATTTGTCTGCTACTATTACTTGGAAAATTGACAAGCAACTCTTACTCCAATATTGGAAGCCATGATGAACTAACCTCCTTAACGTTTTACTTCTTCTCGATCAGATGTGCCTCAAACCGCATGCGGAATTTGCGCCTGAACCTGATCCATGTACACTCTTTTACCACTGGCTCATAGAATAAGACATCCGCTTAAAATAAAAAAAAACCAAAAAAAAACCAAAAAAAACCAAAAAAAACCAAAAAAAACCAAAAAAAAACCAAAAAAAACCAAAAAAAAAAAAAAAAAAAAAAAAAAAAAAAAAAAAAAAAAAACAAAAAAAAAAAAAAAAAAAAAAAAAAAATTGGTCACAGCCAAAATTAAAATGGACTGAATAGAATGCTTTTTTGCAAATTTTGGTTTTTATTTAGAAAAAAAGGAACAAAAAGGCATATTGCAATGCAGTAATAAACAAAATATATTCTAATGTTATGAGTGAGTTTCAATATAACGGAAACTTTATAATACAATTGATAAGGTCAGGGCAACCGGAAGCTCTTGATCAGACTAAAAAAGAAAAGTATCAGAAAATGTTTTTTTGAAACAAAGAAAAAATGACACTCACAGTTCAAACGTGCATCCGACACAGAAGACAGACTTAATACATACTTTTGGCGGTATGCATATATAAAGAATTATAATAGATGAAGAGAAAAGGCGAGTTCTAAACAAGTTATTCATTGGACTTTGCTTTCATTAAAAACATTACCGATCCTTATTTATTTCTATCGAGCTCTTTCGAATGCTAAATTAACGCTCGTTAGTATATTATGTACTTCACCTTTTTTCGAATTTTCTGTTTTGGGTACCTAAGCCCCGAAACAGCACCTTCAACTAACAAAACACAACAACAACAACAACAACTTCAACATAAACGACATAGTCGACAGACCTCCAGTAGAACCTTCTTCTGTACCACTGCAACCGACATCGCCTTCAGTTTCACCACCACTCGTAGACGTAACATCTGACGCACCTGTAACTATTTCATTCAGTCCAACTCTACCTCCCCCAAGGAAACGACTTCGATCAAATTCATTAGACCACAAATATAACTTCGTTATGAATACTCCTACTATCAAGAAGACCACCCCACGTGCGAAGCGTGTTGAACCTTACAGCAAACTATCAACCACTGGTAGTCCTTCCAAGGCTACTAGACAACAAACCGCCGCCCTCATTGCGGAAGCAGCTGTTAAGGCTGCTATACCCACCAGCTTGCAAGACCAGATGCTCTCGTTCCAAGCTCAACTGGCGGCATTTAGCCAAGACAACGAAGGGCTTCGTCAAGAGCTCCAAGACACTCGCTCTGCTTTAGCGGAGACGCAAAAGGCTTTGGCAGAAGCTTATCAACAAATTGCCGCCTTGCAGTCCGCCGCCAACAGTCAGTCAGACTTGCCTCTGGTTGAGTCAGAGGCAATTTAAAATACAGATCATGATATGGCAATGCCTACTGATTTCCCTCCCTTGGCTAAGGGAATTGAAGCATCTCAATATGCCCATGCTTACAAACCTTCTGGGGAGCATGTCACTTTTGCTACAATAGCAAGACGTGCGCCCACTCGTCCTTCAAAACGCCTCTCTCCTCGTCAAGTGGCTAGCGTGGCCAGGCAATTCATACCTGTGTCCACTGATCAAGGGTTCCAATACCTTTATCTCCCATGCAGACGAAAGCTCCCTATCAGAGACATGCGTCAACAATTTGCCCGCCTCGGACTTGATCGTGGAAGAGTCTTGGATATTCACTATCCTGATCGAAATGTCGTCGCCATCCTCGTACACAACGAGTACGCCTCCGCTGCCTCTGCTGTCTTTGAAAAGCATAATATTAAGCCTCTCCATGACTTTGATCCACTCGATCCAACAGTAGTCCGAAACCCAGCTTTTGCTGAGGCTTCTGAGGAAGAGCTCAGACAAGAAGCATGTCGTATCAACTCTACCAGAGCTCTATCCACGCTACAGTACATCCGAACACCTGTCAATGTAGCGGTTGCTAGATCCTTTGCTAAAAAGAATTGGATTACCGAAGAACAACTCCGTGCCTTTCTCCCTCAGACCCAGCCAAAGTCTGCATTACATGAACAAGACCAAACAGACAATAATGCTCCAGCATTTATTTTCTCTCGCCCAACACCTGAGAAGATAACTGACGACTCAGAAATGCAAATTGATCAAACAAGTAGTTCTGAACCTCTCGCTGAAGGTGAAGCGAATTCACAGCAATAAATATGTCGACTTCAAGCACAACCCAATCTCGTAAGTTCCCCTCACATTCATTTACTGACCTTTCTATATGTTCCCTTAATTGCCGAAGTTTAACAAAACCATCACAACCAGAAGTTAGCAGCAGCTTTATTCGATACTTGAAAACTAAACAACTAGACATCCTATGCTTCCAAGAAACACATGCCAGCAACATTACTATGCAACAACAACTCGACTTCCTTTTCAAACCGACTTTCTCAATATGGACTCAGCACTGTGAGATAATTAGCAACAATCCTAATATACAAATCACACCATACTTGATTACCATAGACCAAAGGGTCATCATATGTAATATTACACACACTTCTAACCTTTTTCCTCCATTCCTTCTAGCCAACATTTATGCTCCAGCGACAAAACGCCTAAGACAGTTCTTTTACAACGATCTGATGACTATGCAACCATTTTCAGATTTCTTTGATCCCCTCTCCAGTCCTTTACTATCAGAGGATGACGATACATCCACACCTTCCCTCATCATTGTAGGCGACTTCAACTACGACTTTCACTCATATTCTATCCGCAACCTTCCTGACAAAGAGTCTCCTGTCAATTCATCCAGCATTCTTTCTCAATGGAAATGGCACTATTTGCTATCCACCTACTTTACAGAATGCACTCATGCGCTTCAACACGATCAACGAATTCCCACCTTTCGTCGTGGAGAGTCGGATACATCCACTATTGACTACATATTTGCTTCACCTTTCTTTGCTGACAACATTCTTTCTCATGACATTGAGTTTCTCTCTCCAAGATGGACCGATCATGCTCTTCTCTCAGCTACTTTCCGCTTTGCACAAAACAAACAAGGTCGAGGTCTGTGGCGTGCTCACCCTAGTCTGGCCAAGAACTCTTACTTCATCAAAGCCTTGAATTCTGCATTGGATGATTATCATTCACTGATAGAAACCTTTTCTGAAGAGTCATGCCCCACAACACAACAACAATGGGATGTGATCAAACAGATCACAAAAACCATTGCAAAAAAGATTGGTAGACAACAAGCAACATGGAGAGTTCGTCTGATGAAGCGTCTTCAACGCAAGCGCAACAAGTATTTCAAAGAATACGGTACAGCTCGCATTCCTCATCCACTCCTTTCAAACGTTGAAAAGAAAATTGCAATGGTACAAGAGGATTATGTCAACAATCTTGCTCTTCGTGCTGGTCGACACTGGAGAGAAAATGGTGAGACTTCAGCAGGTTACCTCAAGAGAACTATTGAATCCAAATCAGCTAAGAAATCCATGCCGCCACTCATTCACCCATCATCGGCAACCTCTGTCAATCGACCGAAGAAATGGAAGATGCAGTCTCAACTTTTTACGGTCAGCTTTACTGCCCTGACCAGGTAAGTATGAAACATATTGCAGATCTCACTAGCACAATTCCTTCTAGTGACAGCATTCCAGATGTAATGCATAATCGATTATGTGCTCCCATCACCCTACAAGAACTTCAAGAAGGTGCGGCTAGAACCCCAAGTCAAAGCAGTCCTGGTATAGATGGGTTACCGTACGAACTACTTTCCATTTTATTGCAGCATCCACTTACTGGCGCTTTGGCCGTAAAGGTATACAATGATGCACTCACCTCCTCTAGATTTCCAAAGTCCTGGTTACAAACTTGTATGATTCTACTACCAAAAAAGGGCAATCTCTCTTCGCTAACAAACTGGCGACCCATTTCACTCATTAACGCAGATGCCAAAACTTTTACTCGATTAATCAATGCTCGACTTATGCCTTACCTCAACAAATATATTTCATCACACCAACTCGGATTTATGCCTGGTAGATTCATCGCAGAAAATGGTCAGATCCTACAATCGATACAAGCTATTGCACACCATGTTAATTCCAACTCTATTGCCCTTCTTCTCGACCAAGAGAAAGCTTATGATAGGGTCCATCCTACTTATCTGACTCAAGTTATGCATGCATTTAACATACCCCATACTTTCATTGAATCCATCACATCTCTTTTCTTCTCTACTGACATTAGTTTCAATATCAATGGTCATATCTCTTCCACAACAGTCCAACAACATAGAGGTCTCCGACAAGGAGATCCACTCAGTCCTTTATTATTCAACATTGCTTTCGACCCATTCCTTCGTTCTATTCAACAAAATCCTAATATTCAAGGTTTTGACTTTCAACTAGAAACCAAAAACCATCATCCGCCATCCTCCGTATCACTAAATGACCTCTCACTTTCCTTTCAACAACTACAACTAGACAATCCCTCATCTCCATCCTTCTCAGCACCACCTGTCAAAGTTCTCGCCTATGCCGATGATACACTCGTTTTACTTCATAATCACCAAGACCTTCTATGCCTTCAACAATTAATTCACAATTACATGCTAGCCTCCAATGCTAAACTCAACTTCAACAAGACTACAGCCATTTCGCTGTCAGGTAAACCTAATCCAAGATGGAAGTACTTTTTAGCTTCACAGAACATTACAACTTGGCATGACAACACCTCGCCTGAAGCAGTTAGTTATCTTGGTTATCCAATTTACTCCAGTCCCCATCAACGAAACTCACATATCGATAAATTATTCCGAACCATCCAGCAAGCATGTCTCATACACAGCACTAGAAATTTATCTGTTAGAGGCAGAGCTACTGTCCTCAATTCACTCATTCTATCACGACTATGGCATGTACTTCGCCTGCTTCCTCTCAACAAAACACAACAAAACACATTGCAACGCCTCATCACTTCCTTCATCAACAGTCGCCGCTTTGGTACCATTCCTTTCTCAACACTCATTTTACCTCGTTCTCAAGGTGGACTTAGCGTCATTGATCCTCATCTACAACAGAGAGCTCTTCAATGGCGATGGGTCTACCCTTTATTAGTTCCTCACTCTTTTGCTGTTTCTTTACCTTCGCTTCCTTATCTCCAATTTACCCTCTCTTTCTTCCTTTGTTCCCCACAATACCCTACTTACCACTGGCCTTTGTTATTCCCCTTTATACGAAAAAAACTTTCTATTGACATTCCTTAATTCAACCGTATTTTCTTAGCTATAGATTATCTACCCCACAACTTCTCCAATTGTCATGTTCCCCTTCACGTTTGCCTTCGCCTTCCACTTCCTGAACTTCTACATTCTATCTATCCTTCTCCACCTCCATCCAACCCTCCTATTTTTAAAAATGAATACTTCAAACACAATCCCAGTATGCTAGCCTTAACAGGTAATCACATTTTTGTTTTTGATTCTTCTAGTGAATGCCTTCGGTTTCGCTCTCGGCAAGAAGTCCCTCGTTTTGAATCGGCCACCTACCGCGCTTTACTACACTTTCGTCAAAAAAAGCTCTTCTTCAATCCCTTTGTCCTGTCACTCTTTTCTCCTGCTCCTCGTGTTTCTTCCTTTTCTATTCTTCCTTCAACCTCTCACATTAGTCCCACTGATTTACAGACATTCATTTCAACCCTTACATACTCTCAATTCCCCATTACATCTTCCACTCATTCTTATCGTAAATTATGCCATAGCTCCTCCCCTCCTATACCGCCTGATCCCCGCCTATCGCCTAACTGGAAACGCTTTTGGTCTCTCAATATCCCTCTCCCTGCTCGCAATGTCCTCTACAGGATGCTTCACAACAAAGTCAACAACCGTTTTCACCTACATCGTCTTATGCCCCATACACTTCCTAATAACTTTTGTATCCACTGTCCTTCAAATCTCATTACTTCCATTGATACCCTTGATCACTTTTATTTCCTCTGCCCTACCAAGTATGATGTTTGGTCTCATGTCTTCTCCAAGTACATCAATCCCAACATCCGTGCACCTTCGGTCAATCTCCTACGTCAAGTCCTCCTCCTTCGGGTTGTTATCCCTCGTGTTTCTCTCCTCCATTTTTCTTCCTTAAGTACCTTCCAAATCTTTGCATGCACTGCTCTAGCCCTCTGGCAAGCTCACTGGCAATCTGTTTTTTCTGAAAACCCATTCCTCTCCAAAACTATAACCAAGACAGTTTTCCGCTTAGCAAATAAGCTGCATGATGAATCCCGCCTTGATTATGAACCGTAAATTCTCTCCTCCGCTTTCCTTTCCAGTTCCTCTCTCACTACTCATGATGTTCTCTCCATTTCAAGTATCTATCAAGCTCTCTTAAACTCTTATTCTTTTCTCAATTTCTTCTACCATAGGCTCATTTCCCTTTCCTTAGTCTAGTTCTTATAATACCACAGTCTTTTCTTCCACTCTTTTGACGTCTAAAGGACTTAAAATAAAATTGGAGCAAGTCTCCCTTACAAAAAAAAAAAAATTATGTACTTGTTTTGGATAATACATGTTATAAACTAGTTACTGGGTTCACAATTATTGCGATAAGAGTAAATCTTCTGGAATATAATAAATATACTGTTAATTAAGATTGCCAAAAAAAAAAGGCTTGCTATAATTATTTACGATCATTGCTTTACTGAAATAAGAGTTTTGTAAAAAAAAAGAAAATGAAATAAAGTGTAAGAGAAGAGGAAAAAAAGGCATCTATTATTAATCTTCTTACTTTTTGCTCAAAGAAACCCGTCAGATCGATTGGTAGTTATATAATCTAAATAACTTCAACAACATTAGACAAAGTTAAACAATCCTTAAAAATACCCTCTCATATATCATTTTATTAGCGGTTTCTAAGTAAAAAGTCAATCATAAAATGATATATGAGAGGATGTTAATACTTTTTTTTTATGATCATATCTTGACTTGGGATGAACTTTAAAATCATATTTTGAAGTTACTGGTTTTCCCCGGTGTATATTTTTAATACTATTTCATTACGCCAAAAGCATTTTTGAAAGAACTAGCTACTAAGAAGATCGAGACAAACCTGGAAAAAGCAGGGTTACAAGGTAAAGGACTTGTTGGCGATGTAGAAAGTCTACAGGTAGAGTCAAAAAGTAACCGAAAAAATGTAATTTTATTGGTTAATACGATATTACTGATAAAACCCTACAACTTGAACTCTACAAGTATTTGACTCTCCCTGAAGAGAATGGTTTTAGACCAAATAATAAATCAAAATTTTTTCTTTTTTTTATTTTGTTCCTTTTTATCAAAAAAAACAAACAACATGAGACCAGTACTCTACCCAGCAGCCGAAGAGTTAATACGAAACAAAAAACAATTGAAACTCGAAGAAGGAGTGCAAGAACAAAGAAATACGGGTGATCCAGCACGAAGAAGAGGTAAAACTTAAAAGAATCGTGTAATATATTATCTAAGCCATTTTATAAGTCAAAAAAGAAAAGACACATTCAAAGAAAAGAGAGCTAAAGCGGACGCAAGAAAACGAAGAAAGGAATCAGAGGCGGGGTCTTCATCAAGAGCTAATACCGTGTGTACATCTTGCGGGCAGTCAGGGCATACACGTGCTACCTCGCGAGATTGTCCCAATCACGAATTCAGCATAAAAGAGCTTTTAGAGAGAGCATTTCCTAACTACCATCAAAGGTACACAACGTCTTTAACTCTCAAGTTGTTCCTGAGGCATAAACAAGAAGACCCCAATAGACTAGAGCGTTACCAGAACATAATCGTTAGACAGTCTACTTTCCTTCGTGCTGTCATCTATCAGGCGCAAATATTTGTTAATTACTATTTATTAGTACACTCAAACAGTGTGGAACATATCTCCAAATATATCTTTAATCAACTCTTTTGCAACATCAATATTCATCAACTCCAAGACTATTATCCATCACTTCTCTACCTCGAGGCAATTTCCAACCGTTTACAAGATCTGGAAAATGTTAATATGCTTGTACAAAAAGGTGAATTGGTGGGCTATGACCAAATAGTATCGTCTGCATGTGAAAGTTTAGTAACTGCCTACAGTAATTTCTATGTTAAAAATTATAAAACTTATGTTGGAAAATCAGATATCCTGTAAGTACTTACTTCACATGAAAAAAGTTTAAAAATCTAACCAATTTTATTAGGATATGAACATGTCCGTCATAAAAAAAAGATTACTTACCGTTATATCTTGGACGAGGTGCTGACGAACGCTACCAGATCTGATTTGCCTGAAGACTTTTTGACTCAAAATGAACTTGATAACGCACCAGACCTTCAACAGTTCTTGAACACCGAAATCCAGCCCATTAAAAATAGAATACCTTACTTACCCTGTTCAAGGGAGGCAGTAACCACTAACCCGTTGTCAGTTTTGAATGTGGTGAAACATATACTGTAATACTATGAACAAATACAAGAGACACTGTCAGAAGAGCAACGACCTCGCTTGTTTTCGCTTTTCCCGAACCCGAGTTCCAAATGGCGCTTCACTAAAATTGACCGCGAAAATATTGATGTTCTTTTTCATGAAGCCAAAATCCCAAAAGAGAATGATGAGAGTCAATTTTCACTTGCTGCACGACGCTTTTTTGATTTATTTGATTTTACGAAATTGAAGATCCACAGGTAATCTTACACTTCTAAATGCACCAAAAAAGGCAGCTAATATATCATTTATGATATATAACAATAGCCTACTAGAATTACAATTACAAAGACAGAAAGGGAAAATGTTTCTCAATAGTTTATATACGGATGGCTATACCTGTCGTGTCAATTTCGCGAGAAATATACCTCAAGTTCCAAACGAAGATAAAGCTTAGTGACTTTAACCAGGGCGAAATCAATGATCACTTCAATCCTTGTTTCTTGGGCCCCAATAGAAACAGTCCCTATGTCGCCTATTATGGTGAGAATCAAGTCAGGAAACTGTCTAGCAAAGAATACTATTCCATGTCAGGATCACCTAACCGATCAGAAAAAAAAGATCAGTTGAAGACAGTACAAGGGCTAAAGAAGCTGGAGACAAGAATTCCCATCCCAAAAACATCAAGCGTGGATAACTATGAGATACATGTAAATTACATGATGACACACCTGCCCAATTTTTTTGGTTTCTACAGCTTCCGGACGGCCTCAATCAGATGGAGAAACTACGTTGGCCGACAATGTGCCTTAGATGAAGCTGTTAATATTTTGTTAAGTGGCGGCAAAAAGTACAATCCAGCAAAAAGGAAAAGAACAAAGTCCAACCGACGATAAAGAAAGAAAATGCTCAACAGGCGAAATCCAAGGATTCCCCACCTCCCAGTTGATATAACGTAACATAACTGTATTCTATCTACTTATAGTGTTTATATATTAAGCTTCTTCCAACTTAGACGGCCCTTAAACAAGAATAATTCTATGGGAATGGATGGGGAAAAAATGTTTTTAATAATCTTTGGTAACGGCATGAAAGGAAAAAGCCATGTCAGATTCAGAGGAAAGCGTGTCGGTGTCTCTGAAATTATATACAGACATTTAAAAAGACGAGAGAAGTTAGGTGAGCTATCAGTGTTAGACATAGACGAATTCCGTACGTCATCTGTAAGTCTTTTAACATACTGTTAAATTGCATTGACTCTGAATATTCTTGTGCATAAAATACATAGTTTTGTGACACATGCCACCAGATGAACGTTCGCAATCACCGTGATCAAGACATATCATTCCATAGTATATTAATTTGCAACAATTGTAATATATATTGGAATAGGGATGTTTTAGCAAGCAACATGGCATATATTTCAGCACAAATCTGGTCTGGAAGTGGATGACCAGTTATTTTTTCTCGGCCTAATAGGCAAAGCGCCACATAGAACGTGGTTGTTTGTTGCCCTTTTGGTGACTAACTTAAAGATACTACAGGTAGGAAACAAACAATTATATTTGTATTTCTAATTTGGAAATGACCAAAAAAAATGATTGGCCCAACCTAGTTTCGTCGGCTGTACTCAGTGACAAGATTTTCAAAAAATGCGACTTTTAATTTTTATTGGCTTGCGACATTGATTTCTACTAGCTGCGACATTACTTTTCGGAAACCTTGTAAACAGAATGATAGTGTGCCATCATTCAAACTCAGATGCACTCAGCAAGTTTTCAGAACTATCTCTTAGGGCGTGTATCTACCCAAACAGCATAAGCAAATGAAGAAGTCTGCATGCTTCCTATTCAACTAGCTCATCAAGCTAATTTAATATCAATAGTCTCTCACAAGGATATTAACTTACATGACTGCATTAGACTGATTTTTGATTGTCGCTAAGGCCAATCCAGAGATCTTTCAATAATTAAGCTTTCATAGATGTATTAATGAGTTCACTTATTGGTTTGTTTGCTAAAAGTATTCTTTTTGGCGTATGTTTGTCACTCATTTCATTCATAAAATCATCATTCTCTTTTGTTGTGTATTTACAGCTTTTATTCTACTATGTTACAATGCAATAAAGTGTATGCATGGCTATATATAAAGGCAATGGTGTTGTTACTCGTACGAAGGTAAACCATCGTTTACTTGGTTTAACTCTAAGGAATGATAAGAAGGTAAAAGACTACAAGGTGCACCTTGATCTCTATTTACTGAAGGTCGATATCCAAAGTAATCATCCAGTGTAGTTTGATGAGGAGTAAGAGGATAAGCCTCATCAACAGGTGAATACGGTGAATTGGGATCTGAATAGGGCAAAGGTGAATAAAGTGCAGATCTCCAAGCATTCTCGTATGTAGGCAATTCATTTTCTTGTTCTGTATCTTCAATCTTTTGGTTAATAATATCAATAGGCATTGTGGCTCTTAGTTCTGAAATAGTGCCCTCTTTGTTGATTAAGGACATGGTAAACTTGAGCTTATGTTCTATCTTGAAGAATTGGTTGTGCGTATCACACTGTATCGAATCAAATGAATGTGGTACAGTCATGATTTCGGTCTTGTGCCAGTGTAACCCATCGGAAGGGAATGATTCATCTCTAAAGAAGCGAATGATTCGTGATTCTGTATGGTGAATGCTTGCTGTACCACCTAACACGAAAGTTGTGTACTCTTTAAGGAAAACCGACAAATAGCGCACATGGAGTCCAGAGTTGAGTTTTGGGAAGAGTGAGACGTCAATAGAGATTTGTTCGCCTCGACTATAAATTCTCTTGGGCACAGATATCTTGTAGTCTAGTTTATCTGTCCATTCGTTTGATATTTGCATTGGAATATTGGACATGTGGTAAGATGGGGTGAATTGACGAGCAACTCGAAGGGATTGACGGTCAATTAAATTGGGTGAAAAAGCAGGTCGGTCAACAACAGCTTTGAGTTTGTACGACACAGAGCCGTACGAATAAGATTCGATGGTTTCTGCTAGGTTTCCAGGAAAGACATACTCAAAAGGATATTTGTAGGTGTTTGGTGTTAATGTATGGAGCTTCTTTTGATGTGATAAAAAGTGCCAATCGTTTTCTAAGATGTTGAATTCTTTCTTGTGCTGGTGATTGCCTGCAGAAATCAATAAACAAATGAACATGTAATCATATCGTCAACATACGTTCATTCCATTGTATCTTTATTCTTCCTACAAGATTTAAACTGACTGATTTGACCTTCATACTTTCTTTTACATGAAGAACAACACAACCACGCAATACACAACCAACAGACTCTTCAGGGCTTCCACGCATAATAAGCGTATCGTTTTCTACATGTATTTTGAGTTGATGTAACATTTATTCTGTAAGATACAAAAAGAAAACAGAAAGAGATGAAAATGAAATTTAAGGTTGTGCTGCTCTTTTTATGCGAACAATAAAAAAAAAATTTTTTTATAAGTCTAGATTTTGTCTTACTTGGTGTGACAATCAATGTGTAAATGATTTACTATCAAGAGTCATCTTATTTTAATATTTACATATCCTGCAGTATTTACTGCTTAAGGTAATCTAAAATTGTACGCTTATACAAGACCCGCATCTGTCATCTTCTTGGCTTTTTTAGCACGATATGCTTCGATAACCATATCTCTTTCATTCTCTAGTTGGATACGGGCAGCAGCACTCATGTTCTGCAACTTTCTCTTGTGTGACGCCTTTAGTGCCTTCATATTTTCATCTTCTTCTGATTCATATCCTGTATCCTTCTTTTGTGTTGCTGAAAGAACTTGGTTATTCTTTGCTTGTAAAGTCTATATATAGTATATTAGATGCCAGATCACACAATACACAATATTACCTCTTTGCCACGTCCGCGTGCTTTTGGTATTTTGTTGAAAACAGGTGGTGCATCGGCTACTTCACCAAACTTGACATTATCCTTCAAATCATCAAAATCACGTCCACCATACATGTCCAATTCTTTTTGACGCTTGGTAACTTTCTTTTGCTTCCTGAGTTCCTGATTACGCTTCTTTCTGTTGCTGACTGGCTTAGATGCTTTTTGTGCTGAAAGGACATCTGATTGATATTCATTCTCTACTCTTCGTACAAAGTCTTTTAGTTTTTCACCGGGTTGGATAGTAACTCGTTTCTATGGTAATGTCAATATCGCCGAGAAAAAAAAGAATTCAAACTTACAGAATTATCTTCAGTTTTTTTTTGCTTTGCTTCTTTTTTCTCTTGTTGTCTTTTGATAGCCATCTCTTTGAATTTCAAGAGACGAGTGAATCCTTTGGGTGCCTCTTGACTAGTAACACCACCATCACCTTTTGATACAGGAAGATCTACTCTAATAAAGAAGGTCAGCTGTATAGATCGTAGTACAAGTCTAGTTGGAACAAAATAGAACGCTGACTTACTCGGTTTTTCTTGCTTTACGGACACTGGCTTTTGCTCTTTTGTGAGGCATTTATGATGAAATTAAAGAAAGAAAAAAAAAGTTGATCTGTTTTGGTTGGAAGTTACGGTCACAGATTAACAGTCCTAAAGAAAATCGGTATGCATTACTGAAAAATAAAGCTCTTTATTAGAAGGCATGGTTATTTTTATATTCAGCATAACATCGCATATGGTATGCAATACCAATAGTATGATACTCAGAAGAGCCATTATTGCTTTGAATAGACAATTTCTTTGTCCAAGTTCTGACCATTGGTGGCAAATATTTATATTGAGGAGAATCAAACTGAAGTAGTTTATGACAACGTTGACATGGTCTTGTAAACAAGTCATGATAACTTACAAGCCAGTCCTAATATGATTGCTTAATTTGTTTTTTTCCCGAGAAATATGCTTACCAAAATATTATATAAAGAGTCTTTTGCAAAATAGACCAACATGTCCTCGAAAGCACTTGTCGCCAATAATTTGAGTTTTTGAAATACCAAGTATTCTGAATCTTGCCAAAAGTGTTTCTATAGCATATGCTGAGTCTATTGATCTTTGAAATGAATCCACAAACCTGTTCTTTTACACTTTTTATGTCGTATTGGTGTATAATTAAGGTATCAGATCCTCTTTCATATTCTAATTCTAAATCAACCACTAGCGATTTTCGAGAAAAGACCTATGAAGATACAGTTCAGAAAGATGGCGAGTCTAAGTATGATTTACTTTGATGCTACATGTTGAACCTGTCAATGTTACATGTTCTGGCACTGTGAAAATGACAGAAAAATTAATGTCTTCTGGCTTATTTGTATTGAGCCAGTCTTGAATATGCTTTGTAAAGAAAAGAGGACTATACTGAGATAAATATGGATTTGATTTCTTCTCAGGTTCACTTACTCGGCTGGTGTCAGTGTTGATTTATAATCTATAATGACTGAAGACAATGCTCTATTCCTTTCTTTAGTCTCTATAATAAAAGCAACTTTATCTTACTTGTAAGCATGTTGAGCATTTGCCTTGACAACTGATCCAATTTCTTTTGCTTTCCCTGAATTCTCTTCTTGATATCTATTTTCTTCTTCAACAGCTTCCTTTTCAGCAACACTAAAGAACCATATCTAAGTATATTCAGAAGGTTCTTTCTATTTTACCTCTTGATCAAGGACCAATTAAAATTGTTCTCACTCGCTTTGATTTGAGCATATTCCAAGGCACCTAATATTTAACAATGTTAAAATTGTGCATGATAAAGAAATGCGTTCTTTGCCTTTCAAGTTCTCGCTTTCGGCTGATAAGGTATGTAGATCACGTCGAATGATTTTAAGTCTATCACTAATGGAATGCACAAAGTTCGGTCCCTTCTCTTCTGATTGAACTAGATTAGTAAAGTTTTTAAGGGACGATCGTATCTCGGAAACCTTTGAAAAAGAAAAGCAATATTAATAAGCGAACAAAGACGCGATAGACAACTTCATACTGTAAGAAGAGCGTGTTCTATATTCACAATATCTTTCTCTATTTCTTCTGGAGATCTTGTTGCTGCCATTGTTATTAAAGAGAAAGAGAAAAAAAAATGAAAAAAAGCCCGCTTTTGGTTCTTAACAAATGTTTATTATTGTATGTACATGAAAGAAAGCCAGAAAAATAAAGGTAGTCTACCAAGCTAGTCTTCCAATAAAACTGCTGGAAAATTTTCTAGCTAAAAGTTTTCTACCTTCATCCATAGTAATAATGAGAACTGCCCAACCAAAAGGAATAAACCAGAACTTGGTGGGAATAGGAGCAGTTCCTAAATAAACATTGAATACAGGAACATAAAGAATAATAAGGGCAATAGCAAGTGATCCAATCATAGCTGCAAACAAATACAGGTTCTGATTAGGTCCCCATAAAGGATTGGCTTGAGCAATAGATAATCTTCTGGTTCTTGTAGCAAGTACATTACCCCATTGACAGATAACAAGGTTAACAAAGTAAATGGATTGAGCTGTGTTAATCATATCGGTTATTTCAGCAGCTGCAAATCCCAAGTAGCCATCAGAACTTGTCAAAGCAGAGAAGGATAAGAAGATGTCACTAGGACCAAGGCCTCTCATACCCATATACAAAAAGAACATAAACATAGAAGAGAGCATCTCCATAAGACCAACAAAGCCATAAGCATGTAGCAAAAGTCGAGCATTCACTAAACGGTCATTCTTAGGCTTACGAGGAAGACGGTCCAAAAGGCCAGCTTCAGGCTTTTCCATCATGATAGCCAAAGAAGGACACAAGTCAGTAAAGACACAGATAACAATCATTTGAAAAGAAGACAACGTTTGAGGACACCCTAAAAAGATATTTACAAGAACAGGCCATAACTCTGACCAAGAACCAGCAGGCAATAAGTAGACAATCACCTTCTTCAAGTTATCAAACACCAATCGACCATTTTCGATAGCCACAATGATACTAGAAAACTTGTCAAGCAAGATCATATCAGCAGCTTCAATGGCAACATCAGAACCACCACCCATAGCAATACCAACATTTGCTGCTTTCAAAGAAGGAGCATCATTGACACCATCACCAGTCATAGCAACTACGTTTTCTCGCTTTTGAAATTCCTTAATGATACGAAGCTTTTGGTCTGGAGAAGTACGAGCAAACACAATTTCTTCATATTGACATACTTGTTCCCACTGAGCGTCGTTCAATGTGATCATATCACTACCAGACAAAAGAAGTGCTCTACGACAATCATCGTTATCCGATACATTGCTATGATCTGTCTTTTGGTGAATTGTACTGCTTGATTCAGAGTGAGCCATATTTTCAAGGTCTTTTTGTCGAACATTGTTGGTAAACTTTTTGGGAACATATTTGGGAATGTCTTCTATATTTCTAACAGGATCCAAATCTTGAATGGTGTGTGGATACTCAGTAGTAAAAATGCCGATTTCACGAGCAATAGCAGCAGCAGTAATAGGAAAATCACCTGTTACCATATAGAAACGAACACCGGCATTTCTACATATTCTAACAGTTTCTGCACTTTCAGGACGAGGAGGATCCACGATAGCAATCATGCCAATGATAGTGAGTTCTTGGTTCATGGTATTAGCCCAGGTAGCAAAACTAGAACTACCAGTAACCGTATTTTCAGGGGTTTCTTCAGACTTTATAATACGACGAGTCAAGAGCAAGACACGTTTGCCTTCGCTAGCCCATTTTGACTGCAAACTCAATAGCAATTCAGTACGTTTCTCTGATAAGACTTCTTCAGTACCATTGGGAAGCAAGATTTTTGTACATCTTGATAAAATAACATCAGGGGCACCTTTGCAGAACAAGACCCAGTCATCAAGAGAAAGTGTAGTAGATGCTGTAGAGAGAGCATTAGCCAACGTTTTTTTAGTAGGTTTGCAGATAGCCATCATCCATTTGTTCTTAGAATTAAAAGGGATTTCAAAGACTTTTTCAGTATCTGAACGAATACTATGGACAGTAGCTTTAGAAGGATCCATGCTTTCAGCAAAACGTAAGATAGCACAATCAGTAGCATCACCAAATACGATACGTTCAGGAACAGGAAGATGGGAAGTGGCAGAATCAAACGTAGCATTGTTACAAAGAGCAGAAGTCAGTTGAATTTGACGTAATTGTGGAACCAAGTCGTCGGTAGCCTTATCGTTGGAAGAGTAAATCTCTTTACAGGTAGTAGAAGTAAGACTTTCAGTACCAATACTAGCATCAGAAACAAACATTTTGTTCTCTGTCAAAGTACCAGTCTTGTCGGAACATAGGACATTAACACTACCCAAAGTTTCAACCGTAGTCAGTACTTTACAAAGTACGTTGTTTCTTTGCATGCGGTGTGCGATTAAAGTGAGACACAAGGTAACAGCAATAGGCATACCTATACAGAACATGAGTTTCTCGTTTTCTCCTCAATCAATGTCTGTAAATATTTACCTTCAGGCACGAAAGCCACAATGACACTGATAACAGCAATCAAAGCATTGGACACAGATAAAAAGTCTGGATAATCACGTCTTAGCCAAGCAGCCCAAGTGATCAAACAGATCACACCTACAGAGATAGACAATACAGCAATAATAATCACAAATCTCAAAATTTCCACTTGGAGTGTAGTACGGACATTGGGATCAGACAAAGATAATCGCGCAATTTTACCCATGAGTGTATTATCACCAGTGGAAACAACAACACCAACAGCAGACCCATTTAAACAATGAGTGCCCATCATAGCAACATTGTGACTCTCCAAGACATTGTCATCAGTAGCATCAACTGTACCAGGGATGGCTTCAGATTCACCAGTCAGAACAGAGCGATCAAATTTCAAATCGTCAGATACTTGTATAAGACGCAAATCAGCAGGAATTTTGTTTCCCATTCTAATGTGAACAACATCACCAGGAACCAAGCTAGAAGCGTCAATAGTCACAATCTTTCCGTCTCTTAGCACCAGTGTTTGTGTGGGAAGCATATTGTTGATCGAGTTCATAACTCGGCTAGTGGACCAGTCTTGCCAAGCATTGAAAAAAGCCTGGAGAAAAATAACAAACATCAAGATAACAGCTAGCGCTAAATTGAGAGGGGAAGGTGCAGGCTCACCCAAGGGCTTCCATGAGATCCAACAAATAATACTAGCAAACCACAACAAACTACAGAAACCTCCAAAGAAGTAACGAAAGAACTTTCTTAACCAATTACTCGGAGGAGGAGAAATAGTGTTCTTTCCGTATTCAGAAACACGACTCACGGCCTGACTAGTCTCTAGACCGAGCTCTGTGTTTGTTCTATACTGTTGATTCACTTCAAGAATAGAGAGTTTATGGTATTTGGCGTTTGTCAAGTCTAAAAGAATAATATGAATAAATTAGCTTAAAGACATATTCTTGCTTTACCTTCAGCTAAATCTTTTTTTGATTTCTTTTGACGTTTGACATCTTTGGCTTGATTTTCAGAAACTGTAATGGAAAGCGTTCTGTAGGCAATGATAGCATGGCTAGCACTTGATGGTGTGCGCTTGAGTTTCTTTTTCATAGCAGCATTATTTTGTGTATCTTTAGTTTTGACCTCTTGAATATCCGAAAATTGGATAGCAGTACTTGGCTTATCCTCATATTGTTGCTTACTGTTATCGTCCATCTTAAAGATAACAAAAAAAAAGGACATACAACAAAAGAAGAGAGGTATTTATACGAGTAGGATAGAACTCCCTTGCTCCTTTAGCAAATTTCGCTCGCATATATTCTGTACTCATTGAAAAAAAAATGACTCAAGTTGTGAGCTATATTAATAAGTCAAAATGTTGACGTCGTAGTCATCAGCACTGCCTTTATTGAATGAGAATTTTTTTTCTTTGTTGCATATACAAAAAAGCGAGCTCAAATCAAATAAATCCCTCTAATTCCCGTGTAACGCATATTGCTAAGGGTGGTTTAGGTAATGTTTTATCACAAGGACAAGGATATTGCCATCTTGAATCATCGTGGTACCCAGTTTTTGATAAATATACGATGAAACAGCATAAGGATCTATATTACTGGTTGCTATTATTACGGTATAGATTTGACTACTTATTCTTACCAAGATCTTTTGAAACCGGCTCAGTTGCGCCAAGAGTTTATCGTCTGTCTCCCTGATTTCTTCTTGTAGCAGAGCAAGTAAATCCTCATCATATTCAGTTGGTAAATGTGTAGAAGCGTCTTTTGGTTTAAAGGCATGTTTTTTCTCTACTAAATTCAAAGGGCATGCGCCACATATTAAAGCTCACTTCTGAGTGAGCCATATTTGTTGTATCACCAACTTTTTTTTATTGCCTCAATTGCTTCCTTCTAATGGCAATGGTCATGCTTTAGTACCACTATGTTTTGGTAGAACTTGATTTTTTTTTTAGATCAAGAAAATTAATCAAAGCAATTACAAAGACGATTGCGTGTGGGACAATGATGTTCTTTACATAGACGCTTTTACTTTTTTTAAGGTTGCAAATAAAAGTATATTTTGCTTCACAGGGTTGTCCTTGAAATAAATCTGATAATAACATTAAAGCTGCTTTGCAAAGATCAAGATATTTAGGTCTCTACATAAAACTTTTTGTTTATCTGTTGTGCAGTGTCAATAACAACAACAACAAAAATTGACTGACATTCCGGGATGGATGATGCTCCACTAGAATACTTTTGGTTCATAGTTTATTATATACATTATCATACAAAATAAAAAACTCTGGCCAATTAGTCCTTCTTGGAAGAAGTTGGCTCTAAAAGTTTCAGATCATGTAAATCCATAGCCCACATGGCAGCACTATCATGCGTCAATAAACGTATTCTACTGCTATCCCTTGCACTTACCCAATTTGATTTGTATAAATAAACAAGTAGCCGGCAAATGGAATCATTTCCAAGAGAGTAGCTACCAAACCAAATCGTTGATATTGCCAAAAATGCAACTCAATTCGGCGCTGACGTTGAACAGGTGTCCATTTGTACAGCTGAAAGTATCTTTGATGTGCCTGACCACCACGGAACAAAGCTTGAATATTTACAAAACAAATAGGTCCAATTACAGGAACAGCATTTAATGGTAATGTCAAGACAAACAAAGCCGATCGCAAGAAAAAAATAGGCCAATCATTATCTTCTTGGGCACTAACAATCATAAGGTTATAAGGCGAAAGAAAATGGTATTTGGGCATGGCTGGATCAACAGCTGCTCCGCCCACTTTTTCGGATATTGCGGATACATCGCCTGTGGGTAAAGCTTTTCTTTCTCTGAGAACAGAGTCAAAGACACGGGTACGCACGCTTCCCACAAAATATTCACCCAATTGTAACGTGATAGCTGAAGTTTCTGCCAAGCATATAAGCACACTGGTTGCTGTAATAAGAAGCGAGGAGAGATAGGAAGGAGATTCACCTCTCAAAAACAAATTCTTGTAAGCAATAGCTAATAAACCTTTCTGAAACGAATAGCCATATCTGTACAAAGGAAAAATAGCAAGAGAGCTAGCTGTGATAACTTTGACAATAGAAAGTGCTATAGGCCCTGCTGAAGAAGAAGGGTGATGAAGAAAATGAGCAAGGCCCCGAAGAGGATAAGTAGCAGTTGGTAAGCGACGTTCTCGAAGTGAAGCAAACATGGAACTGAGAAAAATGTTATCTTACATTTTAGATCGGCATTTGCACGCGTCTACTCATCCAAGGCTGACAATACGTGACTGCGATTCGCATGAGGCACCATTTGCATCAAGTGTGAACCCAAAAAAACATACACACTTAACTCAAACACAAACTTCAAGACCTTCACTTCTTCCTGCCTTTTTGATATTAAAATGGTACCAAAAGATCCAGAAGAAAGCAAGCTTTTGATAGAAGGGGTTGATATGCCGACAGAACAGTTTCGCAAGTGTATATTCGTCATAGACGAACTAGTGTCTTGCTACGACTGCTATCAGTTTCTTATTCCTGTACCAGTGACAGCTTTTGTCTATCATCAAGAAATAAAAAAGCCTATGGACTTTAGGACACTCGAGAGAAAACTTTATGACAACAAATACAAATATTTCCAAGCCTTTGTTACAGATCTGGAGTTGATCTGGAACAACGCTATGCAGTTTCATCGTTCGTTTGATCCTATTTATCAACAAGCAGAGAACTTGTCTAGAAAGTTTAAGGCTATCTCAGTTTATTTGAATGGAGGTACACAGTAAGTTTTATAGTTACTCACTATTGCAGGTCAATAACTGGTTTTTATAGACCTTACTATCTTTCTGTAACCATAGACAGTCAGGATATGATAACAAAGCATTACTTGCCAGAGGAATTAGTTCTCAAAGAAGCTTCACCACCACCACCACCACCTCCTCCTCCTCCTCTTTTCCCGATGTATAAAGAAATAGAGCCACAAAGGAAAAGGTATGTTCTCTTATCATTCGTAATGCAGCTAGCTAAAAATTTCTTTGCTAGTAATTTGTACTTTGTCCATGCACTTAGTGAGCAAGATTGGGCGACAAAAAAACTGCGTGGATTTAGCGATGTTCGTCTCTTATTTCAATGCCTTAACTCGTCCTTCTTCAGCTATGTTGAATCAAAAGAACATGGCATACCCCTACCACGTTTTTATATTGCAAAAAATAGAACTTTGTTGCACCAAGCAAAATCAGATCCTAATGGAGCTTTAGCTATTCTTTACAATGCTCAATTGACACCCAAGCAAGACACTACTGCTAAAAACCTTTATCAACTTCAAGCCACAGTTGTATTGTGTGAACCAGTGGGTGAAACGCATAATTTTGACGATTCTTCTATGGACAAAAGTCGTGAATACGAGTTTTGCCCAAAGGCATGGGCAAAACTAAAAGTGCAACATATAGTACATAATGTGAGTGCTGTCATTGATGCTGATATAGATCGAAATTATTTCAAAAAAGCGTACAGTACGTTTCGGTTGTCAACAAAGATTCCTGCAGATCCTAAAAAGATTGGCAACAATGAAATTGCAAAGCAGTTTGCTCGATCAATTTTAGAGCCTGTGTCTTCAAAGCCGTTAGTAACAAAACCGGCATCATCAATTAACACAAAAGAAGTAACTGCTTCTTCTTCCTCTAAAGAACTGCCAGCAAATAAAGAATCACAAGCATCTGAGAAGACCATACCTACTACGCCAGCCACAGCTCACTCAAAAGTAAAGACTTCGGTCGTTGAAGTACAAAAAGATGTCAGACCACCTACACCCATTGCAGCGCTTTCAAAGATAAAGACTCCTGTCGTTCAAGTGCAAAAGGACACTAAGTCACCTACGCCACCTACAGCTCATTCAAAGCGAAAATTTCCTGTTGCTGACGTACAAAAGGATATTAGGTCACCTACACCACCTACAACTCACATAAGATTAACAGTCCCTACCATTGAAACATCTGAAAAGGACAAGGGAACAAAGGGAGTAACTACAGCGAATCAAGAAGACCAGACAGTAGCTATGCTAGACAAAATATTGACACATACGAAGAATACCATAGAAAAATCTACAGAAAAAAATGCAATACAAGAAGCTTCTGCTAGAAAAGAACCATCAGACAGCCACAACTTAACCATCAAGATTCCTTCGTCTGAAGTACAACAATCTCGATCAAAATCATCTACACCTACAAAATCCTTGACTTCAATTCGATTAGTATTAAAGCAGCCTAGTTCAGAAGCAGAAAACAGTAAGTCAGCAGCAAAGCATCAACCACTAAACAAAACAACAAAGTTTGATGAAGCTAGAAACAAAGAATATGACTCAGACAGCAATTCTGCTTCTACAGCATCTTATGAGTACAGCGACGAAGAAATACCTCGCCATGTTATAGAACTGTCCTCTGGTAATGTTGAAGACACAATACAACAAACTGCAAACAAACCTGCTGTTCTGTTTGAACGTTATCTTGAATATAACTCAGAACAAACGACAGAGGCATCCGCATCCCAGCTTCAAGCCAGCGAGAAGCAATATTATCTTGAAGCATCCAAAAAGCTTTGGCAAAAAATCAGAAGATATGCTAACGAAAAAGGCGTACCAGTTGTCAATATAGATCAGTATAATATCAATACTTCCTCCATCCCTAATGCAGAAGGCTTCTTTAAGCATGTCTTTTTCTTGAATAACGACAGCCAAAAAGTGATACAAACATTCAAACGTATGACCATCACGCAGCGCACAACTGAAATTGCAGGCTTGCTTGCACTTAAAAATCTACCACATATGGGACAGATTACAGAAGTATTGCAGGAAAGCCATGGCGAGATTATTGGGTTATGCATGCAACGTTATCAAAAGACACTCAAACAATACACACATGCACATTCACATCATCGATTAACAGCCTATCAAAAAATGGATTTAGTGATTCAAATGCTCGAATGTATTGAGACTATACATAGTATAGGATTAGCCCATCGTGATTTATCAGAAGTCAACTTTATGGTTAACGAGACTAATACCAAGTTACGTGATGGCAGTCCAAAAGCAGAGCTGTTCTTAATTGACTATGGCAAATCAGCATTTACTCGTGCTGAAGATTACAGACGTTGGTGGGTAGAACAGCCTCGTCTTTCCAGTAAAGAGTATGATGGGGAGACAGTCCCAAGGACTAAAAATGAATTGGATATCTGGTGCCAGCGATTACCTTGGATGAAGTCTAAGCCTGATCATGGATACCGGCTCTACCGCTCAATTCAAACTTTGCCCAAGAGTCGCATTGATACAGATGATTTGTCTTGGTTAGTCAACCCACTAGCAGAAGATTTGTATTCACTTGGTACCCTCATTTGGAAGACATTTTCTGAAACAGAGCCTTGGTATGGTATTTTAGATAGTGATATAAGAGCGCTACGAGATACAGTAGGAGATGATTACCGTATTCAAAAAACCCTTGAACGAGAAGTACCTGGCAAACTGAGTCGGGAATTGCTTTCCAATTTCCTCAAAGTACATCCAGAGCAAAGAAAACCAGCATCTCAAGTTTTATCTTGGCTAAGAGACATCAATGTGCAAAATGGATTGATTGCTGAATGGGAGAGTTATGCCCCAGTGAGAAGACAAAAGAGACATGCAAAATCGCTATCTAGATATGACGATCAAAAAGAACATATGTGGATTCCCAGAAAAAAGAACAGAAGTTGAGCCGTTCCGCTTCTAGACTAATAAAAATTTATTATTCATTAAATGGGTAAAACAGATGCTGCTCTTCTTCCAATATAAGCAGTGCCATATCTTAATGTTGAAACACCACCGGGAATATAAGATCCAACATACCTATAAACCTCGTTAGACTATGGTTCTGTTATGTGTATAAACACATTACCAGATCAACGCAACGATTTGTATAATAGCAAAAAGGACAGTCAAGATCATGGCACGAATCTACAAGATCAGAAATCAGAAAAAAGAAAAACATTGATCATGCATTTTCTTACACCAATAGCAGCATATAAAGTCAACGCCATAGATCCGACATAAGATATAGTAAATGGCAGTCTTTCTTTAGAGATCATGTGCTTCGTGTGAGCCCAAGGACCACGTAATAATGCCACACTCACTAATATCAAAATACTACCCACTTTGTACAATATGAGTATACTACTGTCTCTATGTATTTATACTTACATGTAAATGTAGCAGCGAACTTTCCTGGAAAGAGAGGTAAAAAGAAAAAGGACTAAACAAAATTATATAAACTAACTCTATGTATGCACAAACGCACTTACCAGGGCAAAACAGCCAATACCAAGTGCAAGACACAACGCAAAGGCCATTACTCTCTGTGAAAAGCAGTTAGAAATCAAGCTGTATTCCTACTTGAGATATACCTCGACGCGTGAAAGTTGGTACCAAGGATCTTCCTCTTCCTCTTCTCCACCATTGCCAAGAGGCATATAACCTTGTACTGTATTTGTGACATTAGAAAAAGCATTGCTAGCGGAATCGCGAAACGACTGGAAAGTTCCTGCGGGTGCTGAAGTTCCAGTGTTGGTTGGCAAAGAGATATTGTTTGACCTCGAGAGCTGAAAGTTACGAAGTGAGTTCTTAAACGAGTTTTCTGTTTGAGACATTAATTAAATCAGAAGAAAAGCTGGGTTTTTTTTTGCGTCAAAGCAAGACTATTGTGTTTGCGGCTGCCAAATCTAGCCCAAAAAAAGAAACAATGTCTTATATAGATTAGTTTATACAAAACAGAAATATGTTTGATCCAAACGATTCTTCCAATCCAAAAAATAAACAGGTATACCACAACCCGAGAATTCCTTTGAAATTAGATTTGTAAAGCAACGCGGTATCGAAACAGATCATAACTTGGTACAGAATCTCTAGTACAGCAATGATGATCTTTTTAAAATATCAGTGCCAACTTTGCCCTATAGGAAACAATGTACGAAACACTCATTGTTTCACAGGTGCACAGACATATATATCTTAAAAAGAAAAATACACTTTCAACAAATCTGCCAATCTCTATTATTTATTGATGTATACTGGTCTTTCGAATGATTTCTTGAAAATTCAATTCTCTTTTATGGAGCGTCTTCAGATTGTTAATTTCAACTTCTAAATCAGTTTCGATTAAAAATGCTTAGAAGCAGGCTCATTTCTTAGAACAAATTATTATGATTTCAGTGTCTGTATATAGAGTTTTTATAGCTCGTTTTGCAAGCAAAGATTTTTTCATTGCAAATAAAGATGCATAGCATTTAATGTTTGTCTTGCAGCAAAGTAGTGCGATAACATACATTTTGTAATTTAATCTTGAAATGAGCTTAGGCTGCAGTAGCGTAATTTGGTCTACAAAGGCTTTGTTGGAGGAAGCTAATGATGTTCAAGCAAGAGCACCAGCTTTGAGGAAACTATGAACTGTCTACTGAAATTAATTCATAATGTGGCTAGCAAACAAAGGGGAACAGATGCATTCTTTGAAATTTTTAGCTTTTATAATGAAGCAGAACTAAGTATCAGATGAATCAAGTATTCTTGTATCATACAGATGCTCAACTCTAGTACGAAAAATGAAAGATGTTCATCTGATTTTTGTTTATCTGAACTGATTCCTCTTTTTAGTGACCAAGCATACTACTTGCTCAAGCGCATGGCATGTTAAACTAAGAGCAAAAGATTTGAATTTGCTTGGGATGTTTCAACTTAGTAATTTAGCAAGTTATACACTACTTGTCTTTACTCTCTGTTATCGGTAGAAGCAACAAAGGTACTAACCAATAAGCTTATTTGATATTTCTTTGAACTGATATTTATTAGTTTCGTTCAGAATAGATGCATAGAGAAAGGAGTCCAAAAATGTCGATATATAATCGGGAATTATCACTGTACCTTGTCCTTTTTCCTACTCTTTTTCTCTATTACACAATGCATTCTACTACCAGTATCGATTGCGATATATCAGAAGAATCAACAACTAGTTTACAAAAACTTACGCCGTGCCGAACACGACATTCAGCAGTTATAACGCATGCCAATATTCTCCATAGAGCAATTGACCCTGGAAGTATACCCAACTATCTGTGCCGACCATATCAGCCTGGATTAGGCTCCATGACATCAAGTCCTTTGATACATAACATTATACCAGGTGCTTATTCTTCACCTTATATCAATCGAAAGCCAGTCAATCAATGTAGTCTACAGAAAAAGAAAGTACCTTTATTTCAAGGCAACTTTGTGCTTGACTGTCCTGTACCTACTCGATTAATGGAGGCAAGTGCTCGAAAAGAAAAAGAATTTAGTATGATGCGATATTCTGCTGTTACTTGTGATCCCAATGATTTTGCAACAAACCATTATACGCTTCGACCTCAATTACAGAATCGCAATACGGAACTTTTTATAGTCATGACAATGTACAATGTAAGTCATAGGTCTTGTCTATCAACATTAATATTTAATTCTTTATTAGGAAGATGAAATATTGTTTTGTAGAACAATGCATGGTGTTATGAAGAATATCGCACATTTATGCTCAAGATCAAGATCAAAAGTATGGGATACAGAAGGCTGGAAAAAAGTAGTTGTGTGTATTGTAGCTGATGGCAGAAAAAACTGTGATCCACGAGTAATGGATGTACTTACTACAATGGGCGTTTATCAAAAAGGAATAGCAAAAAACATAGTCAATGATAAGCCTGTCCAAGCACATTTATTTGAGGCAAGTAAGCTTCTTCGAAAAAAAAATTCGCAATTAATCATTTAATAGTATACAACGCAAATATCTGTAGATTCAGATATGAGAATAAGGGGAGCAGAAAAGGGAATTGTTCCTGTCCAAGTACTGTTTTGTTTAAAGGAACAAAATGCCAAAAAAATCAATTCACATCGATGGTTCTTTAATGCATTTGGACCTATTCTTCAGCCCAATATTTGTGTCTTGCTAGATGTAGGCACAAGGCCTGGAAATTCTTCGATTTATCACTTGTGGAAGGCATTTGACACCAATGAAAATGTAGGAGGAGCATGTGGAGAAATTTGTGTCATGAAAGGAACAGCATGTATGGATCTCCTGAATCCTTTAGTGGCAGCACAAAACTTTGAATACAAAATGTCCAACATATTAGACAAACCACTCGAGTCTGTGTTTGGCTATATATCTGTCTTGCCCGGTGCTTTTTCTGCTTACAGATATGCAGCAATACAGAACGATATAAACGGTGTAGGTCCTCTCCAGAAATATTTTTAGGCGAAAAACATGATGATAATTCAGGCAATTCAGACATCTTTACAGCCAACATGTACTTGGCTGAAGACCGCATTCTATGCTTTGAATTGGTAGCCAAGAAGCATCAGCGTTGGGTACTCAAGTATGTAAAGAGTGCCTTTGGAGAAACAGACTGTCCAGATCAATTACCAGAATTTATTTCACAACGAAGACGATGGCTCAACGGTAGTTTTTTTGCAGCTGTTTACTCTCAATGGCATTTTTCTCGGATCTGGTGTACCAACCATTCAGTGGGCAGAAAGATTACACTATCTATTGAATTCTTTTTCAACTTTATCAATCTGATTTTTAGTTGGCTAGGCATGGTAGATATGATTTTTTTAGGTAAAAAAAAGTATTAACTTGTGAACTAGGCCAATTTCTATCTTACATTTCACTTTGTAACAAAATCATTAGCATCTCCTGAAATGGACCCCTTTGGTAATGGGTGGGGGCAATGTATATTTCTGACAACAAGGTACCTCTATATCTTCTTGTTTATCGCTTCCTTCATTTGTTCCATGGGCAATAGACCACAAGGGTAAATATAGCATGTAAATAATGTGATAGCTAATAGTTTTTTTGTTAGATCAAAATGGATGTTTATTATTTCAGTCATTGCTTATGGAATCATTATGGTGTATACATCATTTGCTGGTGCCTGGATGTCTTATATGAGTTTCAGAAAGGGAATAGAGACAGCTGGCTGGGACCCTGTTAGCCCTATAGGAAACCTCGGACTGTTACTGAGTCAAATGGAGTTTCGACATGTAGTTGTGTCTATATTTGCTACCTATGGTCTCTACATTGTGGCTAGTATTCTCTATATGGATCCATGGCATATGATTACTAGTTTTTTACAGTACATGTTTCTGCTGCCTACATATGTTAATATACTGAATGTGTATGCATTTTGCAATATTCATGATGTAAGCTGGGGAACAAAAGGAGACAATGCAACACCAATGGATCTGGGTGTAGCAAGCAAAGCTATGACAAACGAGAAAGGCATAGAAGCTGTAGAAGTTGAATTGGAGAATGGGATGGATCAAATTGATCGTTGTTATGATGAAGCACTTGACAGTTTACTGCTAAAACCGGAAATTATTCGACAGGTAATAAAGGGAGACTACATGGATTGCAAAACTAAACAATTGTAAAGAGTCGAGCTCCTAAAACAAAACAAGATGACTATTATCGAGGATTTAGAACTCGTTTGGTTCTGACTTGGATTGGATGCAATGCAATACTTGTTGCTTTTGTCACAAGTGGTACACTCCATTCTCTTTTGGCAAATACAGCAGAGAAGCAGGCAGTTGAGGAATACGAAAGTGCAGTGGGATCAGCATATACTGGATTTGTACTATGGATGGTAGCAGCCACAGCAACTTTCCGGTTTGTAGGGAGCTTGCTTTACCTTGTATTAAATTGCTTTAATGTATAAATAAACACTTGATGGACTTCAATGCAAAAAGCCATCAAGACATCCTTCAAACTCCGGGTATAAAAGGCAACTAAGTCACAACATTTTTTTTCACTCTTCGTTCTGTCTTCAAGCTCTTCTCCTAAAGAGGCTACACCCCTTTCTTTTCTCTGTTGTTTTTATGCGTATTTCATATAGAGTTATATACCACCATACCAACATATCCTCAGCATAAATGTCCGCAACTACAAGTAAACTCGTGTTCTTAATCGATGAACAATCCTTAATGACCTCGTTACTTTCACTGGACGAACTAAAACTTTCTATTATGCGTATCTTGATTTACTATCACTTTCAGAAACGACAAATTCAATGGGGTTTTCGGTTATTCAGCACACAGACGCGATATCCTTCAGAATCAATGCGGCACTTTTATACAATGACACCAGACTCTTTTGAGATACTTGAAAAAGAGTATGTAAAGCGAGATAAAACTCGACCCAAGCAAGTGGTACTGGGTACACCTATCATGCGAATCAAGCAAGTACTTAAAGAAGTCATTGGTGACTTTCAGTGGGAAAATAACGACCTGGGATCTACAGATACAGCAAAGAATTACATCTTTATCATGTCAGCCTGCCCTTCTAATTTGATTGAAATGAACCAATTCTTTATCTCTCCTCACCCAGATGACAACAAGCTATTGAATGTTGCATCTTTACCGCAATATTTTGATCAGACAAGACTTGAATTATCCAGCACATTATTACAAAGCTACAACGCACGAAACATTGCATTGAGTATCATTGATACTTATAAAAAACCACCTATCATTAAACCACTCGATCAGTGGATAAACCGAATTTCACGGCAAGGATTTGCAGCTTGCTTTGAACATTTTGGTGGAAAATACATACCACTTCGTCTCCTTATTCGCGGTTCTAATCTATACGGTCGATCCTTCTTGACTGACATTCAGGACTTATTGCCTAACCAAAAGCCAATTTCAGTATTGCCTGTCTGGAAAGGCTCTTTCAAGACATTGTTTGGGAAAAAGTTTGTTAACTTTGCACTCTATCCTTCATTGCGCAAAAATACACCCACTGATCTAGCGTTTGTAGCTGAAATTCGTGTCCTTCAAATGATCCATGTCAGCCAATTTTCTTGCTCTTGGTTGGCTTCACAACGATCAGACTATACGCTAGTCCATGATGCTCCTCATACGTCTCGTGCTTTTAAGGATTGTATAAGTGAATTATTCAAAAAGCAGTCGATTCTTATTGCTGAATTGGTGCCAATGGAGGGATTTGAACAGTATGTTCAGAACAAAAAAGTGCTTATTGAAGCACTTTCCCCAACAACAGCTTCTCTTCGATTCTTGAATATTCAACATGTACCTCGTACATTAAACAATAAACCGAGTATCGTAGAGCACTACCCTATTGGCACTTGCCGTATGGTAGACGATTCTCTGCCTCTTGAACTACCAAAGGAATTGTTGACTGAAGAGAATGTTTCATACAAAATCAAAAAAATTCCTGATTTTGTCAGACAATTGGCTCTATCTGATCAACCTAAGATGAGCATAGAACAAAAGCAAGAGCCTATGCCATTGTCTAAAAAAGAACAGGTGGTAGAGAAAAAAAGAGCACCATTGCCTACGAATGTAAATATGCTTGAAAAAGCACTCAAAGACTTATACTTTGAAGCTGTATATACACAAAAGGTAAAGCCCGGTAGAATGAACTCATTAGAACTAATTTGCTTACATAGAACACTATGGATAACATAATCATTACTATCAAGAAATGGATAACCAGTTTGAGTCGTAGTTGTATAAAGGAAGACATTATACGTATATTGTTTAATCATACAATTACGTTAGAAGATTTAGAAGCAAAATACAAAAACAGTATCATACCTCAAATCAAAGACATACAGAATGCAACACTTGAACAAACTTATCAATATGAATGGTGGCAAGAAATCAAATCAAGGTCTCATTCTAATCCCAGATTTGAGAAACTAAGCAGCCTTGCTGTGAAGACAAGAGAGTAAGCAAATGTGTATCTTGCATTTATGTTACTCAACAACCTTGTTAGGGCCCAAGTACAAGTCATTCTTTATTGCTTTATATGCAGACTCGTGTCCAAAGCACCAGCAAACAGTACTAAGCGAGACCCAGCTTTGTTAGCCGAGGATTTCTTTCAAAAAGTGGTGGTCACTCTAACTATGCATGACCTCGGCAATTTCTTAAGCGAATTAGATTCCGAAGAAGGCCCACAAGCAACCAAAAGAAGAGATCTTTGTGATTTGAGCGATCATGCTTTTATGGAAGTATTGGCAAAAAGGTACAGGAATAAACAACCTTATTTTGATCTGACACTTTTGTACACAGATTTCAAGCTTTACCTCATTTGATCCAAAAGTTCAAGGAACTGTCTGGTACAGATGAAATGGCTTCCTCTTCAAGCTCTTCTGATCTAGAAGATGATGTGACAAATCTGGATGTACCAAGCTTTAAATCGGCATCAAACAGCCTTCATGTTTCTCCAAGGAACAAACCTATTCGACAGCAAAAAAGAAACATATCAGGTAAAAAGAAAGATTTGATATTAGTAGTATTCTCTAACGTTAATCAGATACCTCTTCTTCTTCCAGCTCTGTCCATAAGAACTCCTTGTTGTCAAGCCCTCAAAGGTCAACTTCCAAGACATTCGCTCCTATCAAGATAAAAAAGACAAATAGCAATACACTAGACATGTTCCTAAAGCGAACTGTAGACGTTAAGCCTAATGTCACTACACCTACTGAAACCATTCGTGGCGAAGCTGCTCAGGCAGCTATAGCTAAAGTCAATCGATCTGCATTGAATGGTAGGCCCACAATGAAACGAACTGGTAGCTTCACTTCAAGTGCACAAGCAACCGAGCGACAAAAGAAAAAGAAAATGGAGCCATCTATGCTCTCTTCACAACAGGAAACTACAGGCACTGTCATTTTAAGAAGAAACAATAATATACCAAATACAGAAGAAACGACACCTCGTACTTCCATGAATAGATATCTTGGTACCAATCTTTTTGCTGATTTTGCAGAGACATGTCCTGTAAGGAGCCTATGGATATCAAATATCAAATACTAATGGTTTTATAGTCACCTTCTACCAGAACAAATAGAAATAGTGATCAAGTCCAAGTACCGAAGACACCCGAGATTACACCTGTGCGTTATAGAAAGATCATGATGGACCGTACACCGCATCGTCTCGAAGAACCAGAAGGCGGAATTATAGAGGATTTCAATCTCCCAGACGAGCCAACATCCAAAACTCCATATACACCTCGCACAGCAGCCAGACGTGAAAGAGATCGCATTGACCGCTCAATGCCTGGTCTTGGTAGAAACCTGACAATGCGTTTACAAGATATTTTTGATCAAGAAAAAGCAAAAGACGATGAATTTAGTCTCAAATCCAGGCAGTCTTCAGGCATCTTTTTCGATGATGTATTAAACGATAGTCCTATCAGCAGTCAGCAAGATAATAACAATCCTTTTCTTACTGCAAGTAGTCAGGCTTCTACAGCGACAGTATCACCACATAGACCTCAAATGAAGCGAGGAGCAACTATTGATGATTTATTTGACGACGACAATGAAGAGGAAGCAGAAGGAATGGGTGGATTTATGCAATTTCAATTCAGCCAATCTTACTTGGGTGATGAAGACGAATCAGAATCAGACGATGAGCATAATGTGGCTCTAATTTAGATATGATTTGTGAATAATCATGCGTAAATAAACACAATAGATAGCACTCAGCCATATACTAAAGCTGCTAAAATGTTGCGATTTGGAAAAGAAACGTAATTGCAATTTAACTCGCAAGCCTAAATTACATGTAATTACAGGCTTGAGTTTGTATTTTGAAGAATTATAGAATAAAGATACCTAAGAAAGAATAAGCATCAAGTGTAAAGGAATTGTTGGGATAACGACAAACTTGAATTTGCCAATGTCATTAGCATAGCCATGAATACAAGAGAAAATTTATTTGCATCAACTCTCGTTCGCAAGTACTGTTTACTGTTAAGTTGAGCAAAAATGCCCCTTTATTTGAAAGAATGTTCCTAATTGAAGTAAAAAAGATTGTCTTTTTAAAACATGATAGTAGTCTTTGTGATTCGAGTTGTTACCCCCTTTACTTCGCTTCTTCAAGTCATTTAGACACTTTTCAAGCCAATAATACCCTTAGGTTTTAAATAACCTACATCTAGAATATTCATAGTTTCTTGTCTTTTGGTTGCAAGGAGACGAGAAGGCTTCTTGAATAAATTACATTTGAAATGAGCTTTTGAATTTGTTCTGTACAAATGAATTTCGTTCGAGTTATATCAGCACGATGATGCTTCAAAGAACACAAATCAAAGAAAAGAAGGGAATAAAAAAAAGAATCAGTCTATTTTTTTTTATCGTGTATGCCTTATTATTTAACGATATCTGTCACAACGAGCAATTTTTTGATTGCTTTCTATTTTGCAAAGAAGATTAGAACTGTTGGATACTCATATTTGCAAATCAGACAAAAGAAAATGTTGTGCTTTACTTGTAGCAAGAAACAGCCATATCATGTGGTAATATAAAATAAGCATCATAGCAAACAGGTTGCTTCCTGCTGAAATATTATGCTGATTTCTTTAAATATAAGCTTTGGCTTATGCTAATTACATTTGATATACCGAACAAAATGACGATCAAAACAATCAGCCACATAAGGCAAATTAGTCTTTTTTTTTTAGCGCAACATATCAAAAGGGCGGGCATTGCTAGCCAAGTATTTTCTTTATATTTATTTCTTTCCTTTTCTCTTTTTTTTTTGCATTCTCTTTTATATTAGTATGAGCTCAACAAATGGAACAACAAATCCATTTGCCACAGACACAACGGGAGCCCAAGCTGGCCTTTACAAAGGCATCGGCGTGTCTTTAGCTATTGCAAGTGGTACAGTCGAAATCCGAATTGATATCGAAATGAACACTTAATTAAAACGACAGACAATAGGTCTTTTTATTGGAAGTAGTTTTGTATTTAAGAAAAAAGGTCTATTACAGTCTATTGAAAAATCTGGTAAATAAATATATGTAAATATATGCATAAGCTATAAATAATTTATTTAGGCGGTGTTGCTGGAGAAGGGTACACATACCTAAAGAATGCCATGTGGTGGACTGGGATGATTATGAGTAAGATCTACCATATTAATGACAAGCCTAGTTTTAACTTGTATTAGTGATTGTTGGAGAACTCTGTAATTTTATTGCCTATGCCTTTACCCAAGCCATTTTGGTTACACCATTAGGTGCTCTCAGTGTCGTTATTAGGTAATCACTTTCCTTGGTTTTTTTTTTTGTCCATATTAACCATCCTTTTCTTATTTGATAGTGCAGTGCTCTCATCCATATTTCTAAAAGAACGTCTAAGTTTCCAAGGAAAAATAGGCTGTTTTCAATGCATTTTAGGCGCAATAGTAATTGTGCTGCATGCACCTGAACAAAGTTCAGCAGATACATCTATTGAGGCATTCAAGCATCTCGTACTTTCCATTGGTATGCATTAATTATCCCTCAAGTTATAGACGACCAAGACTAACAGTTCTCTAGGCTTCTTAATTTATGCTGGCATTGCAGTTGCCATTTCACTCGTCCTTGTCTTTTACTGTGGACCTAAATGGGGCAAGAAGAACATGTTAATTTACATCACTGTGTGTTCATTGATCGGCTCAATCTCTGTCGTCTTTACTCAAGGTCTTGGTGCTGCTATTGTTCATTCAATATCTCAAGATAACCAATTTACCAATTGGTTTATATATATTGTATTAGGCATTGTCGTTGTCACTCTGATCGTTGAAATTGTTTATCTCAACAAAGCACTCAACTTGTTCAACACCGCACTTGTTACACCAACCTATTACGTGATATTTACCACTATGACCATTGTCAGCTCTATCGTGCTCTATCAAGGTTTTGATGCTTCTGCTGTCGATATTGTGACATGCGTCATTGGATTCTTTAGCATTTGTTCTGGTGTGGCACTCTTACATAACTCAAAGAGTCAGCCCGAACCTGAGAAGGTCGATACAAAAGAAGTGAAGGTTGATGATGAAAAGATTCTTGTGGATGAGGAGCAACAGACACCCACAAAACGCAGACATAGCTTATTCAAGATGTTTGAAAATACAGATGCTACAGAAGAACAACATGGTGCACACGATCCCGGTGCTGCAGATTTGTTTCCTGCACCATTTACAGGTATTGGTCGATATGCTAGTACTACAAAGAAAAGTCAATCTATCATTGTAAGACATCGAGAACGATCAACTCCAATCACTACCATCCCAAAGACAAAATCTCGCCCACATTCGAACACTATATCCATAGGCAATACAGCTGTTGGAGAAGAAGGATATAACCGTGAGCTAAAATGGAGAAATCAACCTACACACGATATCACCGTCAATGTGCCAAACACTGCAGTTGTAGATGAACTTCATTCATCGCCCACGACTATTTCAGAAGAGTTAGTCACTCCAGTGCCATCTTCAACAGGCCATCGCGTACAAGATCAATTGGATCCTATCACAAGCTATCGAATGCAAGTTAATGATGGCGATACAGAAGACAGAGAACGATTGATTTAGTAACAGTAATAAAAAGAGGTGGTGGTTCTTTATGTATATAAATAAGTATTATAGCATTAAATAACAGTTTGGAGAGCTGTTAAGATAGTCTCCAATTCTTTCTTATCATCAGCAAATAGCTGGTATGAGCCATTCTGCTTTGTTTCTAATACAAATGCATTGGGAACGAATGTCTCGATATCCACATTGACATTGTTTAATCTGACAACACTTGAGAGATCAAGCACGGTGACAGGATTGGGGTTTAGTTCATCTCTATAGAGAGCCATACTCTTTCCTTTAATAACAAAGTATCTACGTCTCCAGAACTATACCAGGTTAGTCATAGGAGCCTCGTTTTATATGTTACTTACAGGGCTTGTGCTAGGTTGCACCGAGACAAAGCCTGAAAGAATGATATCCTTGTTCTTTTCGGCTTCCAACAATTTTCTTTGCAAAGCCTTCTTTTCTTCAGCTAAACGCTCTGCTTCCATCTTTTCCTTCAGCTTTCTCTCTTCCTCTGAACGCTTTGCAGCAGCTTCCTTTTCTGCAGCAACTCTCTTTGCTTCCTTTTCTGCTGCTGCTGCAGCAAGGGCAGCTTGGCGTTCTTGTTCTTTTTGCTTAAACAAAGCAGTTTGTCTTTCCTGTTCTTGTCTTTTCTTCTCCTGCTCTTCTTGTTGTTGTTGTTGTTTGGCTAATAATCTTTCCTTTTCTGCTTGTTCTTGTTGTTCTTTTTGCTGTTGTAGTTCTAAACTAGCATCGTTTTCACGAGGTTCTTGTACAAGTTGATTAGCCACGACTGGAGTAGAAGGAGTGAGAGTTTCATTTGCTTCTACAAATTCATCTTCCTTTTGTTGAGGTTGTTGAATAGGTGGTGGTACAGGACTTGAAGGCGATTGTAAGCTACGAGAAGCTCTCTTTTGTGAAAGACTAGAAGAGGACTTTCTTGAACTCAATTGACCATCACCCAATTTAAGTCGAGTACGGATGTTAGCATCGCTCAAGTCATTCAATGTGGATGCTGTTATTTGAGCATTATGAAGTTTTAAAAGTGAAGCAACAGATCTACTGTGTACAAGTGCTCTAGCTATTTTTAAATCAGTTGTCAATATATACACTTTAACTATATGCTTCATTGTTTACCTCGACGAACACCACTATCAAAACAAATATTAGCTTTTTGTTTTTATATTATGTGTGCGTTTCTTACCTGACTTGTTCTGATACCCAAGTTATCAAAATAAAACGATCATCTACTCTAACAAAACCATAAAGTACTTCGTCACTTAAATGATCACGAAATTCACTATCCCATTGGAGGTTAATTTTCAAATTAATTTGAGTGTCAATTGAGAGTACCTTAGGCCACCTGTGCCTTGTGAATATAAAGAAATGACGTCTCTTGTATCATTATAGCCGAGAATAAGCCTAAGAGCATACACATCTGTTAGTCTATACTCATCATCTCGTTTTGAGATCTACCAGTTGGTTGTGCCTTCTTCTGTGATGGCAGTATATGTTTCAAGAATACGAGGGTCACTCAAATCACACATACTAATAAGCTATACGAATTATAAAATATAAGGAAGAAAAAGAAGACAAGATGCACTAATTTCAGGTACTTTTTTTTTCCCTCCTCCTGCTCAAAATCTAATTAAAGAAACTGAGTTACAAGAAAGGACGGTATATTCTAACCAATCAATCGCATATGCAATAAAAGTCTTGTAACCATCATTTGTCGACAACATTAGTATATTTTATATATATATGTATGTGTGTATATATATATGTATGTATGTATATATATATATGTATATACAAGCAAAATAAACGAAATAGAACATAAAAGTAAAGGAATAAATACTATGTATATAGTATATATATATATATATATAAGTAGGCGCGCATGAACAAGTTGTATATGTATAATAAGGAGAAAATGTTGTTAAAAGAAGGGAATAAACAAATATACAAAAATGGTATCAAAAAAAAAAGGAAATATGTAGGTGTTAGATTAACAAGGCAAAATTTTGATCAGGACATTTGTTTGTAAAGTGTTACTACTGAGAATGGTTTAGTCTTATGAATCAAGGCAAATTATTACTTACAGATCTTTCTAGTTCGTCTTTTGAGATTGAAACTGCTTTACAGCTAATTAAATCATGTCCTGGTACTTCACAGATTTCGCAATACAAACTTGATTCTTCATGATTTTTTTGTTCCTCCTTTCTGCTTTGTTCTTTTCTGAATGTAGAAGAGGAAGAACTTTCACGCAACTTGTTATCTTCCTTCAAATCTTGTAATTCTTGCATCAATTTCTTAACTTGCTTACGTTCCTTTTCGAGTGCCTCTTCCAAGTCAGCTTCTTTGAAAATCTTACTTTCAATTAAGCTTTCAAGTTCTGAAATGTCACGGTTAAGCATAGTGACCTGACGCTTGGATTCTTTTTCAATGTTTTCACCATTTTCTTTAGCTTTTCTTAATTCAGTAGCGTGTTGAATGGAAAGTTGCTCAAGCTTCTTTTGTTGTTGTTGCAAGATTTGAGCCAACTTGTCATCTTCACTAAGGTTTTCGTCCTTCAAGATAAGCTTGGTAGAATCATCTTGGCTAGCTTGCTGATGCAATTTTTCAACTTCTTCCATCAACTTGAGTAATTCCATCTCAGTTTGCTTGTGTGATTCTTCAAGTTTGGTATACTCTGCAGCAGATTTCTTGTTTTCAGATTTGAGGGAAGCAATCAATTGTTGGTATTGTGCAACATCTTGTTGACTTTGGTCTGATTGTTCTTTTTGCTTTAATAACAAGGCATTGTGTGCTTTCAACTTTTCAATCTCGCTTTGAAAAGTTTCGACTTCTAATTGATATTGCTTTTCATTCACACCAGTCGACTTGGTTGTTGATTTATCAGCCAATTCTCGCTCAAGTTTCTCTTTTGCTTCAGTCAAGCGTCTAAGTTCACCTTCTGTCTTCTTTTGGCTTTCAACAGCAGCACGAATTTCATCCAAGTACTTGGTACGGGCAGCTAATTGATCATCAAAGTCAGCTTGTAAGCGACCCAATTGTTCTTCTAGCTTGATCTTTTCCTTGATGAGCTTCTCGGTTTCCTTTGTCTGTTCTTTCCATGCTTCAGCTTCTGTCTTGAATGCTTCATGACTGGCTTTTTCACGCTCAAGCGTCTCAATTTGCTCCATCAATCGTTTACGCTCATTCTCCCAAACATCTTTGACAATGTTATGCTTTTCTTCAGATTCGACATTCTTCATCAACTGATCAATCTCTTGCTTCAAGGTATCAATTGTAGCTTGCATAGCCTCACGACGCATGTTGTGTTCTTCCAATTGTAAGGCACGCTCTTTCTTCATCTCTTCAATCGTAGATTCATAGGCTTCAATGGCATCTAAACCAGCTTTACGCAAATCTTCACGCTCAAGCTCCAAAGATGCTACTTTACGACGTTCATCAGCTAAGCTAGCATTGATGGCTTCACGATCGACACGGTTCATTTCAACAGAACTTTCATAAAGCTCGATACTTTCCATACCAGCAAGCTTGAGTTCATCCACTGTCTTCTCGAGTTCCTTGACCAAAGTATGTTCTTTAGCATAGCTTTCTTTGACAGTAGTCAACTCTTTCTTGATTTTATCAAATGCTTCTTTAGAAGCACAGTCTTGATGAGCAAGCCATTTGGTTTCGACATCCTTGAGTTCTTCTAGCAATCGTTCCTTTTCACGAATATGGCGTTCAGCATCAGCCTTGACTCTACGAAGTTCTCTTTCTTTTTCTTCAACCGCATTGCGGTGTTGTTCGACTTGTTCTGTCAGGGCAGTCAAGAACATATCTTTAGCACGAGCAGCATCACGCAATGAACTCATTTTTTCATGTACTTCTTCCATCTCCATCTCAAGCTTCATTTGACGTTCCATAAAGTCTTGGTTATCAGAAGAACCTGGCTGGAAGTAATGTTGAGGATTATAATCATTTGCAGCAGAAGCAGCAGCAGACAACTGTTGTTGAAGTGTCTTGGTCTTTTCCAACAAGAGCTTTTCACCTGCTTGGGCAGCAGCCGTAGCAGCCTCTGCTTCAGCCACTTTGCTCTCAAGTTCATGAACACGATGTTCAACCACAGATTTTTCTTTACGAACGGTGCTGATATCAAACAAAGACTTGTCTCTTTCTGTAATCAGCTGTTGTTGTTCTGCTTCTAGTTCCTGGACTCGCGTTTCTAGACGTTGGATGGCTTGCGCTGTCTCTTGTTGTTGAGTTGAAAGTGTCTTGATTTCAGCTGCATGCTTCTCCTTGATTTCTTCTACAATGGCTTTGTGTCCTTCCAGAGTAAAGAGTTCTTCATCGTTACTACCCTTCTTGTTCAAGACGAGAGAACGTTCAAGGATTTGCTCAGCCGTTTTATTTTGTGTGTTTTCTAATTTAAGAAACTTATTTTCTGCTTCAAGTACTTCTACTCGGAGTTGCAATTGTTGTAGACGCATGACAGTTTCATCAGGTGCCTGAGCAATGGCTTCACCCAACACGCGCTCGAGTCTTTGGTGAGGTGATTCTGATGAAGTGGTAGTATCCTCTTGTGGATGTTCATTGGTTGTCAATGACTTGGATAAAGCAATGTTATCAGGAATGGGTGTTTCAGTAATGAGCATATCGTCTGTTGAAGAGGAAGACATGAGATGGTAATATTCGTCAGGATTATCTTGAACACTATGGCTTGTGGGTGTCATGGCAGGAGAAGGGATACCACGGTTATAGTGCGTTGGTGTCGGAGATTGAACCATGGGTTGCGATCTACGGAAGCTGTTGCGAGTACTACTGGGATTACCGGAAACCGGAGAAGTCAAAGGTGTTTGAAGAGAAGAAGTAGAAGAACGCATAGATAATGAAGGAGTACGAGTCTTTCTTTTACTAGGTTGTTGTTGTTGTTGTTGTTGTTGTTGTTGAGATAGTTGATTAGCAGTCATTCCTACATAACGAGCAGCCTTGGAACCATTTGTGATCAAAGAAAGCTTGTTGGTACTATTACTATTTTGAAGTGGTGATTGCATAGGCGGAGAGAGTGATCTGACGGAATCGGAGTCAGAGTCCAGAGGAGTTATTTTGGAAGCTAATACAAAAAGACCTGTTTGAGGAGGACAAGAAAAATATCGTATGCTAAAAAATGTTACTCTTTGTTGTTTTGTTTGTAAACAGACACGACATACCCTTTAACGGATCCGTCATTTTTACCAGAGCCAAGTATATCCAGTTGAATACCGGCCCAGTAACCCTCCTTGAATTCTGCTTCACCCAAGAATTTTAAGGTACCAATAATATTCATAGAGTCAACAGCGACACGATCACCTATAGCAGGGAATCGACTGTGGTAGGATGATCGATTGCCTGTAGGCTTAGGGGAAGTGGTGATAGAACTTCTAGGTGTGTTTGGCATTGTAAAAGTGCTTTGTGAGGGATGAGGAACGTCACCGCCTATAAAAGAGCGTGATCGTGCTTTCGTTGTTGATTTGGATGTTCTAGGTACAGGTGGAACATCTTCTGATATCGTCTTTCTCTTTCTCAGGTCCAGAGAAGATTTTCTGGATAACTTTCTTGTTGGTGTTGGAAGAGTTGTATGGCTGATAGCAAGGCCAACCGTCGGTAATCTAGACATGACAGTATTCAGGGGAAGAAAAAAAGAAAAGAAAAAAAAGGAAGAAAAATATGAGGGAATTTATAATAATCAATAAATATAAATTAATAATTTTTTAGTTTTGATTGTACACCATCCTAAAGACTATATACACGCACGCACGTACACTGCTACTTGAGTGTCATACCTCTCTTGTTACACCTTAGACGTGCGGTACTCCAACTTATTTTTCACTCTCCTTTAAAAACTTTTACCAAATCTGTCTGGAAATGTAACAAGTCAATAGATCTACTTTCAAGGCATGACCTTGGAAAACAAAGGGAGGCTTGGAAGTCCATCGTCGATTTTGAATTGAAAATCAGCTTCCCTAAAGGAGAAAAATTAGTCCAATCAAACACATCGTTTCACTAAATATGGTCATGCTTCATTTTTACTCGGCTGACCTTTGACCAAAAAATTTTTTATAAATAACCCAAGCTCATGTTTCTAATCCAAACACCAATGAAATCTTTAGATCTGTTTATAATAATGTTTCTACGCTCATTTTTTTCTGCACTATAAAATAGCCCTATTCCATTTTTCGTCTTTTTTTTTTTTTTCTCTTCTTCTTTATAACATTCATAATTAAAAAAATACGCAAAAAAAAACCTTGAAACCCTTCTATTTCACGAAATTACCCTCTTCCCCCTTTCTATATTACTCTTAAAAAAACATATATTTCTTAAAAAAAACATAAAAAAACATAAAAAAAATATATTCATTTTTACATATCCCTATAAAAAAAAATCCTTTTTATCTTTCAACATGTCTACTCGTACCGTTTCTGTAAAAAATTTCAACAATAACAAGCATCATCATCATAACCCAAGCAATGCCAATCCTCATGTTACGTCATTGAAGCCTATTACAAACAACAAGAAGAACCAACAACACCATTCATCCAAAAAGAATCCCAAGTTGCAGGCAACCCAGCACCATAACAAGCATAGCAACAACAACAACAACAACAATCAATCCAAGCGCCGCTCAAGTAAGACTACCTCTTCCAGTGCTAGCGAGGATGATACCTCTTCCTCTTCTTCTGAAGATGACATGTCCCCCAAGCCAAGCAACAGAAGAAGTAACAACAATAACAAGCGCCATTCTTTTGAATACAAAAGGTAAATAAGGTTAATTAATAAAAATTAATTGACTAACAAAGTTCATTTAGTTTGGTTGACCAAGTCTACGCTGGCCCTACTTTCAATAATGCTCCTGCTCCCAGCGCACTTCCTATCCCTGCTTTCAATGCTCGTGGTTCCCCTATCAACTATCACCAACCTCTTTATCATCCTGTAAATCCCACTTTTCATCAACAATCTATGGATCTCATGAACCTGATTAACACTCCTCAAAAGGTCGCTACTGCTTATGAACTTGAACAAACCAACTTGGCTCTTTCTGAAATCCAACGAGGTCTTCGTTCCATGCTCAAGATTGAATCCTAAAGGCGTTTTACAAAGAAAAAAAAATACAAAAAAAAAAACACAAAAAATACGACAAAGCAGTTGACCTTCCTCCTCTCTCCTCTCCTCTCTCCTCTCTCCTCTCTCTCTCTCTCTCTATCTCTCAATCTCTCCTCAATACGCTTTATAGATTCAATGGCGCAAAACGAAAAAAAGATTTCTTGCTTGTGGTTTGCTTTATTTTTTACATTTTATTTTTTCATTAATTCTTTTTTTCATTTTGTATCATATTATTTTGCTTTTGTTTGTAATTACTTTTTTTTTCTTTTTTGTATATTTTCTTTTTTTTATTAATTTTTCCTTTATCCTCCCTCCTCTTTTTATCCGAAATTTTCCCTTCCCCCTTTATTTTCCTCTCTTTATTTTTTTTCTTTTTTTTCAATTGGATTATCATTGTTCTTCTGATTTTTTGGCAGTTTTTTTGTTTTTTTTTATTTTATTTTTTACTGGCTTTTTTTTTTACAGAAGTTCATGATGTATTCAACCTTTTTTTTTCTTTTTCTTTTTTTTAAATCAGAAATCGATTATCTGTTTAGATTTCTTGATGTTCTTTCCTAAAAGAAAAAAGATAAAAAACCCCTCAATAAAAAAAAATGGTAATGTTTTGGACTTTGCCTTCAACTCTGCGGATTTTTATTTATTTTGTGGATAATCATTTGTATTTGTGTATCTTTTTATTTTAGAAATGACTACTAATGATGTTCCAAACGAATACATGCATTACTTTAATATGAATAATGATATACTTAAGTACAAACCTATGAATATTGGGGTATCATGAATTCATCCAAAAAAAAAAGAGAGAACTGTTGGCTGACTTAAGGCAACACAATGAGCCAATGAACTTAATACATGTTAGCGCTAAAACCGAAAATAGCAAAGTTAAGCCCAAAAAGAAAACCCAGACAAAAGTTAGAGGTCCATAATACAAATCGTACAGCCCTGAGCTTTTGGACCTAGTAGTTGAGCTTTGGCAAGCAAAAGATGCATTACCTGATATGTTTTCTCTAATTGGATTGACTAAATTACCAAGTCTTCACAAGCGCCTTGTTCTTCATACCTTGTTAATTTTGAACAAATTTGAGCCTATAATAGCAGCAAGAACAGCACAAAGCACTTGAGAAGAGAAAGAGTGTTGGAATGGTAGAATAATAGCAACATAGATTGGAGTCGACATGCACATTCACAGGAATTACAAAATTTAGACTTCATTTCAACAAGTATATAATGCAGTGTTAGCTAAAATGAACACATATTTCTATTTACCCTTTGTTCTGGAATGACGAAATATACATCATATGTTTATGTACTACGTTAGATAATGTACCTTAAATTGCCCACGTTTTTCTACAGTATTTCTGGTTCCGTCCACTCCAGCTTCAAAAAGAAGCATAAACGTATAGGTTTTGAGTGTATAGCTGCTATTAGTTTTAAAGTATCCCTATTCTTTTCATTTTATTTTGTTATATTTATACAGGTAAATCACTTATCTTTAGATCTACTTGATAAATTACTGGTTTCTTTGTGTGATAAACAAACCTTCTTATTGTTATAAAATGGCCAGTTGAGACTTTTTTTTTTACTTTTCTTATTCATAAAACGTTCTCGATCTTTTCTTCTTCTTTAAAAGATTGTATGCTCATACAAAAGTGGTTGCTTTTTGGAGTGGATGGAGTGTCTTCCAGTCATTCACTCTGTCCGGCACTTTGTGGATTTTCGTTTGAACATGGACCTATATTCACGCAATGCTTCAAAAGTTCAAAGAGACAGAAAACATACGAATGAAACTTTTGTAGCTAATATGTAACTGCTTGACATATGAATCTTCTGTTGATTGTGTATTTGTTTCATATTCCTGTAATGTAAGTGATCCATTACATTTGAGAGACAAGAGACAAGAAAAAGTGTTCGAAAATGGTAATACCCAATGCAAAAACAACTAGTTCAAGAAAATATTCAGAATCATAACTATTTATTAGACATGCTTCATTCCATCAAAACAAAATAAAGGTATGTCTGGTGGCTCTGGATTACGCAGGTCTTCACACAATCGTAAAGACCTGGATAAAATAAAGCAATAAAGCATAAGCAGCATTCTAATGTTTAGTATCAGTGACAATGAAAGCTTGTTGGAATAATTGTTGACACTTTGCCCTTCAACAACAAAGTGGCAATCTGTAAACACCAAAAACTACTTGATAAGCAACAAGCAGAAACAGACCTCTGCAACGTTTGAATTAATCCAATATATATCTAATTCCTAAAAGAACTTCTGCATGTTTTTGTTGGTACATGTCTATTTTTAAGTCCGATATCCGGGCCGGATTTGTTGTAAGCTGTAGAGGCTTAATGCAGCCTCAATGTATGTGAGTGATGTGGTGAATGTGCGCAATGCGTATGAGATAGGCTGGTGAGGCCCATTGATTGATCCTCCTCTTTTCATAATCATGGCTGCCCAAATTTCCAAGAAGAGAAAGGTATGATCATGGATGGATGTTGCGAAAAGAGGGAGAATAAGGATGGATGATGAGAGAGAGGATATACATGCATCGATTGATATAGAGTGGACATATTTCTTACTAACTTTTCTTCCTCTTTTTAATATACATTATGGATTATAGTTCGTAAGTGATTCATCAATGACAACAAAAAGAAACAGAAACTAACATTTTGTTAGGTCGCTGACGGTGTCTTCTACGCTGAACTCAACGAATTCTTCACTCGCGAACTTGCTGAAGATGGTTATGCTGGTGTTGAGGTCCGTGTCACTCCTGCCCGTACCGAGTAAGTTGTCAAGCGAAAGAAAAGATATATAGACTGATGCCTTTAATATAGAATCATCATTCGTGCCACTCAAACTCAAAAAGTTCTTGGTGAAAAGGGCCGTCGTATTCGTGAGTTGACAACTCTTGTTCAAAAGCGTTTCAAGTTCCCCGAAAACGCTGTCGAACTTTACGCCGAACGTGTCCAAAACCGTGGTCTCTGTGCCATTGCTCAATGTGAGTCTGTCAAGTTCAAGCTTCTCAACGGTTTGGCTGTCCGTCGGTAAGTAGTTAAGAGAGAGAGAGTAAATATGGTGTCATAACACTCCATTAGTGCCTGTTACGGTGTTGTCCGTTTCGTGATGGAATCCGGTGCTAAGGGTTGTGAAGTTGTTGTCTCTGGTAAGGTCCGTGCTGCCCGTGCCAAGGCCATGAAGTTCGCTGATGGTTTCATGATCCACTCTGGTAACCCTGCTCGTGAATTCATTACCACTGCTGTCCGTCACGTTGACTTGCGTCAAGGTGTCTTGGGTATCAAGGTCAAGATCATGTTGGACAGCGACCCCACTGGTCGTAACGGTCCCAAACAAACTCTTCCTGATATTGTTACCATTCTTGAACCCAAGGATGAAACTCCTATCCTCGAACCCTCTGCTCAAGACTTCAGACCTGCTGCTGCTGCTGCTGAACCTACTGAAGCTTAAATTTCTAAATAAAAGAAAAAATAATCGAGCCAATTGTTTTGTTGTTTTGAAGCGAAAAAGAGTGTGTCAAGTTCAGCTGATTTATGGGGGGTAGAGAGAGTGCGCCACTATTTATTTCATTTTTTCTATCTTAGTCTTTCTTTTTTCTTTTTTTCTTTTATACAACATGTACGATAAAGATTCTTTAGCTATTGTTTCTTCAGTCTTGTTTCCTCAAACACCTATTGAAGGATCTTCGATGAAAAGAAGAAAATTGCCTGGTGCTTGGATAGACGAAGACGAAGAGGAAGAGCCTTTTGAAAGGACAGTATCTCCTACAGCACCCAAACTAACAACACAAATCTTATCGAATGAAGAGGACATTCACCTACTGAAACAGACGATTGCTAGTTTAAAAAAGGAAAAAGAAAAATTAGAAGAAACAAACGATATTGTCAAAAAGAGTATTCAAATTGTGGCAAGGAAAAGATTAAAAGCACACAATAATAAGAAAATCAAACATACGACGGCTGATAATGACCAAGAAGAAGAAGAAGAAGAAGAATATATCGTAGTACCAAATGACTTGATGCCAACACAAGACGAACTAAAGGCAGCCGGTATTGATGGTTGGGAGTGGATCACTGCATATTAGTCCTCCCTATATCATAGGATTGAAAACGGACCTTGGAAGGGCGTTTTGTGTAACAAGTTGCATGATGAAAACAAACGCATAAAATAAACCATTTTTTTTAAAAAAAGAGGGGAAAAGCAAGAAACTCTCTAGTCTGTTCGCTTACTTCCCTTTTTTATATATATAGACAGAATGGGTCTTGATAATAGAGTGTTGATATTTATGGTTAAACCAATACTGTCAATTGTTGACATGGGTCTGCAGGAATCTCCTTGTCTATTTGAACAATGATGAATTCAAATATGATGTGTCATGATCAATTACAATCAAAACTAAGTAATTTATTTAAAGGATCATGAAGGGCCTACAGGAAATTGTTGTGTTACTTTTTTTTTTCTTTATGTTTTTAGTGCAAACGCTCAAGTGGGTCACAATAGCCCTGGTGAGCTCCTATGTGATAATAAGCGGAAAGAGACAAACTACCTTAGGCTCACTGTCTAAGAACTATTCTGATATTTATGCACCTGACTTTTATCCTAACGGTACTGATCTAGAGTTACCTTTGGGCACAATGAGGTATTGGTTGTTTGGTGACCAGAAGGGCAAGCCTGTTGTTCTTGTTCATGGCATTTCTACAGGCTCAGCTATATATGACAAGTTAGCAAGAGAATTGGTATGTATGTAGATGCATACGCGTTATAAATACTTAATTACCAGGCAAACAATGGTCACCATGTCTTGGTGTATGATTTATGGGGTCGAGGTTTTTCAGAAGCACCACCCGTCAGATACGATGAAGCACTTTATACTTCGCAACTGGCCATGCTCTTACAAAAAGTTGGATGGACCCATACTGACCTTGTAGGCGTTAGTTTAGGAGGTGGTATTGTTACTTCTTTTGCTGCTTTTTATCCTGAGATGGTGAACAAATTAGTCTTGGTGGCTCCTACAGGTCTGATGCATGTACAAGATATGCCATGGATCTCCAAAGTGGTTCAGATTCCTCATGTCTATCCCTTTATCATGAACCAGCCTTATATTCGGCCCTTGATTGTATCGCTTGTCAAAAGGTTTGCCAAATCAACACGCTTGGTTCAGTCTAATTTGGATCAAGAAACAAGCGAAACGTTGAATAGAATTGCGGACATTGCCACGTATCAATTTGTTCACCATCCTGGGTTTCTGAGAGCTTTTCTTGGTACTGTGGTCGATTTCTCTTTCACTGGATTGATAGAGAGATACAGAAAAGTAGGACAACAACAACAACAACAACAACAACAACAACAACAACAACAACAACAAAAGCGCATTTTAATGATTTGGGGTGACAAAGACTCGGTAAGAAATCAAATTTAAAAGGCATGTTATTGATGTATCTCCTGTAGACAGTACCCTATTACCATGCTGAGGAAGCCAAAGAGCTTCTTCCCAATGCCGAGTTGATTACATATAAAGGACAAGGTCATGATGTTATTCTTAGCCGCTGGCGATCTGTGAATAAGGATATTGAGCAATTTCTTGTAGAATAAAAATATTAAATTGCCTAAAAAACGGATTTCTTTGTCTTTCTAGACATTATTCCTTCATAAATCCTTGACCTAAGTACTATTTTTATTCGTGATTGTAATCAATTCTAACTTGTCTAGGCTTATAAAAGATATACTAAATCATTGCCTTCAACTTGCCTTTCATTGACATCAAACCTTTCTAGAGCCCATAGTTAAACATGCAACATTTGTTTTCATGAAATAGATTACTAAAGAGCAATATGGTGTAACACACCTGTACGGTCTGTTAAATCATCATCACCTTTTTTTTTTTTTTTTTTTTTTTGCACACGTATGTATTTTCAAGTCATTATCAATTCTTTTTCAGGGTTTGGACCTTTTTGCCTTTGTTTTAGAGACAATGAACCTTGCACTGTATATGACTTGAAAAAGCGACTAGCCACCACCACTGCTTTTAGTGTAGAAGAACAACGTATACGATCCTTGGGAGGAAAGATTTTGACAGATTCCGATGACTTGTTGAAAGATTATGCCCTACAAGAAGGTCCTATTGTACTTAACTTGACTGTCAGGCTAATAGGGGGACGTACACGCCATAAGCGTATAGACAATACCACAACGCAGAGGTAAGTTTATTTATGCAATCTACATATACACTCACTCAGTAGACACTATCATCAACCTCTGAGTAAAAAACTTCGGTTACATACAGCAGATATTCTTATCCATCGCGACTCAACTTACGATATGTCTGAACAACCCACTAAGGGTAAAGAAAAAGAGACCCGCAAGCGTAAACATTAGACATGATTTATGGTTAGCAATTGCAAACTCGAATTTTTATCGCATTCATTCTACTCTCTCTCTCTCTCTCTTCTTTTCTTCTTGTTCTGATAGATTTTGATCATGGCTTAAAGTGCTTGGACTATAATTTCTTCAAGTGAATCATTAAGCTTGATTTGTTAGTTCACTATAATGATAACTAAATGTACATATGAATAAAATGTTTTGTCTATACCTTACATCCCTTCAAATCAGATTTTGTTTTTTGTATAGACTGTAAAAGCAATAAAAACCGAGTGCAATCAATCATTGTATGGCGATTATTTTGTTCAAAATGCATACATTCAGAGTCGCGCCTGGAATTAGTGATATAGTCTGTCAAGCCCAATACTTATTATCAAATTTAGTATGGGACTGCATCAAAATAAATAAGATAAGAAAGAGCATTGTAGAATGAATTAAAAAAAGTCGAAATGCTTGAAGCTTGCTGTAAGTGGAATGTTCCTTAGGGAAATTCTGAGTTTAAATTAGCATTTCATGCCAGAATCCGGAAATTATGGATGTTTTGACCAAGCTCTGTAGACCAAAAGACGAAGCTCAAATATCATTGTCAGCAATTGATTGTATGACTCTACCGCTTTCAACTGTTTGCAAAGACTGGGAAGACAACGCTGAGCTGAAATTCCTCGGCAGTCCAACCGCAAAGAAAAGCCTAGTTCAACACTTTTTTAATCTTGACTTAGCAACCAACCGGATTACCTTCAAAAGCAAACTCCAATGCAATAGACCAGTAATACTAGCAAAATCAAAGAGACACACTTCCAGCAATACATTACAGTTCAGGAAGTTCTTTCTACGCCATATCGAGCAAAATATCGAAGAAGAGACTCAACACTGCTTAGGCTTTAAGAAGTATCTGAAGGAGTTAAAATACGAAAGCATTGAAATTCTGTCCCTAAACAACCAAGGCTTCAGAAGAATAGTGCTAGAAAACATTCCATTACCAATGCCAAGCGACTTCAATGCTAATATCAAGTCCCGTCAATGAAAACAATTCTATAAGGCACCAATGCACCGATCCGCAAGGAACATCTAGTTCAAAATGATACACAGCAGAATCCCTAGCAGGCAATCCCTATTCCAAAGAAGAATAAAAGACATCGAAAATGATCAATGCGTCAGTTGTAATGAAATAGAAGATGCCAAACACCTACTGATCTCTTACGGTAATAAGGCAATGATTTGGCAAGATATATTCAATAAGTTCCTTGAAATTGATACAGATAAAATATTCCAAGTTTTTAAAAGAATGCAAGCCAAAGTTACCTGTCCAGCTAGATATTGATGATCCCAACAATCATTGTCGTTTATGCAACAAGTATAATTGTGATAGGTGCTCTTATTTAGCTCATTTACGGTACAGACATCGGATTCACATTGGATGTTCAAGGCGGAAAAGAAACCTACTTGTCAAGCCTGATCTTAATAATCCCAATCATTTCTGTCAACCTTGTGATCATACATATAGTTTGAGAAATGCATATCGTAGCCATCTTCGAAAGATACATAATATGACCATCAAAAGAAAAAGACCAGTCCCAGACTTCAGTATAAAGCCTGATCCAAACGATTCAAGAAATCATTGTCGCTCCTGTAATTACACTTTTGCTAGTAAAAGAGGCTATCAGGTGTATAACATTAGTGTACATAAGCATGATTCTATAAGACCTAAGCCTATAAAAACTAATGATAGACCGCCTGATGTATATGATCCAGACAACTATTGCTGTTCTTGCGATAGAACGTATTCGTGTCGAGATAGCTATCGAAGTCATCTTCGGTTTATGCACGATATTATAATACAAAAGAAACCAGTCATTGGCAAGGAAAATGAACCGAATGCGTATGGTCCTGATAACCATTGCCGAGCTTGTTATCAAACTTACAGAACCAGAAAGTGCTATCTTGATCATCTTCGAAAAGCACACCAGATGTTTATCAAAAGAAAGTGTAATCAAGACATTAAACTAAATCCTCATGACGAGAGCAATTACTGTCGTTCTTGTCATTTTAACTATAGTAACAAGTACGTTCTTGAGACGCATCTTAGACATATACATCAAGTAACAATAAAAAGATGAACTCTGTATGTAAATGATTGGCGGATATAAAAAGCCATTTATGCAACTCACACCATGTCATTATTTTTTCTTTCTTTCTTTCTTTCATAAAAATGAGTCTTTTTTTTATCTCCATGTTGTTGTTATCTTATGTCTATTATATTAGTTCAGACTTTAAAAAGAATATAAATAAAGCAGGCCTTGGTGTAAGTAGGCAAAAAAAAAAAAAAAAAAAAAAAAAACATACAAAGATTGTACAAAGAGCAAGTGGCAATAAAAAGACAATTGATCAAGATTTTGAAGAACTTGAACGATTCAAAAAGTAATCAAGCATGAATGTATGATGATACTGTTTTTCAAGCTTAGAAAAACAGTCTGAAAAAGTTGCTGAAGAAGCCAAATGTTATCTTGATTCAATCAGAGGTGAATACGCACACTAAACCTTACGAAACTAAAAGAGCTGAAGTAGCTGTTACAAATACTCAATTAAGAATTGCTCAAACCATGATAATAAATCTTCCATGCGGCCAGCTGAAACTAAGTATAAACGATTGATTGAAAGACTCGACCAAGACACAAGAACTGATTTGGTGAGTTATATAGATAAATAAATAAAATAAAAAAACTGCTGACTATATAGGACAGGATGAGGCTTATCGTACGATAGTTGTTGAGCCTTTAGTCCGATTTTGCTCGTATTTTACTGAAGTCAACGAAGCCATTAAGCATCGTCAGAAAATAGTAGCAAGTTATGATACATCAAGAGCCAAAGTTAAGAAATTGATGAACAGACCAAACAGGGATCCTCAAATACAAAGTTGTGTAAGCATCACTCTATCTTATCCTGTCTTATTCACACTCATGTATAGGCTGAACAAGAGGCTAATATAACAAGAGAAGCCTACCAGAACTTGAATACAATGCTCTTGAATGATTTGTCTCAATTGATTGACTTGAGAATAGCCTATTTAGATCCTTCGTTTGAAGCATGCATCAAATCACAGCTCAAACTCAGTCAGGATAGTTATGGTGGGTTTGAAAAACTGAAAGAGTATTTTCCCTCACATCAAGAAGTGGTTGATCACCGAGTTGATCAAGTTATACAGCAAATGCGCGAATTGACCATCTGTGGCAACTTGTAAGGCGTGAGATGCTCATGTGACTATTTTGTATATATATATGCATGCATCAGCTATTTTCTCTCTCTCTCTCTCTCTTTACTTTCAGAATGTGTATTTTGTTTTGGACTGTAGACAACCACCCGAAATATCGCTTGTAAGAACTAGCTTCTTTTCAGAATGAAGGACATTTGTTAATAAAAAAAGACTAGTATTTTTGCAGGCAACCGAGATGAGTTTCTGGAAAGACCCACAGCAAGAGCTCACTTTTGGGACGAACCTCACCAAGACGTGTTGGCCGGTACTGATCTCGAAGTCAACCTAGCAGACCGTCATCTTAAGAATGGTACTTGGTTGGGTATTACTCGCCAAGGAAGATTTTCTGCTCTTACAAATTATCGAGAAACAAACTATACAGGCACTCTTTCTCGAGGATTCTTGGTGCGTGACTTTTTGTGGGGCAAAGCATCAGTTCAAGAATCCATGGAGACAGTCGAGAAACAAATGCAAGATTATGGTGGCTTTAGTCTTTTGTATTTTGATTTCAGTAAAGAACCAACAGAAATGGCTTATTTGTCCAACAGAAAGAATCAGCCGATTATCAATTTGAATACAAAAGAGGTTTATGGTAAACAGCTTGACTTACGAGACTACAGACATAACACAACAGATAGGTGTTTCCAATTCGATTTTATCAGAACCATGGCCAAAAGTGCAGATGGGTAAAGAGCTGTTTGAAAAGATCATTCAAGAATACGATGGCCATAATGAAACAGATCTTATGAATGCCTTATTTGAACTATTAAGGTAAATGGAGCCATGTAGGCTATATAACTCATGAGTCTTTAGTACAACAAAGCCTATGAGTAATGTGCAGGATGTTGATCAGATATTTGCTGATCTGAAAGAGCGTATATGCATTCCTAAATTCGATTGGCCAAAGTCTCTTAATCTGAAAGACTATACATATGGTACAAGAACAAGTACCATTGTGTTAATTGACCATCAAGGCCATGTTACTTTTGTCGAAAGACTATGGCATGATAAAGAAACATTTTCTCCTGCCAATCCTAATCATTTTAATGATATTATTTTTCATTTCGACTTGGTGTAATAAACAAACCCTATGACGCGACCCTACTTGTTTTTACATAATCTTATGCTGCGTTTCTTTTTCTCTTTTTTCTTTTTTGTCTGATAAACTATGCAAGAATTAAAGAACCAAGAAGACAGAGAAAAGTTTATGTAATTTCTCTTTTTGAGAATCAAGAGACAGTAGCTTATTAGTTTTTTTTTCTTTAGCGAGGACTTTCTTAACAGACAACGCGAAGCAGAAGAGAATGACGAAGATTTACACCAGCCTGAAGATGAAGAGCATTTAGAACAAGAGATTCCTGAAATGCCCAAGGAACTCGCTACTCCTATCAGCCTTGCTAAGCAGACAAAAGCAGAGTTAGCTGGTGAAAAGAAGAAGAAAAAGAAGAAGAAGAAGAAGGGAAAGACAGCTGATTTGCCCGAAGCAGGTACTGATCTTGCTGATGACTATATCGAAAAGCATTCCGAGGATTTGATTGAAGATCCTTTTGATCCGTACAGTATTTGTGTATTTCAAAATCAGGATGTTCATTGCTTTATAGTTCTCATTCTCTTGCTCAAAGAGTTGAATATGCCATCTGGAAATACCGTAAAAACCACAAGTTTTCTGATGAAAAGCGTGCCATTTTTGATAACTATCTCAAGTTTGGTTGTATCAAGACAGGTCCCAACATGTTTTTGGGTCGTGCTACAAGTGCTGATACCCCTAATGATCCTGAGGCTGCTATTGATTTTGAAGCAGCCAAGACAGCGATTGATTCTGTGCCTGATGATTCAGAAGAAGGCTTAGAAGTCAATTTTACTGAAGTGGCCCAAGTCTATTTTGGCAACGCATTTATTCGTCAAAGTAGATTCACAACCCTAAGGGATTTTATTGATGCTCCTGCCTTGATTGATGCGTTCTTAAGATACCTTCAGATCCGTCATGTTGCACCTGAATATGCGGATGATATTGCGGGTGCCCGCGCTATCTGTGCTCAAGCCAAAATTCAACTTCCCAAATGCAAGCATATTATCATGGAAATGCCAGGCACATTTAACAAGGCTTGTGCTGATCTGTTTGGTAATGCCATTACAGAAATGGATACCTCTTGGATGACTGAGACTACCTTGACGATTCAAAAGCAGTACATGTCTTTTCTTGTTGACACTGTGGGCACAACTTCTGAAGACACTAAGAAGATTGTTCAAAAGAAAATCAAGAATCCTGATAGTGTAAGCTTAGTCGAGAAGCGTGAATGGGTGTTTGTCAAAGTAGCAGAAATTGCACCTTACAAAGAAGAGACAGCAGCATCTGAGGATTTGATTCAAGTCAAATTTGAAAACTATGAAGATACCCATGAAACATACAGAATTTATCTCGAAAAGAAAATTGTTCAACATATGATGGTAGGCATGGTAACAGCGCTCACTCTTTGTAGACTAAGCAACGGTGAGTGGTATTTGGAACAAGCACGTCGCTTTATGCCTACTTTTTATATGGAAGATGATTGCATGACAGAAGAAGACTTTGACTATTAATGCTGCTTTTTAAAAATAAAAAAAATAAAAAAATAAAATAATTCTTTCTTTTTCTTTATTGAACATGGCTAGCCCTTATTCTTATGTCAGTTATATCAAATTACCTCAGACAACTAAATTACCAGTCTTGTTGCTTATGCCAATGTATCTCTCAACACTAATGTTAGACTATGTGCTTATTAAAAATGAAAAAAGGCTTTCGATTACACCTCTTCAATTACGCAGTTTTATTGGTCTCTATCATTTCATGTTGCCACTCTTTTTTGATTCCAGATACGACTTTGCCAACATCTCATTCATGTTACAGCCATGGATCCTTGCAATTCAAATCTTTTTTATGACAGAATCCCATCTCACCTTAACAGAATGGTTGTTGATGATGATCAAAGTAGCCACATTCCAAGATGAAACCCCGAACACAGAATCAGATCAATCGATTCGGTTACAAGGCATAAAAAAACTAGTGCGAGGCATAGCTAAGCTTGGGTTTAACAGGATAGCGCTGCAGGGTCTCTTGCCTGCTGATTTGTCTATCCTGTTGTCTATGCGATTCTATAGTCCTAAAGCCATGTTTTATACATATGTATTAGCGATGCGTATCTATTGTATGATGAGTATGGTTGATGTATGGATGGGTATACTACAGATTGTATTCCTAGTACGCTTTCAAGATCTTTTTCATAATCCATTTATATCAATTAGGTAAATAATGGGATGAAGTGTTGTCTAAAATCTAATGTTTGTCACACATAGTCCTAAGGATTTCTGGAAGTAAAGTATAGCCTATGTGAGAATGATGGACTTACTCTTTCTTGATAGTCGAAGATGGAATAGGGCTGTTAGTCGTATGTTTCATCGGTTTATGTTCTCGAAAGTATCTGCTAAAAAAGGCAAACAAGCAAAGCATCAATCATTCTTGATGTCTTCACCTACTGTGTGCGGTCTAGGAGTATTCTTTGTGAGTGGCTTGTTCCATGACTTTATGATTGCAGCAGCCACACGTATCCTGACATTTGAAATGACCTTGTTCTTTATGATTCATGGTATAGCCGTGGCTCTTGAGGTCAATTTGTTCAGAAAAAGGATTCCTCCATACAGCATGACTTCTCGGATCTTATGCCATGTATTGACAACCTTGTTTTTTGTGACAACAGGTCGATTATTTTTAAGTCCAATCTTACGAAATCAAGTGTTTTTGAGGATAGCAAATTGGTTTTAACGAATTCTTTAATAAATCATAACCTTGTTGATTCTGGACCAATATCAATTCAAACAAGAGGGGAATGTCTGCAAAGCTCAGTCTATTTAAAAGAACTGGTCTCAGTGGCTTTCTTTTTTTTTTTCGTCTTTATACACTATGCATTTTGTTCAATTGGTTGGTATCCTTTCTGTTGTTGTTGCCTTGGTTCATGCTGCTCCTGCAGTTGATAAACGTAAGCATATATATGCATGCAATGATATATTCATAATTGAGAATAAAAAGGTGATATTGATTTAGGTGTGGGTGCTGATATTGATTTGGACATTGGTGCTAATATTAACATTGGTCTTGGTGATAAGGATCATGATGAACATCGCTACAAACGTAAGGAATACTGGTATGCTAATAACTAACCAAAAAAAAAAAAAAGGTGATCTCAATTTAGGTGTTGGTGCTGATATCAATTTGGGTGTTGGTGCTAATATTAATGTGGATCATGATGAACACCGTCACCATGCTTCTACAAATAACCGTGTTAACAGTGAAAAAGATTCTTCTGTTGTTGTCTTGGTCAACTCTAATAACCAATCTTAATAACGCAGTAAGGAATGAAAAAAAAAAGGGGGGGGGATACATTTGTTTTCTTTTTTATCTAAGTATTAATGCCATTGATTTTTTTATAGGTTTTACAAAAAAAAAAGATACACTTTTTTCTCTTTCTTTCTTTTAAAAGCTTGTCTTTTTGTGTTAATAAATATTTCAGATTTAATTTAAAATTACAAAGAGACAGAGTCAGCATAAGGCAAACGGTTAAGTTCACCAAGGGCAACAGTAGTGGGCTTGCTCTTGAATAACTTTTCAGCGGCCTATTGTTGATCATAAAATAAATAAAAAAAGCACATTTCACATCTATACTACTTACTTGAGCAACATCAGAAGCAGAAACCTTTTCAATAGCAGCAACAGCTTCAGAAGTAGAAGCATATTTACCGTTTTGAAGAGCCTAATCAAATCAGCATTCATACAATTGACATCAATAAGAACTTACATGAACACCAAGAGCTTCAGCACGGTCAAGACGAGTTTGGATGTTAGCAGTAGCAGCAAACTTGGCTTGAGCAACAGCTCTGTTGAAATCTTCAGAAGAAAGGTTCTTGGCAGCCTTCAATTGTTCAGCAGCAGCAGCAACAGCAGAGGCAGTTTCAGAGGTAGAAGCAGAGACTTGAACACCAAAAAGACCGGCATCAGAGTAACCCAAGTTGAAAGCCTTAATGTTAGTACCTTCAGAGAACTTGGCAGAAGCTTGACCAAGAATACCAGAGACACCAGCGTTCTTGATGATGGCTTCACCACCAAGAGCTTGACGAAGGACTTGGAGAGCAGCAAATTCAGCAGAATTAGCAGCAGCACCTTCAAAGGCCAAGATGTATTCACCAGTAGAAGAGACGGATTCAATACGAGATTCACCACCATAGTATTTGGTGCTAGCCAAGCTGAGATTACCGGCAGGAAGGTTCAAGTAGGTTTCAGCCAAACGTTGGAGGGTTTCGTGTTCAATACCAGTACCAACAAGGGCAACGTTGCCTTGAGTGAAAAGTTCTTGAGCAAAAGCCTTGACAGTGGCGTTCTTGACATGAGCATTTTGCTTGGCAAAGATAGAGTTACCGAGACCAGTACGGAAAGCAGTTTGGTGAGCAGCTTCAATGGCACTGATTTCAGCGTTGGCGAAAGCATTGGCAGATTCAGCAGCAGTTTGACGAGCAACATCGACGAATTCGTGTTCTTGGAACTTTTGCTTGGTGACAACATCAGCCAAAATTTCAGCAAACAATTCACTATCAATGTGTCAATTAGACTTTTCTTCCACCCCTGATAAAAAATCCACACACTTACACATCGTCCTTTAAAAGTTCGGCAGAGTAAACAAGAGCTTCGTGAGAAAGGTTGGAAGACAAAACACCACCAGCAAGTTCAGCTTCACGAGCAATACGGAAAGCAGTACGGTTGACATTGTTCTATAGAAAATGTTAGTGTCTAATCATGTCCAATGATGCAACGAATCTATAGGTTGATTGTCGATGCATTACCTTGAAACCAAAGTTCTTCAAAAAGTGAGCAACACCAGCATTGTCGCTGGATTCAGCTCTGGCACCACCGTTAACAACAACAGCTAATGAGGCAGTTTGACCAGGCTCTTGGCTGGAAACAACCTTGACGCCGTTGGAGGCAGTGCTGATTTGACTGGCAGTGGCTGCGGTAGCGTAGGTAGCCTTGGAGGCAGTGCTGATAATGGCTTTACGAGAGGCGGCCAACATGTTATTGATTAAAGGAAGAAGAGTGGGGTGTAATAGGTGTGTAGTTGCGGGGAAGAAAAAAAATATAAAAAAAAAGACTAGGGCTTGTTTGTTAGGGCACACCACCCGATTTTTTTTTTTGGTCTTGCATTCGTTCCTTCATTTTTTTTCAGTTGACCAGGCTGGAATAGAAACTTGCCAGTGAGGCTGACTTTTTAATGTGACGCAATCAATTTGAGCCAATCATCGTAATTCCGTGTTCAGGGCAATTCATAGCGATATGTTGGATCTTGTTTCGCTTAAATAGCAATGATGTCCATGATCCTATTTGTTTTCTCTATCGAATCAATATACCATTCAAGAGTAGCAATCATTTAAAATATCTTTTGTATTTGGTGTAGGACAAGCATTTCTGTATGTGTGCAACATGTCATTCTTGAGTTTGTTCCCCTAAATGGAGGAGATATACATTCATCAACCAAAAAGAATGTAACTAAAAAAAAAAAAAAAAAAAAAAAAAAAAAACTCAGGTTTATACAAAGGAATTAGTCTATATTGCTTTTTATTGTGTTTGTATCATTCTAAAGCAATATAGCTATAACACTTGAGATGAGCTATCACCTTCAAACACTTTAAATTGAATAAAGTATGATTTTCCCGAGCATTTGACTCATATGAGAGCCTAGAGTTCACTAGAAGTGTCATCCGACTGAAGCACCTATTGCCAAGTTATCCCAAGAACTTTGTCTTTCACGTGCTGGTGTTACCATTTCTACGCACATTTGACTTCTTCCCCAACCATTTTTATTGCAGAAAAAAAAAGACGCGGATACTTATTTCCTTTTTTCTTCTTTATTACTTTCAAGAAAAAAAATGGCTGGTAACAAGAAAAGATCACCAAAGCCTGTTGTAAATACACCAAAGGAAGAACAAGAAGAAAAAGTGACCTTGCTGGCTGCAGAATCAAGTCAGAAAAAATGGAAGAATTGGTGGGTTAGAACCATCACTACATTTATGATGATTGGCACTTTCTTTCTCATTCTTGCTTCGGGTCATATCTGGGTTATTCTTATGGTGATTGCTATTTCAACAGTTGTGTACAACGAGGTACTTCAAATAGCTCAGGGCCCTGCTAAAGATAGTAATTTCAAGTGGTTCAAGACAATGAGTTGGTAAGCGAAAAAAAAAAAAGGTACAGGATAGTAGCATGGAGAATTAAGACCATGTTTAGGTATTTTTTGGTCACAACAACTTATTTCTTGTATGGCGAGTCAATTATTTATTATTTCCAACATGTTGTGTTAGTAGACAGAGTGCTTTTACCTTTCGCAACACATCACCGATTTATTAGCTTTGTTCTTTATGTCATTGGTAAGTATAAGCGAGGGTGGAAAAGAGTTGAAAACTGAGTTGTATGATGATATAGGCTTTGTGTTTTTCGTCACCAATTTGAAAAAGGGACAATACAAACGTCAATTCCGTCAATTTGGTTGGATGCATATGGCTCTTTTACTCGTCGTGTTTCAAAGTCATTTCATTGTCAACAATATCCTTGAAGGTTTGATTTGGTTCTTTATTCCTACTTCTCTTGTCATCTGTAACGATATTTTCGCTTATATTTGTGGTTTCTTTTGGGGTCGTCATCAATTGATTCAATTAAGTCCTAAAAAAACAATTGAAGGCTTTGTCGGTGCTTGGATTTGTACACTTGTGTTTGGCTTTTTGGTAAAATTCTACCTTTTAGATTCATGTGTAGCTTATCTCTCCTTTTGTGTAGTGGTCTACATTGTTGATGCGATTTGATTATATGATTTGTCCTGTCAAGGTAAATTTTATTGTTTTCCTTTACTGTTATACTCATATGGATTAGGATTTGTCTATGTCTGCATGGTCTCAAATAGGCTGTGATCCCGTAAACCCTGTCTTTACTGCTGTCCCCTGGAAATTACCAGATTTATGGATTACAATCATTAAAACTTTGGTAAATAAGTTAAAACTCCTTTCCCCCCAAAAAAAAACTAAACAGAAATTTATAGTTCCATAAAGAAGTAAACAAGGTCTGGATTGCTCCTGTTCAACTCCATACTCTTGTTTGGGCTTGTTTTGCTTCTCTTATTGCTCCATTTGGTGGTTTCTTTGCTAGTGGTGTCAAACGTGCTTTCAATGTCAAAGATTTTGGTCAAAGTATTCCTGGTCATGGCGGAATGACAGATCGTATGGACTGTCAATTCTTGATGGGCTTTTTTGCCTATATCTACTACCAAAGTTTTATCAAGGTAAGCAAATGACAGTTATGCAACAACATCACTCACATATCTGTTATTAGACATACAATTTAAATGTAGGCTCTATTTTAGCTTCTGTCATTAACAACTTATCGCTCAATGATCAATTGGAGCTTTTGGAACGTATATTGACTTACTTTGTGAACCAAGGTATTCTTGACCCTACTGTGTTACAAAAGTGTGGTTCAAGTGCCTTGACAGACAATGCTCGTCAAATCTTGAAGAGTGGAATTTCTTCTTTGTAATTTAGTATTTATTTCATATTATTACTCTAATGCTTTTATACATAAATAATGTCTTTATTTCTTTTTACATATTAGCGTTTTTTTTTTATTGTTGTTGTTATTACAACAGAGGATGTACAGAAAAAGGCAATTATTATCTAACAATATCAAGGTGATGGTTTATAATATACAGTAATCTCTCCGTCTCCTAAAGTAGAGTTGGACTGAATAGATAGTTGACTTTGATTTGAATGCATGGATTCTTCAGTGGGAGGACAGAAGTAAACATCAATACGACCGCTGCCATTGGAGGAGGATGTCGTGTTGTTGGGTGAAGGTGGGTCTTGTGAAAGACTGATTCTTCGTATAGATCGTTTTCGAGTGACTCCACCTTCTTCATTGCGAGTCGTGATCGTATTGATGCGGGCTATTGTTGGTTTTGCCATTTTGATATCTTCCGCAACACTCCCCACACGAGTAGTCGTGCTTGATCGAGAACCCATTGAGTTATTCTTTCTGACAGAAACAGCGCGTTTGACAGTAGCTACCTCTTCCAGTTCTTCATCGTCCTCTTCATTTGTGGGTATATTGGTGCGATGATGATCGTATTTCGTGATTCGGACAGAAGAAGCTCGACTCAAATAATGCATAGGCTGTAGTGGTTGGATATTAAGTGATCGACGAATTGTCTGGCCTGTCGTTGTGTCATCCAAGTGCGGAATTTGAAGCGAATGAGCACCAAAGATAAATGGCGATTGAGGATGATCAAAGTCCATAGCCTAAAAAGTGAGAGATAGTTAATACCTCCCCTTTTTTTTTCTCTCTAAACAATGGTACTCTAGAAAGGAGATATATAATACTCCTTAAATTAGCTTACTTGAGTATAAAACCAATAACTTGGTATTGTACTGCTTCTTGAAGTCTCAGAAAGAGAGGGTAAAAATGAAGTGGGAGAAGAAGGTATCACAGGAGGTGGAAATGATGGCGGTATAAAGTCTTTGTTGACTTGCTTCTCGATTTCTTGTTGTTGTTTTCGAATTTTACGCCTTTTATGGAACACAAAACCGACTATCGTTGCGGCAATCATGGCTAACACCACGAGACTGGTAGTTAGACCAGCGATTAATGCAGTCTTGTCGTAACTTTCGTCATGGATTGTACTAGTGATTTTCAATTCAAGTTGTTCCGTATTGGCGCAGTGAACAGTTGGACAAGCACTGCATTCGATTTCAGCGCAAACTTGATCTGAGTTACAGCACGGGTTCAAACATGGTGTGGTGCAGGTTTCTCTTGGCTCAAGTCGTATATGCCGTGTTGTATCTAAAGACACATGGCTTAATACGTAAAATAAAGTAATAAAAACATACTATGATCAACTAGCATTTAAGACTATTTCCATAAGAAATGTTACTTGGAGAAAAAGTTAAAAAAAGAAAAAAAGACTAAGAAAATCTAAGAAAGAGGGGGTTGAAAAAGGCTTAGGTTGTGTATGTGTAAGCATTTGAGCTACTGTGGTTCAAGGTCACGGCTCTAAAAGATGGGCCCTATTGTTTTGGTTACACATACACACAAATACCTTATCTTCTCATTCAAGTCATGCTTAAATCACCCTTGAAATAATAGCAAACAAACCGATTAAATAGTACTTTAAATCATTCCCCCTTTTTTTATGCAACAGTAATTAATCTTCCCCCCTTCCTTTCATAATGACGACTCTAAAACATTTTTTCTTCTATGCCAAGAATTAGTTAAGCTTGAAATTCAATCTATTTAAAGAAGCTTTCTTCTTCTTGTGATATTAATATATACCTTATTGTCTTGTACTGGTATTCGACCAAAACACTTGACGTTTTTAGACAAGTGTAGTTTATATGTATATATATACTAGCATTTGTATAAGAAAGGTTCAGGTCAACTCTACTTTTATACAACAAATTTGTACATGCTTTCAACTTGAACCACAAGCATGAACTTACTGTGTTGATTTTTACTAAAAACTACAAAAGTAAATTTTGCCCTAGAAAAGACATTATGCAAAAAAAAAAAAAAAAAAAAAACTGAATGAACCCTGTTACCATTTGCTAAAATTACAGACTGACTTTCTAGATTGAGACTCCTCACGAGGGTAAGCAATTTTCCTTTTGATTGGATATCTGAGTTGTTCTCTTCTCAATGATAGGTCATTTATTAAAAGATTTTTCTCTGTCTTTCATCTTTTACTGTGCCTTCTTTCTTTTCAAATGTATTGTTTATAAAAAAAAATGAAGTTTGGAAAGCAGATGGAGTCAGCGGCTTTTAATTTGCCAGAGGATTGGAGACCGCATCTTATTCACTACAAAACACTTAAGAAATCAATCCGATTGGTTGTAGATGAACTTGAGTCTCGAGGATTGTCTAGTGCATGGATAAATACGTTGGATACAGAAGAAGCCATGCGCTTAGATTATATTTTTGATGGTAAATCATTTGTATTTCTGTCTGTTTAGCTCATATCCATGATTAGGTGATGATCAAGATCCTCACCCTTGTATTAAAATCACGATTGATGATCCTACAAGCCTATCTGACGAACCTGCTTTATTTAAGCTGATACCCACCACGCAACAATCCAATACCGAACCTTTGTCTATCAAGATTGAACTCGTACGAGACTCTGAGTTTTTTCACTTGCTTCTACATGAATTATCGCATGCTGCAGTACTTCACGATAAAGAAAAGGATCGATTTATGACAGACATACGTTCACTTGAGGAACAATTGACGACTGCTGTAGGTCTTTACTTTTATGGATATGTGTGTATTGACATTGTATAGGCGTCTCCGCAAAAGAAAGATTTATATGCTTGGCGAGAAATCTTTCATGTTTACATGGAAGCTGCTATCTTTAAGCCGGGAAATGAAAATCAGGACACAGCAGCATCCTATCAACACAGTCAACAACAATTAGAATGGTTTACACAAGAATTAAAGAAAACAAACTTGGTAATCATGAATACAAAAGAATGCGTCACTAACACCTCATAGACAAACAACTTGTCATCAAAGAACTCTAGACAAGCTTTAGCTCAATTCTTGACCATCAATGCGCAACTAATTCATTTTAAGCATTTTCAAGTATTGAATCAAACTGCCATGATAAAAATATTAAAAAAGCATGATAAGCAAAGTGGATTAAGGTAATTGTTCTCTTCATTTAGCCTTTGATTCACACTCGTCTAGTGCTACTTCTGAATTCCCAACATTTGCAAAAAACAATGCTATTTTTGTGGGTGGCATTCTTTTGTCTTTATTTAATATGATTCAAACAAAACTTATCGCCATTGTACCTCAGCCTGATGATTATGATTGTCCTGTCTGTTTCTGTAAGTGATTTTTTTTATAGGAAATTTGTTATTCATACAATGGAATAGCCATTGCTTGGAGACCTATTCGATTAGAATGTGGGCATGTTTTTTGCGTGCGCTGCTTAATCAAGGCACATCGAAAACGCCTTTATAATTGCCCGGTATGTAGACAAGAAGATGCCGTGGGGAATGCAGATGCAAATAACCTTGATCAATCACTGCAAAACTTTATGTTGATGTATTTCCCTAAAGAAATCAAAGAAAAGCGTAAAGAAAATGAAAAAGAACAAGCCAGTATGGACAAAGAAAAGATTCAATATGCAAGACAGGCTATACCTTCTCAGAGAATGATCCATTATCAACATGCCATGAACAGAAATACCTTATCCCATCGTGAATCGAATTGTAATATTATGTAATAAACCATGATTTGAAACGCATTCATCTACAGCTTCGGACTTTATCCGGCTGAGATTCATAAGCCACTTGATGGCTGGTCCGGAAAGCTTGTCTCCTCGGAGTATAGAGAATCAAGCACAAAAATGAAAGCAGAAGACAGAAGCATTCAAGTTCTTTCTCTAAATACACCATGGGTAAAGCATCCTACAGCGTACATCCATCCATAGACACAAAGCTAATCCATCATCCATGATAACTAGGTATCAGTCGTGATTCTCGCCACAAGCGTAGCGCTACCGGTGCTAGACGTGATCAATACAGAAAGAAGAGAAAGTAAGCAACTTTACAAAAGTCTTCTCTGTTGATACTAACTATCTTTTGTTAAGGTTCGAGTTGGGTCGCCAATCTGCCAACACCAAGTTGGGAGCTAAGCGTATTCACCTTGTTCGTGTCCGTGGTGGTAACTTCAAGCGTCGTGCCCTTCGTCTTGAATCTGGTAACTTCTCTTGGGGTTCTGAAGGTATCTCCCGCAAGACTCGTGTCTTGACTGTTGTCTACAACGCCTCTAACAACGAGTTGGTCCGTACCAACACTCTCGTCAAGGGTGCTGTTATCCAAATTGATGCCACTCCTTTCCGTCAATGGTACGAATCTCACTACGCTCTTCCTCTCGGTAAGAAGAAGGCTGATGAAGCCGTAAGTATTTGATCGAAATGAGATAGAAAAAGGGGTATAGATGTGTTAATATGTGCTTATGATAGGAATCTGCTGAAAAGAAGTCCAAGGCCGTTGAAAAGAAGATTGCTGCTCGTGCTGCCACTGCTGCTATCGATCCTCTCTTGAACGACCAATTCAATGCCGGTCGTCTCTACGCCGTCATCTCTTCTCGTCCTGGTCAATCTGGTCGTTGTGATGGTTACATTCTCGAAGGTAGAGAACTCGAATTCTACCTCCGTAAGATCAAGGTAAGAATTAAAAAAAGGGAGAGTCATAAATCAGTATATTAACATTGATATGGTAGAGCAAGAAGCACTAAGCTGTTGGTTTTTTAATTTGAATAAAATAAAATGCTTTTTAATCTTGTCAAAAAAAAATATTATATTTTTAAGGCTTTTTTTTTATGAGTGTGTGTCTGCATAGTATGATAGACCATAGAAAGTTTTTGACAGGAAAAGAACATCGCTAAATGCATCAAAATTAGAGATTGGATGAGTTTCTAATTTAAAAGAACTTTACCTAATTATTCGCAATTGGCTACTCTCCTCTTCTTGCAAAAGGACAGATGCTTAAATCTTGAATTCTTTAGTTTCGTATTGACTGATTTTAGATTGAGAGAGGTGGGGATAGATACTCTGAGAAGACACAAGGCTGAGCCAGATAGATTTATTGCAAGAGATGAAAGGGCTTTACAGAGACATATTCAGGATTGACACACATCAAGATAACATTCATTGATCTTTTGATTGTCTTTCCATTCCTTTCCTTTACAAAACAAGGGTGTTCTAGGTGTTTAAAACAATAGATGCATGTCTATGAAATCTTGTATTCGTTAGCGATACAAACATTGCCTCTTTTTCCACGCATTTCTTCGAGACATTTCCCCCATATCCATGGTGGCCTTTAATTCTGATCAAGCAGATGAGGAAGAAGGATGGGAGGGGGCTTTTGCAAAGGAAGGGTTTCTTTTTCTAAGGTTTTTGGCAATGGAGTCAAAATGATTGTCAACATAATCCTTCCATAATTCAATTATTAATTTGCTGCTATTGTTTTCCATCACGCTAGGCTCTAGACTAGCAAAAAATACAGCATTTTTTATGATTTCATAAGGAAGTCTCGTCTTACTTGTGAAGTCGTTTTCGAATCTCAGGAGGTCAGCATCAAGTTTTTGGCTGCTTTTCATCTTGTCCAAGATCGCAGTAGAGATATAATGATTCATTGATTTGTCAAAGAATGTAAGATAGGCAGGATCACTGTTATATTGTCGCTTGATTCTCTTTGCAGAGTCTGAATTTGATGTTTCTTCATTGGACTTTCGCTTATTCAAACTTATAGGTATTGGTGTTTGTTTATCTTTCGTAAAGAAGCTTTTTTTTCTTTTTCTTCTTTGAGCTACGCATCCTATACTTACAGTGTAGATGTGTCTCTTTACAATATTCCCTCTTGTTATAGATAATCAAGTGGTTTAGTAAAAGAAAACGCTAAAAAAAAGCGACAATACTGATGAAAAAAAAAAGGAAAACATCCAGCTATCAAATGTCATTACGGTTTGACTCCGTACTGTAAGATCAGGCAATGAAAAATGACACATTAAAGACTGTCATAATCACGGGCCATTACTTCTGTATATCATCTTTACATATACACTCTTTACTAAATTGATTTAGATTATTACCATATTTAATCTATTGTTTAATCAAAAATTACATCTACATCTAATTTGTCACTTCCTAAATATTATGGTAGTCAAGCGCAAAAGACTTGCAAGTAAACAACAATAGATATCACTGAAAAAACATCCTAAATATCAATTGAGTCAGCAAATGCCTTCCTTTTCTTTTTGTTTACGTTTAAATAAATAGTTTTAGTACTTATGAGTGCCTAGAATGTTTCTTATCTAGGATAAACAGGACAAGGAAAAGATAAGGTTGTTTTCCTGTCATAAGATTATGCTTAGAGAAAGCAAGTTTACATATAATTTTATTCGTATTGTTATTTATAATAAACGGTTACAGAAAATTAAACACTTATACTTTGAACTTCATCACTGTTGATGTTCAGGAAGAGACTGAGGCAGTTTATAGTAGTGTCTCTCAAAAGACTGATAAAAGATCTCAAAAGCTTCAGAAGTGGCAGCATGCATCATAGCGTTTAAACATAAACATAACAGCTTGGTGCTCTGAATTTGTCTCATGAGTTGCCTTGGGTTCTTTGATCTGAAGCGATAGATCGTTAGTAAATCAATGAAATAAAATAATGTGCATCTTATTGAGGACTTGATGTGCTTTTCTCAAGCACGCTTCATATGCCAATGGCAAAGTAAAATATCGACATCGGCAAAGAACTCTTTCGAAGCAACAATTTCCGCTGAACTGCAATCAATCATGACTCACTTGACTTGCAAAGAGGCACACGAAGACTTGATCCATTCAAAGCATTGATTTAGAGTAATGATGTATTCATGGTCAGTAATGAAGAAACACACGCTGAGATACTTTTATTGGTGACAGGGCTTCGCACTAAAATTGAAAACAAGAATGCATCTTTTGCTAGATCAGTAAATGACTTACAAGTTTTGTGTAGAGTTGATGCACCACTCTTCAGCTTCTAATAACTAGTGATAGATAACAGGAAAACCTTTTTGCATATCAGACATTGAAATTATCCGGATCGCACATTTCTGTATAGACAGTGGGGTCCGGCTAATCAAATTTATCCTTGAGTGTGCCATTAAGGTGTGATTCTCCCTCTTTTAGCTTCGAAATAGTCCAACAATGGTATGATGATAGATCGCAATTCGATAAAGAAGTGTATAAGCAATGGATGAAGAGTAGATGGATTGATGCTATAATAAATCGATATGATTATGGATGATGATGACCTCAATCAACAACTCCCCTCCGTCTCTCTTTCTATCCACCAGCATACATACTTTTCTTTATCGACATTGCACGTCCCTTCCTCTTCTGAACATGACTAAACATTTAACTTGATAGAGCGCCGAAGAACAGAAGGTTACCAAGAACCCCATGAGAAACCTCCAAATCGAAAAGTTGGTTCTCAACATTTGTGTTGGTGAATCTGGTGATAGATTGACTCGTGCTGCCAAGGTTCTTGAACAATTGACTGGTCAAACTCCCGTCTACTCCAAGGCCCGTTACACTGTCCGTACTTTCTCCATTCGTCGTAACGAAAAGATCTCTGTTCACGTTACTGTCCGTGGTCCTAAGGCTGAAGAAATCCTCGAACGTGGTTTGAAGGTCAAGGAATACGAACTCAAGGCCCGTAACTTCTCTGAAACTGGTAACTTTGGTTTCGGTATTGACGAACACATTGATTTGGGTATCAAGTACGATCCTTCCATTGGTATCTACGGTATGGACTACTACGTTGTCATGGGTCGTCCTGGTAACCGTGTCTCCCGCAGAAAGCACTGCAAGTCCAAGGTTGGTATTAACCACCGTATCAAGAAGGAAGAATCCCAAGAATGGTTCAAGAACCGTTTCGATGGTATCATCTCCAACAAAAACTAAATGTTTTCTCAAAATAAAATCGTTCGATTGTTTTCCTTATGAAGCACACATAAGTATTGTTTTTAGTTTAATAAGGAGGGGGGGGTAGTTGTATGACTTTTAAGGTCCATGATGCGTGTTTTCTGTCATTCGCTTGCATAAACAATTAAGCTCATTGGTGCATATTTGCCTCTTATTAAATAATGACCTGTTTGTATATGCCAAAAATAAACATTGTTTGTTCTTGGCTTTTCGCTGTTGTCCTAACAACTTGTAAGATGCTAGACAAGGGAAACCATATTGACGCAGGCTGTCAAGCATCAAACATACCTTATTTGGGATATTCATGGGAATAAATATGCCAATCTTATTGGCTATAAAGAATGAAGGCGCGCAGTGGTCAAAGATTTGTAATTGGTTATCTGTCAGTTCAATGATGAAGAAACAGGCAGAACCGAATCATTGTTTGTGATACAGCTAAAAAGAAGGGAGACTGAAATACATTCATTTATCACTCCTTAAGATGTATTTCGGGTAAGAAAGCGCGCACTTGCATTTACAATGTATTTTATTATCATGGTATTATATCATATATATATATATATATAGATTCTGAGTTCCAGCTACAGAAAGATAATACTGGATAATGTCATTAAGACCAAGATTTGTCGTACACAATACAATGATGATTGGAGATTAAAGATATTTCACTGTCTTTTATAGGCATTGGTGTCGCTGATTCTGCTTTGATAATTTGGTCCAATTTGTTTGTCATCCAATAGTCAAGGGTTTCTTGTTCTGCACAGAATCCAATGGTTGCATCAGGCAATAAGTAAATACTTTGAATGCTCGGATAGATCTTTATCAAACGCAATACGTGTTCATTTAACCATGTTCGTTTGGTGGCCAATGTGAAGGATTGAAGATCAGACCGAAGCAGATGCGTCTGTTGTACCTTTTTTTCAAGCTCAGCTACTAATGTCTCTGCATTCATTTGGAGTTCGCAACCAAGTACAAGGTGTGTCATTTCAGGGCATTGGGCCAACAGATTACTAAGAGTACTTGCATCAATCGAGGCAAACTTGGTGTGTTCGCAGGAACCAATAAGAGCCAAAGTTTTAACCTTTAATGATCGGGGAGGTAAAAGCCGAAGCGAATGATCTGATAAAGTTGTCCAACCACAAATCGTCAGGTGTCTCAAGTTGTAACAAGATGATAGAATGTAATGCACAATATTATCACGGACACCCCAGATACGAATGGACTGAATATGCGCTAAGTGAGGACCAATGACCTTCTTGAGTTGATCTAGTTTCCATAACTGTCCTGAGGAATTTGTATGTAGTTGAATGTTCTTCCAGTTATTAGGATGGTCACAATAAGTGCGGAGTAAACGAGATGTCAGGCGTAGAGAAGCAAGTTCCTGACAACATAGATAGGATGTAACTTCGAATAAGATTTCTGGAGGTAATTGTTGAAGCATAGTTAAAGTAAAGAAGAACAAAAAGGAAAAAGAAAAAAAAAACAGGTCCTTTATATAGAGAAAAAAAATGTATGAGCTTATTTTATCTACAAGGGTTAATAGACATGAAAGGAAATAAAAGGAATAGAAAGGAGTAGTTAAGTTTCATCAATTAGAAAAATGATCTGCCTCTTGCCCTTTCTTGTAAACCCACTAATTTCCCGAGACATTAAGCACCACTGGTCTTCTTTCCTACACTCCAACAACCAGGACAGTTGTGTAATACTTCATGAACAAAAATATCGCATTCCGAACAGAATTCTTGGGCACATTTTGGACAAGAAAATTTGCCTCCCGATGTTTCTTGTTTGTCGAATTGTGTCAAACAAGAGAAACAATGCGTTCCGTGATTACTTATTGGTGTTAGTCAACCTTCTCGTATTTCTTTGGATGATTCTTACTTGTTTTTGATTTCATCGAAATTATGCACAGGGAATAAATGGTGATAGGATCTTGCCAAGTGTGGGGATGACACTAATGTTAAGCCACAAATATCACAATCACTAGGTAATTCGCATATTTTGGATTTACATCTGGGGCAAACATAGCCTCCTAATGTCAGTTTGGAATGACTAAACTCTTAGTAACTCCTTATTTTAGTCTTATTTTTACCAAACACAAAATGTGGCGTGTTCTTCCATAAGTCGTTTTGGGAATCCCATCATGACTAAATTGGATGTATTCTTGTTTGGTAACACTGCTGGTGGGGGGACTACTTCAAACAGTAAATCTTTATAGTGAGCCTCATTCAATACAACACCGTATGTGCCTAATAAAGTAATCAACAAGATTTTTCTTTTTTTTTTCTAATTCTTTACCTTTTGTAGATTCAGCCATCAAACGACAAATTTGTACTTCAGCAGCAAGCCCAACAATATTCACACGTATCATCTCTTTCTTGAGTAAATCTACTGTTTCGTGTATATCTGCTGGATCGCATGTCGTCAAAGATCCGAATAGCAGCAAAACTTCTTTAGATCCATGACTGGGAACACCCAACATACTTGCTCTAGCCAGTTGTAAAGCATTCTGCAGTGAGGGCTCACCACTTGTTTCTGTATTCTTTTTTGATTTAATGGCTCTGATATGATCTGTGGGATTCCCGCTTAATTCAGTCAATTTCTCTGCTATTCCGTCTCGAGTCACGATGATGCCAAGCTGTGAAATTGGGTTCTGATCAAAAAACTCTATCACGAATTGCTGAGCATAGGTCAATGTGAGTTCAACGCGACTTGGTCGTAAATCCTTTTCATTCATGGCTTCAGATAAATCAATCACAAGAAACAAGTGTCGAATAATACCACGTTGAATAATAGCTGTATCTTTTAAAAGTCTAATAGATTCAGTGGTGAGTGACTAGGGTCAATAAAGAAAGTATTATCACCTTCGACGCTTTCTTTGTTGCTGCAACTGAGAGACAACACTACTTAGACGACCTTCTGCATCTTCCTGTAAAATATCCCAACTTCGCTTGTATTCTTCTTCCCAAGCATAACCTCCATTGCCAGCATCATCATCTTGATTGCCGTCATAGGTATCATCTACATCAATATATTCATCGTCTACTGGTTTGCGAGGGCCCATTATAACAAGTGAAAAGGACTGTCGTAGTCAAAAGACGCATTGAAAGGTTTCAATAGTCACATTTGGTATTGAATCTCAGTTGTAACTTATTTGAAGTCTTGAATAATGAGCTATACACCGGAAGTTCAATAAGAGTAGAGTAGATAGTCATCACAAGTCTTTAGGAATAACATCTTCATAATTATGTCAAGGGGACTCAATAGATCTATATTACAAAAGCTATATAGCCTTTAAATCTAATTTATTGTATGACTAACTTGTATGATTTCATAGCAAATAACACACATCTTGAACTGTATAATTGATTTGAATATGAATTGATGCCATCAATTTCGTCCAACACACTGATTTGTAATTCAGTTTACTGTATCTCAGCTGCAAATAGTTGAATTTAATTCTAAAGCATTGAAATAAGCCTCAATTATAGGCATAACGCGTCAACTATTTTTATCTATTTTTTTTTAAAGCTAAGTATCTACTCATCTTGAATTCCTATAAGTGCCTTCTCCTTCATGAACAAACGCGGTTTCGCTTTGTCTTTTTTTTTTTTGACTCTGTGACCGCCAAGACTATGCTGTAGGGCTTTTTGTAAGGCATGGAACTTGGCTTTTATCGCGAATACTCTCCGTAGACTTGATAGATACCCTTAGCTAGGACGCAACTAAATGAAAAAAGAGTTGACTTGTTTGCTTTGCAGGCAAGGTGTCTATCGAGAGTGTTTTGCCTTAATATCATTCATGTTTAAGCTTATAGGAGAAATCATCTTACCTTTACTAATTATTTTTTTGATTGAACATAGATAACCTTAAGGTAGGAGAAATCAAGGCACTTATGATTTGGAAGACACTCTCTATATCATAGGAAGCAAGACGCTTATGACTTCTAGTGAAGAAAGGGCGCTTCCCCATAATAAAGTTGGTTTTTTTTAGTCCCATTGAGAGGAACTAGTTAAAAGCTCATTTCTTATTATTTTTATTGAATAAACTTGACCTATTGTTTTAAAAACACTGGTAATTTAAAGAGGTACTTTGCACTGATATTGATGTCCTTATGCATCTTCTCAATAAACATGAGTCACAAAGCTGGTGAATTTTTATTGTCCTTGATATTCGCGTGAAGGAAAACCATTTCCTTCTCTCAAAACAACATGCCGCTGACAGAAGATCTAAAGTCCTATAAAGTTCCAGTTGTTAAAGAAGGGTCGAAACACTTTTTTGCAACCAATGGTGCAAGCGAGTGGAGTTTTTTTTAGCTATTTTGAAGGAACTCACGATAATATCAACAAGTCCAAGTGTATTGCCAAAATAAAAGACGATTATCACCTTGATCTAAGCTGGATAATTCAGTTATCTGAAGTGCCTGAAAAAATCAAAGAGCATGTCCGTGCTTTGTTAAAGAAGAGACTAGTAAGAAAAAAACACTAAATGAAAAAAAAAAAAAAAGATAAGATACGAAATATATTAGCCAGAAAAAGCCAAGCTGAAACGCGATCTGGCCAAGCGAGCCTTTAAGAAAAGAAGGACTTCGAGCCACTCTATTGTAATAAACGGTTCTGCCGATGGTAGTATAATTTGTAGCGCTGTCGAAACCATAAATATTATCCCAAGCAGCATTCATGTTCGTATCACAATGTAACATTTACATCATAAAAACTCTAATACCTTTATGATAGAAGAAGAGCTCAACAACAGCAGAAAAAGCACAAAGAGAACAAGAAGAGAAAGATGAGAGAAACATTGAAGAGGAAGCGGTAATTTGTTGGATTTTTAACCTTAGGTGTCACTTATTATGTATGTTCCTAGGATCCGAGTGTTTGGGTTGATTGGTTGAAGTTTCTTAAAAACCATGAAAACGCATTCCATCCATATAGGTAATTCTTACATTCACAATTACGACGAGATAAGGCTAACAGAAAGCAACGTTCTTTTTTATGTAGCCCTGAAGCAAATAATATTATTAGATCTGGGATAGGCATTTCTCCAAAGCCTTATCTAGATCGAGATATTTACAGAAGACATATGCAGAGACGAGCAGAAATGCCTGACTCAATTCCTCAAGCATTCCATCAGTATATTGATAAATATATTGAATCTGTAAGTATTTGCTAGTATAAAGCATGATTGCAAAGACAATCTAATGTGATGGATTTAGAACGATATAATGCAAGCCAAGAAGCAAATCGAGGCTCTTACGCTATATCTATTAACTAATGAAGATAATCGGCATATTACTGCCAATCTAAAACTTCTTGAACAGCTTCTCCAGCAAGTGTGAGTTGAGTCTTTTTCTAGAGTTTATACAAACTAATCAATCTATGTTTAGGCAAAAGTCTTATGAATCATACATTGACTATAACTCATCTGAGGATGCTTTCAACCAACTCTTTATATGGCCATATCTTGATGTCATAAGCAAAAGCATTTTTATTCATAACTGTAAAGCTGACTTTGCTCAAGGTCAGCCCATTTTAAAAACAATGAGTCGACAATTAAAAAAATCCAACCTCTATGTTGACGATAAATGCCAATATAAATCTGATGGACTTGTTAAGCTATTTGGATTCAAAGAACTCGAAGTGTTGGTACTTGAGACATCCGGCAATTTCATCAACAAAGACAAATCCAAGATAAACTTTGATCATCACAAAGCTGTGTTTGGTAATTTGTCAATGCTGAAAAACATAGCCGATGATTATGCTTTTGCTTCTATTGAACAGTTTTTGAAGGTCAAGGTTTTTTTCATTCAAGCTGCGGGTAATGTTCGATACATACTGCACAATTTCTAATAGTTTTTCTAAAAATAGACACAGAGCTTCATTTATGGTCAGTCTGTTACAAGAAAGAAGGTATTTTTGATCTTTGGAGAGAGTGTTACCTTCAAATCATGCCAGACTTCCAAGACAAACAAGACTTTGTACCTAGCTTGATTCAATTCTTCTGGCAATTAAAGGTAATGTGTAGTACAACAATAAAATTCATGCAAGAGTACTAAAACTGTTGTCAAAATAGCATACGGTTGAAGAATCTGTTAGCAGCATTGCCTCCTTGATTGAAGAACATAGTACTACCAAGGCTAAATACAGATATAGCAACGAGCGTCCTGTACTTTTGAATGAAGTCATTAGTCCAATTATTTTGAAGCTGACCAAAGAAGATGATGTCCATGGTATGTTGAACTTGGGCCCTGTTTACTCTCCTCCACATCCTTAGGGTAGGAGAGGCTTGATACGCCCTCTTGGTTCTTGAATAAACTGTTTTCGTTTATTATTTTGACACTTTCTATAATAAAAATAAATCTTTAACAAGGCTCTAGTAATGACTTTTAGCTTTTCTCTCTCCCTAATAAAAGGAAAATATATATGTTTTGCTTTTCGCGCTATTACGTAAGCGAAAGAAGAAATATGCATTCAAAATTGGAATATTTATTCCAACAATGGAAGATTTATTCATTAAGTCAGTTATTAGGCTATTATGACTTAGGTTCACTTAAAATAGCTTTAATATTTAGATAGGATTGGATGGTACTGTCATATAGGATTGTATTTATAGAGCTTGGCATAAGTGGAGTGTCCCCTAAAAAAGCCTGAGTTTGATTTAGTATGTTCATGAAGGATTTTAGAAATTCACCTTTCTTTCGTCTAAAGAACTTTTTAGTAAGTTGGTCTGGTCACTCTTGGTGGTGGTCCATATTTTGCTATAATCCCTTGTGGAAGGTTGTATCTCTTAGGTATCAGCAATTGTGTCAAGTGCCAAGTAATTGAAGACATTTTGGAATGATGTCCTTTACTTGTGGTACTGGTATTGCCATCTGTAGCATTGAACAAGACAAGATATAAAAAGTACTGACTCTCAGGAGCAACGAACGAAAAACTCAACATGTCTTTTTTAGGACATATTAAAGGGTAGCCCAGATGACGGCTATTTTATTGGGATTATATAAGACTCATATAATCGTGCTGAATGCTTCCACAAAAGCATTATTTTGAAGATGTTTTATATGGCTAGTCACTTTGCTTCACATACACTAGTTTCCATTTATACGATGACTTTATTTTTTTTTTCATCCAAAACATAAAAGAGATGATGGACTAAAAGTGTCTATAAACGAAGAGCTATCGAAAAAGTGTATTAACAAAACTGGTATATATAAATAAGGCGCATTGAATGGTGCAAAAAACGCAGCATGTTGAATAGCAAGATAGTGAGCTATCCTTCAAAAACGTATTTTCTGTTTTTGAGCTGTAGTATACATCTTTTATAGTGCTTTTGCAAATGCGACACATTGAGTGTGCTTTATAGACTTAGAGAAACAATTCGTACTAAGACACGCTATATCTGCAACGTCTCTATCGTTCACAAATTGCAAAATAGTGAGAAATGAAGATCTGCAAATAGTACAGGCAAAATGACGATTTTCTCACTTTTTCAAAACTTGCTGTATTTTTGCATAAATATGTTCTTTTATGTATGCTCAAACATAAGAAACTCAAAAGGAGGAGATTAGAAGGCAGGAATAATGGTTTATTTTGAGAATTCTTGCAAGTGATACTGTTATTGTTTTTCAGATTGATTCAAGAAAGAAAGGTAGTTTATGTTGGAGACTTATTCAAGAAAATGCAGTCTATGATTTAAGATTGTACAATAGGTTTGATGCTCGAAAAAGGCATAAATTAAAGATCAAAAAGCATATTAAGTATATAATGTGTCAAATGGAATCAAAAGCTATTTAGTAGCCACAAAGTGTGGATATATGGATGTGGATGAATGGTCATTCATATAAATGGTACTTGGATAGCAGTATCTTTTCTTTTGAATCGACTAAAATGAGGGAATACTCCGTCTATTCCAAAAAGAAGCATAAATGTATAGGTTTCGAAAATAAAATTACTGTTAGCTTTAAAGTATCTCCCTTTTTATCCACTTGTTGTTATTCAATGCAAGTACATATCTTATTTACGGAAAGACTCTGTCTACTTATTACTTCATTTTTTTTTGTAAGAATCTCTTTCAAGATTTTATGTCATTTTTTTTTTGCTTGCTTTTTATATTTTCCAAAAGTGTCACAAATATTTGTGAATAAAGCGTAAAGCTACACATATTAACTTTCGACTGAGCCGCATACACTATCATTATGCTTTCTTTGAGAGGTAGGTTTTGAATAGTTGATTTACGCATGTCATTCTTTGGAAATAAGTTTTCTGGTGTGCCTTGAATCAAATGTTGATTTCTATGATACCGAATCACTGGTAGCTGTCGGATGATTACCCCTTATCTGATCCTAATTCAATTCAATTGTTACTACAATGAAAAAGAAAAAATCCGTGAACTATCTGACTTTTATAAAGCAACATGTAGGGTAATAAAACTGACATCGCTTTTTTTTTTGTTTATTTCGTGTAGCGCAAAGAATATGACTTAATAAAAGATCTATGTCATTCTTAATAAAGAATATGCTTACTATAAATGTATAAGAATGAGGTGTGTTTCTGCTGACAAAGCTTACAATAACGCGAATCCTGCATACATGATAGCTTCTGCAAAACCAAAGACGCGCTTTGGTTTAAAAAAAAACAGGTAGTCACATTTTTATACCCAAAATGATGTCCATGGTGAAGGAAAACTTTTATTGAACGTTTGCTGTTGATGATGAACCAAAATCCACCCAAAAGAATAAAAAGACTAGACATTCCTGATAGACCACCACAACGCACTACCACCATGCGTTCTTCAATGAACAGCAATTCACATGCAAGGAGAACAGCAGGTTTCAATACAACAATAAACAAGCATGCCATCAGAAACGGAACTACAGCAACCGTGAGGAGGTTACGAGCATCACCAGTAGATAATCCAAAACAAAATGGAAGAAGTTCGCCTTCTATTATGATACCTGTAGAAAAAGAATCAAATATTCAAGTCGTACTTCGTTGTAAAGGACCAGCTTCTTTAACTGCATCAACTGTTCTACAACATATCGATAGTGAAGAGAAAGCCCAAGTGATGCTCACAACAAACAAAGTAGCCTATACCTTTGATCGCATTTTCAAAGAAGAAACCACACAGCAAGAAGTATATCAAAGTGTTGCAGAACCTATCCTCGAAGACGTATTAAAGGGGTAAGACTTGTTGGCATAGAGACAGCTCTGATTGTTTGATAGGTTTAGCTGCACAATTTTTGCTTATGGACAAACAGGCACAGGCAAGACATACACAATGGAAGGCGATTTAAGGCAATCAGTGAGAGGCAGTGCAGCCAACAATGCAGGTGTCATTCCACGCACTATTTACAATCTATTTCGCATACTTGATAAACAAGAAAAAGAGGCTCATGTCACTGTATCTATGCTAGAGCTTTACAATGAAGAATTACGTGACCTTCTTAGTGCCGAAAATGATCGAACAGAAGTAAAAATTCTCGACAATGGCAGTAATGTGATAGTCAAGGGGGTCAAAGATCACCCTATCATCACTGCTGAAGATGGCCTTGAGATCATGAAAAGAGGTGTCAAGAAGCGTATGACAGCTGCAACGAATTGCAATGAAAAATCAAGGTGAGACCTATCATTCTGTCCCCCTTTTTTTTTGTTATTGACTTGTTCTCTAGTCGATCCCATTGTATTTTCACCATTACAGTCAATCAACCCTTTCGAAAATCAACTGGTGAAGAAGTGATTTTGACAGGCAAATTAAACCTGGTAGATCTGGCTGGTTCAGAGAATAGCAGGACATCTGGCTCAGAGCACATTCGTGCACGTGAAGCTGCCAATATCAATCGCAGTTTACTCACCCTTGGAAGAGTGATCAATTGCCTCGTAGACCAAACACAACATATACCCTATCGCGAAAGTAAATTGACTCGACTCTTGAAAGATTCACTTGGAGGACGTACCAAGACGTGTATCATTGCCACTGTTGCACCTGGCCAACAAAGTCAAGAAGAAATTCGGAGTACTTTAGACTATGCTAGTCATGCTAAAGGCATATGTAATCGACCAGAAAGCAACATGCCATTCAGTCGTGAACTGCATTTGGCTTCACTTATGGATACAATCAAAGGACTTCAAGATGAACTAAGGAACAATTATGAAAAGAATGGTGTATTCCAAACAAAGAAGCAGTACGATGATATGATCAACAAACATACTGAATTAAAAGAACAAGTACAAGAATTACAAAAGCAGAATGAATTTGAAAGACGAACAGCTACTCAAGCAAAATTAGAAGCAAGACATGAAGTACAAGAGATCCATGCTCGTCTATTGGAGACTGAAGAATTACTACAAAACAACAAATCAGAAATTAAGACTCTAAAATACGACAATGAACAAAAGGAAAGGAAACTAAAACAATATGAAGCAGATTTAAAGACATTGGAAGAAAAGTCTAGAGCAAGAGAACAAAGCCTAATAAAAATGGCAGAAGAGAAAGAAGCCCAACTAAAATTAGAAATGGAAGCTACTCATAAGAAACACGACGAATCAATTGCTTCCATGATACAATTTCACAAAGATTTACATCGAGAAATAGACAAAAAATGGGATTTGTTCATGTCAAGTATGCGAAAAGAAGACAATGAACCTACAGTCAAAAATGGAGGCAAGTATAGTAGCTATTTCTCAATTAAACTAATCTGTTTTTTTTATTCAGATATCAGAGGTAAAAAAAGAAGTCACACACAAATTCAATAAATGTGTTCCTGTATATATATATATCTGCCAAGAATTAAAATCCCCTAAAATGGTCAATTTCAGCCTAAATTGTCTTACTATCATCCCTAATCCACTGAGAAATGAAAAATAGCGACGTAATGATGATCATTTAAACCAATAAAACTTTTTGGCGTCACTGAAGGGTAAGGTAAGCCAATGGTGGAGACTGAATATTTAGGGCAATTCTAAAGGCAATCTTCATGTCATAATACGCTTTTGCAGTATGTATGTTTGTATATGACGCGTCAAATATACCATGAGCGTCCTCTAAAAATGATATAGATTGAATGTATTCAGCGTATATTTGACTGTATCTCGAGAATTGGAAAATACTCGAGTCATCATTATACTTCGCGATGAGTTTACGTGTCACAAAAGTTGAATTGAACTTTATATAAAGGCTCATCATCTACTTGAGAAAGTTTTCTTTTTTTTTTCCTCAACTATTCTTTATTACAATGGTCTTCCTCTCTAACGCTATTTCAAATGGTAAGTAAGATAGATTAACTGAATCCAATTCTAATAATATGTATGTAAGCCCGTCTCCAAGAAACCAACAACAAGGGTGAACTTCATCACGAATCTGTAGGTACCACTGTGTATGGTACTCGATGGGCTTCTCAAGATATCCCTAGGTAAGAAACAGGTGACTGATATTTTCGAGTAACTTACTCATACTGTTTGTTTATAGATTTGAAATGCCTGAGGTAAGTTGTGTAACACATTGGTTGGGCTTATTTGTGCATAAACTGATTCTCTATTTCATCATTCGTGTAACAGGAGGAAATGCCATCCAGTAAGTGGCCTTATCGTCTTATTTCTGTGTTTTAACTTGTACTTGTTAGATGTTGCATACCGTTTGATCAAGGATGATTTAGCAGTAAGTATAAAAGCGAAACGCGTTTGATATAGAACTAAAATGATGTGATAGCTTGACGGCAACCCAGCTCTTAACCTCGCTACTTTTGTTACTACTTATATGGAAGATGAAGCTGAAAAATTGATGGCTGAAAACCTTTCCAAGAATTTTATTGACTACGAGGAATACCCTCAAAGTGTCGAGCTTTGTGTAAGTATCTACTTTGGAGGAAACAAATAGATGACTCATCTATTATAGAACCGTTGTGTTAACATGCTTGCTCGTCTTTACCATGCTCCCATGCACAGTGCTGATGAAGAATCGCTTGGCTGTTCTACTGTTGGATCTTCTGAAGCTATCATCTTGGCTACTTTGGCCATGAAGCGTCGTTGGCAAGATGCTCGTAAAGCCAAGGGCCTGCCTATCGATAAGCCCAATTTGGTCTTGGGTGCCAACTGTCAAGTCGCTTGGCACAAGGCCACTCGCTATCTTGAAATTGAATCTCGAGAGGTTGAATGTACTGAAGAGTGTCTCTACATGGATCCTCACAAGGCTGCTGAACTTGTGGATGAAAACACTATTGGTGTCTGTGCTATTTTGGGTTCTACTGTAAGTAGTGGTTACATAAAATAAGCGTTGACTAAACATTTCTATTTTAGTACACGGGTCATTATGAAGATGTTCAGACACTCAATACCTTATTGGAGGCCAAAAACAAAGCCAATGGATGGGATGTCAACATCCATGTGGACGCTGCATCTGGTGGTATGGTAGCTCCCTTTGTCAATCCTGATCTTGTTTGGGATTTCAGATTAAATCGCGTTGTCTCCATCAATGTATCTGGTCACAAGTATGGTTTGACTTATGCTGGCATTGGTTTTGCTATTTGGCGTAGTAAGGAATACTTGCCTGAATCCTTGATCTTCAACATCAACTATCTTGGTAGTGATCAAGCTTCTTTCACTCTCAACTTTAGTAAAGGTGCTGCTCATATCATTGCACAATACTATATTCTCATTCGCTTGGGTCAAAGTGGTTTCAAGAAAATCATGGGTAACTTGACTGACACCGCTGACCATTTATCAGAAAGACTTTTGTCAACTGGTCGCTTTGAGATCCTAAGTGAAACCAATGGTCGTGGCTTGCCTCTTGTGGCTTTCCGTCTCAAGGGAGAACAGCACTATGATGAATTTGATCTGTCTACCAAATTACGTGAACGTGGCTGGATTGTTCCTGCTTACACAATGGCCCCCAAGGTAGAACATATCAAGCTGCTCCGTGTTGTTATTCGTGAAGACTTCTCTCGTTCTCGTTGTGAAATTTTGGTCAAAGATATTGTGGCTGCTCTTCATTTCTTGGACCACACAGATCGAGAAGTTATTAATAACAAACGGTAAGTGACTCGTAAGAGAAATACAAGTAACTCATTTTCTCTTTGTTTAGTAAACATCATCAAAAGCATTCCCACAGCTCTCTTTATGCTTCCAATTCTAACAAGGCTGGAGTCAAGGCTTCCAAGAAAGCTGAACATGAAGCCAATGAAAAGACCGAAGATAACAAGAAACCAGTTCAAGGCATTTGTTAATTTTATTTATTTTGTTTAATAAACAAAAAAAAAAAAGTGCTTTATATACAAATGATCATATGCTTTATAAACAAAAAAAAAAGCTACCAAAGTATCGTCTACTGACCTTGAATTGACTCATTTGCTATAAAAAAAAAAGTTTCGCGCATCTCATACTTTCTCTTTTTTTATTCTTTTTCAACCAACGATATCAAAAAAAAAATGACAAACTTCAAAGAAGTCTGTACTGTTCCTACAGACTTTGGAGTTACATTTACAAAGCTCAGAAGTGACAAGATTGGTCTTACAGTTATGTTGGCCGATATTGAAGGTTAGAGAACACACTTTTTTTTTACACAACCGACACTTTTCTATTTTAGGCCCACTTGTCAATGGTTATTTTGCTTTAGCCACAGAAAGTAAGATAATAACAATAATACGCGTATATTCAAATTTGATAGGTTTTGATGATTTTGGTTGTCCTCATACATTAGAACAGTAGGTCGCATGTTTTTTTTTCTTATTTCAGCTCATTTTTTTTCTAATTTCATGATAGTCTTGTTTTCCTTGGAAGTCAACAGTATCCATACAAGGTAATAAGCTGAAACATACATGGCCTTTTCTCATCATTCAAATATAGGGTGTGCTTGATTCATTAGCCAACCGCGCCATTGCACAAGGTACAAATGCTTGGACAGATGTCGATCATACATGTTACACCATTACCACGGCTGGATCAGAAGGCTTCTTGAAGCTTTTACCTATCTATGTGGATCATATCTTGTACCCTACCCTCACTGACACAGGCTACCATACTGAAGTACATCATATCAATGGCAAGGGCGAAGATGCAGGTGTAAGTCGATCTCTTGAGAAATACAATACTTATGCAAGCTAGGTTGTCTACAGTGAAATGCAAGGATGTCAAAACTTGGAAGATGATAGACTTCATCTTCGTATGAAGAGAATCATGTACCCTGAGACGTGTGGATATCGATCTGAAACTGGTGGTCTTATGGAAAGATTAAGAGAATTATCTGTTGAAAAGAGTAAGCTGGAAAATCGAATAGCAAGTTGAATTGATCTCTCTTGTAGTCCGTGATTATCACAAATCTTATTATAGACCAGATAATCTCTGTTTGATTGTTACTGGTACTGTTGATAAAGAGGAACTCCTAAAGGCATTGGAACCTGTTGAGGAATCTATCTTGAGCAAGGGACCTCTTCCTGAAATGCAAAGACCTTGGGTAAACACTGGAGATTTTCCTAATCTCGAAAAGAATGTAGAAGAAACTGTATTATTTGCTGACGAAGACGAATCTATGGGCTCTGTCCTGATTGCTTGGAATGGTCCTATGTGCAATGTAAGTAGTTTGTTGATAGACAGTTTCTTATGAAGTAAATATGTAGGATTATTTGCAACAAAAAGAATTGGAAGTCCTGAATGAATATCTCACTGATTCTCCTGTATCTGTTTTGCAAAAGGAATTTGTTGAAATAGAAGATGCTCTTTGTACAGACGTTGATTTCCATATCACGGATCATTTAAAATCGACTCTGATGTTCACTGCCTCAAGTGTTCCTCTTGAAGAAATTGAAAACTTCCCTAATGAATTCTTTGACTTACTTAAGCGTCTTGTTGAAACAAACGATATTGACATGACAAGAATGTCAACTGTGATTGAGAAAGAAACATTGAAGGTAAGACACAAAAGAAGAGTATAATGGTTGTGCATGATTGACTTATTGGAAAATATGAAGCTTTTGGAAAGTGCCGAAACAGATGCTCATGGTACGGCTGCTGCCGCCGTTGCTATTTCTGATTTCCTTTATGGGTCACCTGATGGTAAAGATTTGAAGAACGCTGTAAGAGATCAAGAATTTCTTAATATGCTTGCCAAGTACACAGCTGCTGATTGGCTCAAGATACTTAAAAAGTAAGTAGAAATGATACCTTCTCTTGCTTATTCTATTAAATAGGTGGTATATTGATGCTCCTCATATCACTTTGTTTGGTAAGCCCTCTGCCGAGTTTGCTGAACAACAAGCCGAGGAAGAAACTAATCGTATTGAAAAGCAACGTTCTGAACTTGGCGAAGAGAAATTGGCAGAACTACAAAAGAAACTCGATGACGCTATGGCTAAAAACGATTATCCTGTTCCAAAGGAGATTTTGGAAGGCTTCAAAATACCTTCAGCTTCTACTATCGAGTTTATTAATGTGATCACTGCCAGAAACAATGACAAAACTTTGTAAATAACAAAGAATCAGCTATCATGAAATCATACTCACTTAAGCATCATTAGATCAAATGAAGTCCAAGACCATATCAACCAAGATAACAGTACTGACGTTCCTTTGTTTATTCAATATGATCGTAAGTAAACAAGAAAAAAGTAGAGAAATCTAATCTATATCGTTTTAAGATGTCAAGTCGCATTTTGTCAAGCTTTCAGCACATGTTAGTGCTTCTTCCATTCCTTCACATTTACTTCCTTACACTCGACTCTTCTTGAAAGCTATCTTTTCTTTGCCTATTGAAAAAGATGGCCAATTGATTGGTTATGAAGATGTTGTCAAAGGGTTAGGTGAAGATACAGTCGAATACGAAGCATCACTTGGAACAAGCTTTGGATTTAAAGAATTTGCTGTCTTTACTTTAAAGGCTAAGTCTTCCAAGTTTGAAAAGTCAATCCAATGGCTACGTGATATCTTATGGAACACCAAGCTCACACCTGAGAGATTGAAGATTGTTGCTTCTCAAATTTTGAACGATATTCCTCAAGCTAAAAGAGATGGTCATGATGTAAGTCACTTTATCTATTTTAAAAAAGAAACATATGAGTGACATTTTATTCAGATGGGCAATGCTACTATGAGAGCACTTCAAGTTGATCCTAAAAAGTCTGTCAATAGTGCACGTAATATTTTGTTCCAAAACAACTTTTTACAAGATGTCGTCAAGAGATTAGAAGAGAATCCAAGCTCTGTCTTGGAAGAATTGAATGAATTCCGCACAACATGTAAGTTCTCTTCTTTTCTTTTTTCTGTTCCATCTGAACTATTTATATAGTGTGCTCTCCCAAGAACATTAGAATTCATGTTACAGGTGATATTTTGAGCCTCAAAACACCCAGAACTGCATTCAAAAGCTTTGCTCCACCCAACAGCACATATGAGCCATTAGCATCAGTTACACTTTCTCAACAAGTGCTTTATCCTGCAGGAATGGAGCCAGGCAACAATGGTTTTATTGTGACTTTACCCAGTATTGAAAATTCCTTTTCATACCACACTGTAAAGGGTCCCAGCCGATTTGAGGATTCTGATATTGCTCCCCTCTTGGTCATGATTGAATTGTTGGATACTATGGAAGGCATCTTTTGGAAATTGATTCGTGGACAAGGCTTAGCTTATTCTTGCTTCTTGGATGCTAACATTGAAGCTGGTCTAATCAACTTTACTGTCTTCCGATCTCCTGATGCTTTCAAGGCTTTTGAACAGGCCAAGATTGTGATTGAACAGTTAGCCAACCATGAAATGGAGATTGATACTTCTGCTGTCAATGGTGCAAAGAGTGCTGTTATTTATAGTTTGGTTGCTAAAGAAAACACTATGGATCGTGCAGCTCTTCAATCCTTTGTAAACCAAGTATTGAAGAAGATGCCTGCTTCATACAATAGGGACTTATTGATTGCTATTCAGGTAATATTCTACCCCAAAAAAAAAAAAGAGATTCTGATTATCTTTAGGCTGTTACTATGGATGATTTACAACACGTTTTGAACAAGTATTTTGTCAATATGTTTAAGCCTAATACAAGCAATGTAGTTGTAGTCAGTACACCGAACAAAATTGTAGATATTCAAAAGGGATTCGAACGCTTAGGATTTGGAATGAAATCAATTGCGCTAAATGACATTACTATTGATGGTATTGTTTAGACATATTTTTTTAATCAAAAATAAAATAAACAAGTTTATGTTAAAAGTTTAATGCAAACACATTCACCAATGCATACAGAGATCGAGATTCATGTCTGTAACTAGCACTGCCTATAATAGCAATAAAGTTTGAGATATTGAAAGAATTTGGCAAGGTGATCTTACCATCATTTTGGTTATCCCAATAAACAGAACTTCCTGTATAAAATCCGGTTCCTTTATTTTGCAGAATCACACAGGTAACTGACAAGAAGAGATGAGTTGTACGTTTAGAATTGTTTTTTTTTGGACTTACCAACATATTTATAATTTGAGTTCATACTCTTTAATTTGTTCAGACATCCTTCAATGATGTTTGAGCTCCATGTAGCTACTTTGGCATGAGAATATTCTGCATCACCAAGCGTATTTTCTATAATCTAAGGATTGGGTTGAATAAAATGCCATGCTTGCTTATGTTCTTCTTATGTATTCTTACTGACTTCTTTGATAATAGCTGTAACTTCTTCTGAATTGAATTTTTTTTCCTGCAAAATTAAAGCCATTAAAAAAAAGAGCGCGTTCTTTATTGTTGTCCACCCCAAGTGTTTTATCTTACTTCAGACTTAATAGCTGATGATGTGGAATCCTTGTTGGTTGTATCCATCTTTAAAAAAATATAACAAAGAAAAAAAAAGGTTAATAAATTCCTTGACCACAAAAAGTCAATGGTCACGAGAAATTAATCTACAACTTCATATCACCATTAACCCCGCCTCATTTTATGGAGAACTTCGTTGATCATCCCCAGATGTATTCAACAGTCGCATATGGTGATAAATAACTCGTCTTTGCTGCAGTTCTTCTAATTATAATGAAGTCGCGTAAATTAATATTCTTATATTGTGAGAGGCTACTGATATTACGTTAGCTTAATGAACTAGTTGAGTAGGAAGTATGCAGATTTCTTCATATGCTTATACTGTTATGGGTAGATATACGCCCTGAGATAGTTCTAGAAATTTGCTGAGTTTAACTGAGTTTGAATAAGGGCGCACCATCATTCTGTTTAAAGGACGCGTCAGCCTTTTTTTTTCTTTTTACACTCTTTTTACAGCTTCTCAACGTGTTTGTTTTTTGCCCTCTTATAGGGAAACGATACTAGTGTCCTTGAGATGATGAACTAGGATTAACTACGTTCTCTATCAAGATAGTCTTGCCCTTTTCTCTCTCCAAAAGGGTCTTGCCGAATTTGATAGCGTTAAACAAACATCGTTTTCCAGTTAAAAGGTTCAGTACGCATCATTGCTTATTGAGCTGCCCTACCAACTTCACTTTGCTGGGTTGAGGCCTGTATAGGGGAACTTGGATATACAATAGCCTCTTTGTTCTGTTTGTAAGATTGCTTAGCGATCACTCTTTACACAGGCCGATTTCCTTAAAAAAGAGAGAATGTTTAAATGCTATTGCTGTTGCTTCTTGCGACTTTTGAGTTGCTTGTAAAGACAGCCTCTGTTTATTTGGCGCATTTTATGTAAAAAATAAACACGCGTAAGGGTTGACTTATGGTCTTGTCCGAGGGGGTATTCCATCTTAGTTATGCGCACTGGCAGTCCAAGTCCAAATATTCCCAACGCTGGAAGGTTACTATCTTTTCTTGGCACCTTCTTCTCACTTGTGGGGAGGGATCTATCAGATAGTAATAAGTTTAACCCTGTTCGTGGTATCTTGGTAGTCTCATTTCTTGTATGTGTGGCTATTAGGATATTGCAGCAATCCTGGTCTTTTGCTACTGCGATGGTGCTAGCAGAAAGCAGTAGCGAAGGTTACTGGGATTGATAGTCATTCGTCCTTTCTTGGGATGCAGATCCTTTTGTAGTCTCTATTTTAGTTTCGCGACTAGGGTAGTCTCTCTTAAGCATGCTTCACCTCTGAGGGGTACCTGTCTATTCGTGGCAAGCTCTATTGATTTAGGGACGACTATCAGACAGAGTAATGGCTTATAGTATTCGTTCATTCATTCATTTGGGTGAATTATCTATCAAAAAACTGGGAGTTTTTTTTTTTTGGTAGAGTGAATACTATTGCTTTAGCAGGTTGGTCTATTGAAAACTAGCTGCTTTGGAATTTGAAGGTGGCCACCTTTAGTCTAGGGCTTAAAGTTAGTTTTATAGATGGCTATCAGTTTTTACTGACTTCTTTTATGAGTTGGGATTTTGGTAGTGCAATCACTAGAGCGCCTTTTTTATATACAATTAAGTAGCTATCTTGTATAGTTTGCTTTGTGCGTACGCGCACCATCTTTTTGGGAACTCAATTGAAACTGGTTTAGGTCCTCGTCCTAGTTCCTGGAAACAAATGCTTACAGTATTTGGCTAAAGTACCAGTTTCTCTTTGTCTTTTTATTCAATAAAGTATATTAGTTTTTAGACATTTACGCGTTTTTTTTTCTTTTCTTTTTTATAGAATAAAGGCTTTCACTTGTTCTATAGTACTAAAGACAGGAGCAATGAGTGTCAGTCAATATCAGTGGTCTCAAGTTTCGTAATCAATCTATGCTGTAATATTATTTTATACATGAAACTCCCTCAGTCTGAGCTTTTATTATGTATCAACCAAAGCAATAGTCTAAAAGACATAAACAAATGCTTCCAGTTAGATGTATAGTCTCGATTACATGTTATTCTTTGACGAACTATATTGCTTGAAGATCAAACTGTTATAGCGGCTACTTTTTCTACATATAAAGTTGTACGAATGCCTTCTCTTTAATCTAAGAGAATAAGATAACATTCTCTACAAAGATCTCACTCTCGTACCTTTTTAAATAAATTTCTGAAGACAGAAAAATTGCATGATTCTCATCCTTGAATAAGCCCCTTGAGGCATAGATGATGAACATTATAAATTGTATAGAATAAAAGCTTAAATCATTCATTAAAAGAAAACAGAAAAAAGAAGAAGAACTAGTGTTTGATATGGCCACCTTTTGTATCAATCACCGCTTGGCATCGGCTTTTCATGCTTCAGACCTAGCGGGCAATATATTCTTGCCTAATGCTCTCCCACCCTTGTCGAAGTATCGACTTGAGGTTTTCGATAGTGTGAACCTCGAACCGTCTATTGTTCACAAGCTTTTCGAAAGCATTCTAAATATACTCGATGGAGTTCAGATCAGGGCTTTGAGCAGGCCAGCACTCAAAGCACCTAATCTGATGAGTGTTCTTCTATCATCGAGCATAGACGCCTGTGTGGCAAGCGGCAGCATTTTTTTTTTTTTTTTTTTTTTTTTTTGCAAGGAGAAGTCCCTATCTTGAATTGTGGTGAGTTCCATTAACCAAGGATGGAATGTCTGGGTCGAGATATTAACATATACATCCTGGTTAAAGGAGTCCACTTCAACAACAGTCAAAGGCCCGAAACTCCCTGCTCCAGCTCAAAAGCATCCCCAGACTACAATACCATTGCCTCCCCATTTTACTGTTGAGACGGTGTGAGTCTCCTCGCATTGCTCACTGACTTTTCGAAGCACTCTTCTGTCTGAATTGCTAGAAAGACAAAACTTCCGCTTCACCCTGATGTCAAAGGACATAGTGTATTTGTCTGTATAGCTTGCCATACATTTTGGCAAAGTGACATTAGCACAGCAAAAAACATGATTTCTCTCTCTGTCTGGAGTGAATGCGGAAATGTTCAGCAACTCATAGACTCCATATGTTTCAATCACTTCATTCGTCGAAAAATCTAGTTAAAAACAGCCAGATGTAGAATGACAGCTGCTTCTTCTCATTGGCCGATATGTGATGATTAATTTAACCGAGAAGGACATTGATTTGCGAATGGTTTAGAGCAAACCACTATTAAAAAAAAAAAATAAGCGCAGCCCTGTATTTTTTACCTTTTTCTCTTTCATATATTTCACACATGGCCTCTAGATTGTTGCTGCCTAAATTCAGTAAGCCTCTTTTAGGCAATTTACATGTACGTAGTATCAATAAAATCTATAAGACAACTAAACTTTTGCTAGTATCGCCGTAGTTTAGCAACTGCTACCAACTTACTTCCTTCTTTGCGTAAAACCATTTTACCTAATGGTTTTACAGTAGCCACCGAAGAGAATCCTGCTTCACAAACAGCCACTGTAGGTGTCTGGATTGATGCTGGATCTCGTGCAGAAAACGTCAAGAACAATGGCGCTGCTCACTTTTTAGAACATATGGCCTTCAAAGTAAGCTTTCCTCCCCCCCCTCCCTCTCTCTTAAAGCAATTTAACTCATGCGATTAAAAATAGGGCACAAAATCAAGAACACAACGCGATTTGGAACTTCAGATTGAAAATATGGGAGGACACTTGAACGCCTATACTTCCCGTGAACAAACAGTTTATTATGCAAAAGCTTTCAAATACGATGTTCCTCAAGCAGTTGAAATTCTTTCTGATATTCTTCAATACTCCACACTTGATCCTGGCGCTATTGAAAGAGAACGTGATGTTATTCTTAGAGAACAAGAAGAAGTTGAAAAACAAATGGAAGAAGTTGTGTTTGATCATTTACATGCCACAGCTTTCAAAAATGAATCTTTAGGCTTGACTATTTTGGGTCCTAAAGAAAACATCCAGTCACTCACCCGTGACGATCTTTCGAATTACATTAAAACCAACTACACTGGTGAGCGTATGATTCTTGTCGGCACAGGTGGTGTGGATCATGATGCACTTGTTAACCTTGCTGAACAGCATTTTGGTCGACTACCCAACAAGCTTGATGCTTCTACTAGCAAGAGCGCTATGAAGAAAGCTGTCTTTACAGGCTCTGATTTTCGTGTGATGGATAAAGGACAACAAGCCCACATTGCTGTTGCAGTAGAAGGTGCCAGTTGGACATCACCCGATTATTTCCCTCTCTTGGTAATGCAATCCATCATTGGCTCTTGGGATCGTTCTTTGGGTGCTACTGGCCATATGGATTCTCGCTTATCTTCCGTGTTACATAACCAACAATTAGCCAACTCATTCATGTCTTTCAACACATCTTACAAGGACACAGGTCTTTGGGGTATTTACTTGATTACTGAAAACAAGGAACGTATTGAAGACTTACTTCGATCTACAAAGAATGAATGGGCTCGATTATCTAGCTCTGTTACCAATGAAGAAGTGCAACGCGCCAAACAACAACTAAAAGCAGGCTTATTGTTAAGTTTGGATGGTAGTACACCTATTGCTGAAGACATTGGCCGCCAATTGTTAACATCTGGAGACCGTATGTCACCTAAGGAAGTAGAACAATTGGTTGCTCAGGTTACAGTAGAAGATGTGCGACGTGTAGCCCAAACTTATTTACAGCGCGATGCAGCTGTTGTCGGCATTGGCGCAGTTGATAACATGCCTGATTTTAATCGTCTCTAGAGAATAAAACGGATTTTATACTACATCCACGTGTGCATTGTCGTTTTGACATTTTATCATGCGTTGAATTGACCATTTCCTATTGGCTCATAGGAATTCAGGTCAGAGTTGTGAATTAAGCAAATGGAGTGAATTTCATTATTCTATTGGATAATGTCAAATCAAGAATTCTTGAATGCTTTGATGATCTCTTTTTTGTGTTTAAGCTTTACATATATATACACTATACCTAAAAAGAACTCAGGACCTTATTTTCCTTTTCTTTTTTTTTGTTTGTCTTCTTTCCTTATCTGATGCTTTTTTAATGTCATCTCCTCATTACTATCCACCTCGCTCACAGTCTTATTCTAATACAAAATACAATAATCCAGCAAAATTAAGATCCGAATCAATTTCTGCCATATCAACTATGTCTTCGTCTTCATCTACCTATTCTCACGGCTCCCATTTACTGAATTCACAGTTTGTATTGTCGCCCACAAGTGAATATCCTCGAACTCCATCCAGTTACTTAACCAACACAACGGGTGATTATGATGGAGCCTATCCACCCTCCACACCAAGCGAGCATTCTTATTATTTAAATACACCACTTCCTCGGCCTTCTGATTATTCTCATATGGCCAGATCACCGCCTCACTCTATGTACGGATACGACGTTAAGAACAGCTATGTCGTTGATGAAGAATCAAGTACATTTGGGCCTATTCAACACTCATTGTCTTCAAGAACAAGCACTAGTGCAGCATCAGATACTATTTTCCCACCTACAGAAGCAATGAAACTCAAGTCCAATGCCGCCTTGTTGGCCACCGAAGCATCCTTCAAGGTTGTTTATGCTGGTGATGCTACTTATAAACCTGACAAGGGCATCCTCAGCAAAAGCAAGCGTGCCCATTTCGTGCTCACAAATAATCATTTGCTAGTCTACAAATCATCTCAGAAAGCTCGAAGTGAAATCAACATTTTCGATCATCATAATGGTGAAGGTGTCAGTAAAGAAGCCATGGCAAAGATCTTTGATAAAGATAGGGTCTTGCTTAAACTATCCAGTGTTTATGCTATTCAACTTGTGGCCACCGCAGCTTGTGTCTTTCGCATCGAATATTTTCATCCTCAGTCTGGTCAGGCACTTTCACACACATTGACTGTCGATACAGATAAAGAGTGCAAACAATGGGTTCAAGCACTCAGAAAGTCTGTTCGTATCCATCATACCCGCATCGAAATTATTTCGCCTACAGAACGTTTTACAGTACTTGAGCGCTTAGTCAAGCAAAGCGACACGTTCACAAAGTCAGATCAAGTCAAGATGTTCAAGGTGGTATTCAAAGAAAAACGATACAAAGTAGGTGGCGATTTACCCAAGGAAGTCTTTTTACCAGTGATTATGGCCATTGGTAAATTTAGCTTCTATTTCTTGCCCATCAGTATATTGGACGATGAATATCTCAAGACAGTAGAACGAGACCGATTTGGCTTTTTGTCACTCTTGTCTGTTCGTTACGAAAATGTCGATGATACAGTCATACTTGAAATTAAGCAAGTAGGAAAAAGCAATCGACAACTTGTGTTTGCATCTACTTTTTGTGAAGATATTATTCAATACTTATATCGTGGTATGGAGTCGCTTGTTCCTGGTTCAGCAAGTCAACTGTATGCAGATCGAGTTCCCGCTCATATCAAGCAAACGCAAGTCATGCCACTGGATATTCCTGCAGACCCAGAGGATGAAGTCAGTGGTCATGATGATAAGGAAATCAAGCAATTCAATACTACCCTTCGAGCTTATTGTGCTGCTATGAACATGAACAAGTCTCGTTTCAACTATACCATCACAGGTCCTTTGAAGAACAAGACATTTACACTATTACCTCCTAACGAAATTGGTCAAACACCTGCTGAATACGAAAAGTATGAACTACTTGCTATCTTTAGGACCATTCAAGCCAATGTATGTATCCACTTTAGAGAACAAAGTTTCCTAACTACTTTTAATAGAACATCTTTATCGAAGTGTGTTTTGCTAATCGTTCTTTGCATACCTTGGAAACTTGGAAACTTCAACCTAATCATGGCTGGTCATTTAACAAACATCACCCATTAAAAGATGAAAACTTGCTTTCAAATGAGCTCTATACTATTTTGACAAATCTCAAGTTACTTCGCAAACTCGACCTCACCAACTGCTCGATTGGAAAGCCCTCTGAAGAACTTATGAATCGACAATCGTCAGCCATTGCTACCATTGGTATTGTTATGCGTTCCGGTAAAACACATCTAAGCCGTGTCTGCCTTGGCAAAAATATCATTTCTGAGCAAGACTTGGGTAGACTTGTTCAAGGTATTCGGGAACATAAGAAATCCATCAAGGAACTCTATCTAAACGAATGTGGCCTGCAAAAAAACATGATTGAGCTGGTTCTCAAGACACTGTACGAAAAAACACCTGAGCAAATCATCAGTTTAGATCTATCTACCGAGAAGCCTATGGCTATTGATCCTGTCTTGATTGAAAAGATAGTGCCTACCTTTAAGCGACTCGAATACCTGAGAATGCGAGGCTATCATCTGTTGAGTAGGAGCTATCGCTTCATGCTGGAATCAAGCCGTCTTCGTGAACTGGATCTCGGTGGCTCTCGTATGGATGCAGATACAGTGACTCGTCTATGCAAATGGATGCAGACACCTTCTTTTCAATCCATTGAAGCTCTTCATCTAGGTGACTGTAATCTCAATGGCAAAAACGTTTATGATATCTTGATCTGTATCAGTCAATCAGCCAATCGTTCTATGCATCTCAACTTGGAAAACAATCCGATCATGAAAGAGGTGATGCATTTACCCAAGTTGCATTCTGCTATTCTGCAAGGCGAGGGTCCCAAATCCATTTCTTTTGCTCGTATTGAATGGGACGACTCAACGTTACGTGAATTTATTGATTGCCTTAGAGACAACCAGATAATTACTCATTTGGATCTGTCAGATATCAGTATTCGTGACACAGAAGAATTATCCGTGGACACAGTGCGTATGCTGACCTCTCTTTTCGAACGCAATACGTGCATTACTGAACTCGAACTCAACTTAAAGCACAACAAGTTGCCTATCTCTGCTTTGAGCTCCATTCAACCCAAGTCACTTATTTCTTATGCTGTTGTACAGGCCTTGCAAGGTCTTCGTCACAATAGTTCGCTTCAACATTTGGATATTTCTGGCTTGAATATCGAAGATGCTGGTGCCTTTGCTTTGTCTCGTGTGCTCAAGACAAACAAAACATTGCAATCGATTATCATTGAAGAAAACAATGCAAGTATATGCCTCTAACAATTCATCATGTATTAATATGTTTAATAGATTTCAATTGAAGGTTACCGCAGTATTCTCAAGTCAATTGAAGAAAGTGCCAAGCAAGTCATTAATCTTCCTTTACCCCGTGTGGATATCCGCAATCAGTTACGATACCTTGTCTTTCGTATTGAAGAACTCATACTATCCGAGAATGAAGCTCAGTTCTTTTTGATTCATACAACAGCAAGCGATAAAAAGAAACTCAAGAAACATGAACTTGAGATGATTATTCAAGAACGTAAAGCATGCGAAATTGCCTTGAAGAATCTGGAAATTGTTGTTCATTCATTGATGGTAACCGTACGTAAAAACATGCGCGAATACGAAGAGCAGACGTATCGAACCATGGAGTTCCAATTACAAGCACAGAATGCAGCTCAGGAATTGGCGATTGCTCAAGTTCGATTGCAAAACAGACCAGCCAATGCCATTCATGCTCGCGGCAGGTATCCAAGCAGTAGTGGAGCCAGTACAACAAGCAGCACAACGAGCAGTGTTGTTGGTTCATTGTCCCGAAGTGTCAGCCGTAATACGTATTATCCTCATCCTAACAGCCGAAGGTCAGCCATGAGCTCAGAGAATTCAGTTAGTAGCTTTTCGTCGCCCTCGCCTTATGCTGCCTATAACAGTGCTGATCAGCGTATGTATATGTCTCGTACCAACCATAATACCCATGAAGAAATGTCTATGGGTAAGCCCCATACTTACGATCAAAGACTACAATCACCTATTACACCCTCTTTCGAATACTCGGATCCTTATTTTAGAGAGCTTGACTCTGGTTATATTCATGGCCAATCCTTGGAAAGCTTTGTTACAGATGATCCTGGCTTTATTAGTGATTTTGGTTATGTTGATGATTTTGAGCAAGGAGGCTTAATTGATCCTCATTTCTCAGGTTATCATCCTAAAGCTAATTCTACCTCTGATCAAGATTCTATTTGGAATGAAGAACAAATTGTGCAAAGATTGAACAATGGCCTCTATCTCCCTCCAGATGAAAGAGTTTGACCATAAGAATCGTTCCTCCTGTCATTCATTTTTCTTTGTGTGTTATGCTTTCTTTCTCTTTTTGTGTCCCGCCTTTCTTTTGTTACTGTATGCTGTCTATCCTTTATCATTCCATGTATTATACACTTTATTGAGAAAATAAAACAAAATCTATATTGTTACCTAAAGAGCTTTTGGATTAGGATATCTTTGAATGACAAAAAACTAAGCTAATTTTCATTTCGATTCAGTGTATAATAAAATACTATTACTTTTTGTTTTTAGCTTGATGGTATTTTACACAAATCTTTAAGAAAGGTTCACCTAGTCTAGCGTAATTCTCTGGTTTCATAGGTGTCACTAACAAGAATTCTCTATCTGTTAACGGTAATTTCTCGGCCTAATGATGCATTAGAAAAGAAAAAAAAAAACTGAAAATAAACTTACAAGTTGTCTCAATGATGTATCTGTCAAAATACTACTAGGTGTCTGAAGATTGTATTGGCTCATCAACTGTGCTCTGAGTGCCTTAAATTCTTTCATACAAGTAACAAAACCATCATCTTTTGGTGGTGCTGAAGAGGACGGACTCCTTGATGTTGTCTTGGTAGGTGCTCTGAAATTCGTTGTCGGCAATACTCTCCTACCACCCGAAATCCGTGCTTGACCAGCTGCTGGTGGCACCATGGATCCAGCAGACACAAATCCAGTTTTGGTTTGAGCCGTATTTAACGTGGTCGTTTTAGAATAAGACACCAGTATCTTGTGTGTTCCATTCAATACACTCCCTGCCTTCACACTTGGAAAGACTTGGGTGATAGGGAACCCTCTTGCATTACACTCAGATTTTTCACGGATAACATCGTCCAGCATCATCGTACGTAACAGACGATCCACATCTTGACGCAGCATACTCTTACCATGACCATACCCATTTAGTCGATCATGACCATGGTCCAACAGACGCTTGTTTTTAGAGCCACGAAAGATATCTGCCAATTGAGCAAAAGTGACACGATCAGGCTGGATTTGTTCCATGATTTTGATGATCACGATAGCTTCGTTGGACAAGTCCTTCATGACATTCTGAGCGTGTTGGCTATTGACACAGTTATCACACATACGACGACACAGGGCAGTATCGAACTTTTCACCAAAATAGCCCATGATTTGTTTACGTCGACAGTCTGTAGTATTATCACAGAATCGAATCATTGTATTCAGGTTGTTGCGTTGACGTTGCTTTTGTTCCCAACTGCCATCGCCTTGATCAATCAAAAAGTTGTGTGTACGAGTATCTGCAAACGAATAGTAGAGTCGACATGTAGCAGGCAAACCATCGCGACCAGCACGGCCTGTTTCTTGATAATAGCCCTCAACAGACGAAGGCACAGAATGATGAAGTACAAATCGAACGTCAGGCTTATCAATCCCCATACCAAAAGCAATAGTAGCTGCAATGACTTGTACTTGACCTGTCTGCCACTCACGTTGTACAACCATTCTTTCTGCAGGTGTCATAGCTGCATGGTAGTGTTTGATAGACAGACCAAAATCACGGCGCAGTGTTTCGGCTACTTGTTCGCAGTTGTTTCGTGTAGAGCAGTAAATGATACCTGATTGACCTGGATGTTGACGTATGAAATCATTCATGTCTTTACATATAGTCTTGCCAGACTTTTTCACAACTTGATAACTAACAAGGCATTAAGTACATGCGACTCACACTACATTATAGCTTACATGAGATTACTTCGATTGAAGCTCTGTTTCAATACTTTAGGATTCCTCATCTTGAGATTAAACAACACATCTTTTTGAACAGCTTCATTTGCAGTTGCTGTCAATGCCATAATGGGTACATTAGGATAAGAGTCCTTTAAGAAACCTAACAGTTTATAGTCTGGTCTAAAATCATGTCCCCATTGAGATACACAGTGTGCTTCATCAATCACAAATCGAGCCAGTTTGTTGCGTCTGTGCAAGTTATCCAATGTGGATCTCAACTGGTTGGATACACTCAGTAATTCAGGTGTCACATACAGTAATTGCATAGTAGGTGTAGCTAACTGGAGATCCTCAAAGATCCATTTCTTTCGAGAGGCAGGCACAGTACTGTTCAACATGCCTGCTGCAATACCTTTCCCTTCCACTAATTGTTCTACTTGATCTTGCATCAGAGACAATAAGGGAGATACAACAAACGTGACACCTTGTCGTTCAAAGCGTTGAATGATAGCAGGTAATTGATAACAAAGACTTTTACCACCACCTGTAGGCATAAGCACAAACACATCTTCACCCTTCAGTGTTGTATTGATGGCTTCAAGTTGATTAGGACGAAATTCGGTTAATCTGAAGTTTTGAACAAGAGCTTTGCGAACATCTCTGCTCCATGGATAAGTCGGTTGAGGAGCAGATGGTGGAGTAGGGACAGCTACTTGGGTTGAAATAACATGAGAGGCATTGGGTGATAAGACAGCCGCCGTTCTTGTTTCTGTGCCTGAAAAGAATGGAGATACTTCTGGTGTAGTTTCATTATCCAGCACAACCATTGTACTGTCTGTAGGTGTATTGTTTGTAGGTGTATGATTGACAGGTGTATGATTGGCTGATAGGCTGTCATAGTTATCAAGTTGCTCTTGTACTTGCTTAATGTCTTCAACAAGCTTCTTTCTTTCCTCCAACAATCTGTTCTGCTCTGCTTCACTTGCATTATTTGATAATCCCTCTACTATACTGTTGTTCACTTCATGTTGTTGTTCCTTAAGTGTATCCAAAATCATTTTCAATTCTTCTTTTGTCTGTGCTGGTTTTACTGTATCTAATTCCATCATAGCTTCATCATCAATAGAAAGAAACATACTCGAATCTTCGTCTATACCATCCTCTAGTATACCAAAATCATCATCATCATCATTATGGGTCGGCACAAAATCACCATCATCGTCATCATCATTTATAACAAAGTCGTCCATGTCCATATCATCAAAAGGAACAGGAGAAGTAACTTTAGATCGCTTAGGTTGACTATCTGTCAAGTCAATCAAGAGTGCATCATGATCAGATGTTCTCTTTTGATTGGTAAGTTCATTCTCTCGATTTCTTTTTTGACCTGGTATTGCAGTCTCATTGAATGAGTGAGTCTTAGTGCTTAATGTAGAAGAAGTGAATGTGTAGGTATGCGTAGTTGATCTAGAATCTGTTAAATTGGAAGCATGTGTAGTGATAGAAAGAGGAGGTGAGTCTAATGAGGTATGCGTAGATATGCTTTTTGATAGATCAGGTATTGATTGATTCTGTATTGACTCTAATGAACAAGTGGTAAGTAGACATGGAGGCATTTATCATATATATATATATTACCAGGCAAAGACTTGAAGACAACAGGTTTAAATACTTTTTCATATTGAGTGATAACCACAGGTTTTACTGATATATTAAACCATTCTAATTGTTGCTTATAGTTATCTTGTCTAATTCTATTCATCGTTAAAGAGAGAAAAAAAAAAAGGGAACTACGCGCTTGTTTCTATTGTTATTTTAGGTACGCGTTCCTTTGACCAATCAAATGAATGTTTTCTATCAAGTATGTCTCTTTATTATTTAGATGTAATGATCCCAATTAATAGACGCTTTTTCAGAAAGCCCTAAATAGAATTCAATATGAGTCTCCTTTGGGTATCGAATCACATTTCGAATGGCTTGATCAAGGGGAAATATCTTTTCTCGCCTGATATCTGAAATCACAAGTCGTTTTCCAGGTGGTGGTGATCCTGCAAAATCGATTTCTGACAGTAAATCGCGAAATGTGTATGAGTCAGTGATAGCCAAGTTTCTGACAAAATAAACATCGTCATAGTGTAATGATTTAAGGGAAGGTGAACTCTTTAGTGATACTGTCTCTATTACTTTTGTAAATGAAGGTGATACATGCAAATGGTGAAGATTAGAAGATAATGAAGAAAGCGAAGGTGTACGTAAATGAAGTGGTGGTAATTGAGATGAGAAACTAGAGCGTGCATTAAAATGATGATGATGATGAGGTGGTGGTGGTGGTGGTGGTGGTAATGGTGGTGGAGAAGAATGCATTGGATGATTTGAATATAATAAAGGTGTAGAAGCACTTGAATTGGGTCTAGAGATGGTAGATGCACGCTTTCTTTTATGTGAAGTAGAAGTAGTCATCATAGACAAGTCAGGCGATTCCTTGACAGGCTGGAAAGACAATTCACGCACTTTGGCTGCAAGCATACCGCCTCCCAGCATACCTGTGGGTTGTGGAAGCAATGGATAAGAATCTACAGAAGAAGAACGATGCCGAATCATATCTTCCATTGTTATATTCGAATCAGCAGGTGAAGGAGGTGCGTGTTGTTGTACGCGTTGATGCCTCTTTTTGGCACGATAAAGAGTGCTTGAGTGTGCCTTGCAAAGTGATACTTCTGTCAGGTTTGTTAATCCGACAATGCGTTGATTTTTATCTCTGTAGATACTGTGTCCAAATTCATCTAGCCATTTGAGTGTGAATTCATAATCATCTCTATCCAAGGGCGATAGTTTCTTTGCCCTTGAATCAAGCCCTCCTTCAGGTAAGTTCTTGCCACGACGTGGTTGTGTTTCTGAGCATTGACAGTTGCTACCATAATACTAGACATGATATGAATATAAGCGTGTGGGTATAGCATGCACTTACACCTGAACAAGTAAAGCATACAGCACAAATAATACATGCATTCTATATTTTTATTTTTAATGCTTATCATTTTTTTTATTATGTTTTTTTTTTTTTTACCTTTCTAGTTGACAAAGGACGATGAGATGGCTCATGTTCTGGTAAGCAATGAAGTGGATGGTGTTCAGTCACCACTTGAGCCAGCTGAAATAAATTATTATCAGTCATAATAAAGAAAGAAAAAGAGAAAAAGATGTCTATATATATAAAAAAGGGAGAAAATAAACAAAAAGGAGAGAAAATTAAGGAGGAAAAAAAGAGAGAGAGAGAGAAAGGCACTTTTCTTGAATATGTATAAACTGGTAGTGTTTCATCTTGTTTGTATACAAACATGTATTTATTCGTTTTTAATCTCTACGCACCACACAAGATAGCCTATAGCTACTGTATCTAACATACGGTCTTTGACTACTACTTGAGTTATAATATCATGGCGTCCTTCTGCCAAATCACTCGGAAGTGTATAGTCCGAAGAAGCAGTCAATAAGCCGCGTGCCTTTTTTTTGTACTAGCAAAAGAAATCAACAAAAACCATACTACTGAAAAGAACAACTTACTTCCATTTTTATTGATGTTAAGATGGCCTTGTCTTTCTTTCTCAAATTACTCAACAAAGCCAAACCACCTATTGTTTCTGCAAATGTAGCCAATGCAGTTGGGTGAATACTGATAGATAGGATGAGCCTTCTACACAAATATGCTTCTGCTTACCCTTTTTGTGTATGATGTGTGCTATGATGATCCTATGTATAATTCAGTGGGTTGTTTCTTTTTTTTTTTTGGCTTTGATAGCTTACCCGCATAATAGCCGTACAAAATCCACGTGAAAAAGTGGAGACGCGCATATCTATACTCCCCGCATGGATAGGATCAAATTCCTCCTTATGTACTTTTTGATCTTACCAATTGAACTAGCATAAGGGTCACTGTTATTTAATAAGCGGGCAAATGTCCAAGGTCGGAATATCTTGACAACTGGTTTCCCGAGTTTTTCCCAAATGACAAGTGGGTGGCGTCCGTCTTTTAAGGTGATCAAGATATAGACGATATAACTAAAAGTCAATACCATTAAACCTGTCAACAGGCGACTAAAAATAGTCCATTCAAGTTTAAGGGCAACCTGTACAAGATAAATACTGGCTTCTAAGTGTCCATATAGAGCTGTTATCAATGGTGAATTGGAAGTATCCATAAGAAACAGAAGAAAGGAAAAAGAAAAAGAGAAAAAAAGGGCGGCATTTGTATTTTTTTTTATGACGATTCTTTGACTTCTTGTAAATGATAAGGGACACAATTACATATCAATATGACTTCGCATAAACAGCCATTGATAGGATTTGGACCTTATGTCTGTATCAGTCAAAGTAGAAGAATGATAATGATATATGGACTTACTATTTGCAATAGCACAAGTACATTTTACATGCGATTGATTGGTCTTTCTTAAATCACGACAATGGTTACATTGAGTAACTTGTCTTCCTCTTTTTACAATAGGAATAAGATCTCGGTCATTGTGGTTGCACTTTTTAACGCGGTGACCTCTTATACAAGAAGCACTAGTTCAAGTCAACTAAAAGCAAAGATATTGGTCAATATTACCATGCATGCCTTGTTCCATTAATCAAGATAACCATGTTGGAAAGAAAAAAAAACGTATAAAGACTGGGTTTAAATGCTTCTCACCAGGAATGATTTATTTGCTTGAATAATGCTTCAATACTCAAAAGATAAGGAGAAATGAGATACATAACATTCTTTTCGAAAAGTAATATAATGAGAAATAGATGAAGGAAAGTTTTGTGGAGTTAAATTGAATGTAAATGCAAAGGAGAGAAAGAGAGAGTAGTTGTACCAAATCGGATAAACTTTTGAGAACATCCAAAAAAAAAAAAAAGTCTTGTGCTATTAAGAAGCATGTACTTGAAATCAAATAAAAAAAAAACGATTTTAGCCATAATGGCCATGAGTATAAAAACTAGGTATTGTTAGCAAAAAAAAAAAGGCATTTGAAAGCCATTGTGAACTGCTGAAGATAATGGTTATCTATCATTTGAATATATCAACAAGGCTTTTTTTTTATTATCTATACTTGAGACGAAATACGAGTACTGAATTTTTTTTTTTTTTTTTTTTGTTTACCATGGACATTTGTTGATCGATTACATAATATTTTGTGGATCCAAGTGACTTGATATAACCAACTATGCTTGAATAAGGACACTAATGAAAAGCTCACATGTCTTGCTTGAATGACAAATATCGGCAAAAAGCATAATAGGCATTGCATTCAGAAAGAATGGGCTTATCAAATATAAACCGCATGATACTAAAGATGATTTGTACTCTCAAACGTATTTTTTAATAAGTGGAAGGGGATACAAGAACTATTTCAAGTTATAGCTCGTGCTTTCGTATATCTCTATATGTTAATTTTTATATTGGCTCCCTAGTAATAGTGCAAATGCTTAAGAAATGTTACTCATGATTTAGCCAATGAAGTATTAGTACAGGTGGATCCAATTGACATTAGAAGCACTGTGTTTACCCTCCTCCCCTCTCCTCTCTATGAGTTTTTTTTTTTTGTGAAACGGATCTATAGGATTTTGTATTAAAAGCATGATTACTAGTATTATTATTATTATTAAGGTGTAAATTAAGAGAAATAAGTACAATAATTATGAGTTACGAATATGGTAAATGAGATAACCAGGTAAACCATAGACACCGAATCCCATAGCCTTAGCCATTTTAGCAAAGCCTTCAGTCTCTACTTGGTGTTGGAATACGTAGGGAGGAAAGTTGGCACCTTCTCTATGAACTTGAGCTTTTACAAGAGTAAAGGTAGCACCAACACCATCTAAGGGCACCTTATTGAATTTACCAAGATGTGTAGGCATATCTACCATGAGATAACGGTTGGTTAAGAATTCATAGTAACCTTCAAGCAAGACATAATCCTATTCATATACATGTTACTAATCAAATCATAACGGTTAATAAAGACTTACAGGGTCAAGATCTTTTTGCATTTCAATCGATTTATCAGTTTCTTGCCAGTTATTTTTATCGTAAGCCCAGAAAGAACCATCCTCTGTGTCCAATAAACAGTTGGGTACAACCACATCAACATCCACACTTTGAAGGTCTTCAAGAATAGTATTAGGATATTCAATCACATCCACATCCAACCAAAGTACCCAGGAATGATATTCACGAAGAGCAGCAGTCAACAAATAATTACGAGAACGAGCCATAAACGATCTACGCAAAGGCTGCAATTCAAAAGTATGTCTCTTATCCTCGGGCAGTTGGAAGTTAAAATCCTTTTCATAAATGGCAATTTCATGGTAACGTTGAGAGGGGTCTTGGCGGTTTAAGAATTCGTCTGCCTTTTGCTTTAGAATGGACACAGTTTTATCGGTGGTATCAGACACAAGGAATGCGACTGTGATTAAATCCTTGGGATAGGACAACCGGTCAATAAGTTCAAAGTATCTAGGTAAATAAACTTCTGCATTTTTCAAAGGAGTCAGAATTAAGACATGTTCTTGTTGTTCTTTTGCGTTGGCTGTGGCTTCTAAATCATTCAGGTTAATGAATTTGGCTTGACCGCCTCTATTGTTGCTGTTGGAACTAGTGCTGCTGAAAGCAACAGCTTCACTTAATGTACGGATAGTTCGGCCACTTGCACCACAGGAACCATTTAGACTGAATGAAGAGGAACTTGAAAATGTAAAAAATGAGAGGACGATAAACGACAGAATAGCCAATATAAGCACAACAAGTCGCTTGTTTCCTCTCAGAGGAGCTGTATACATGTTGGCTGTCTTTTCTGCAAGTATCATTTTTTTTTTTTTTGTGTAAAGAAAGAAAGAAAAAGGTTACAAAATAATAATTTGTATTTTATAAAGGAGATAAAAAAGGCACAAATAGTAATGTTCCATTTCTTTTTTAAAATTTTTTTTAGACGTAGATCAATTCCTATTTTTAGCGCCATTGGGCTACTTTTATTGGGCGATAGGGTGTTTCTTCTTTTACAGCCAGAGACATGCGGGTATACGGCTGTGTTAAAAAGGCATACGATTTTGTGTTTATTCTAGACCAATTAAGTTTATTTCTAAACGAGTTTTTTTTAATGAATCTATGTGATTTAGTTGATACGAACACAATTGTTCTCGAAATATGCCTTTTTTCTAGATAGTTGAACAATGTATTGAGATAAAGCGTTGTTTCAGATCAATTTCTTTACAAGTGTTTGTGTTAATAAGCCTTTGAATGCCTTATCTAACTTTGATAGTCAAAATGATTTACTTCCATAACAGAAAAAAATATATTCTCAGAGCGTGGCGCTTGATCAGAATTCTTTAATGAGGCTCAGAAAAAAAAACTAAGAAAGGAGGTATGGATATCTAAAGCCTCTTTCTTGATGGGATTCTTTTAGCAAAAGACACACACACGTATATATATATGTGCTCTTTATCCATTACAAATGAACATCTTTCTACTGCTCAACGCTTAAAACAAATCATTAGTGCAAGTGATCAATATAAACATTGACACTTGGTTTCAGTTCCAGTCGTCTTCAACTCATAAAACAGATAACTTATTGTAGTTTACTTTGAGTATCAGTTTGAGTCATATTGGAGCCAAGACTCAATTAAGAAAAAAGACAAGTAAAACCTGAGCAAGAATATTTCTAGAAAAACCAGCTTTTTTCAGTCTCAAGTTTTTGAGTCTATTTTTCAATCTCAGGTTTCTGTGTAGTACGATGAATACGGTTAAAGAAACTAAAAACCCCTTTCAGGACAAAAAGTAAAGGCAGAAGGGAAAGGAACAGAATAATTGTATGAAGTTACGAGGAGGGAACAGCCAATGGAACAAAAGAGAACTGGGAGCTTGTTCAAAAGGAAGGAAAGAAGGAGCCTTCAACTGGTTGTAACATTTGTAGTTTGTTGTGAATCTGTAAACAGTCAACAGTATGGGCTCTGTTTAACGCTTGTTCCAGATGCAAGGAACAGGGAGAGAAACAATCATAAAGTAACCAATCAAGAAGCCATCGGATGAGACGACTACACTGAAAGACTAGATCAGTTACTTACTTTGGAGATTGAATCTGGAGCTCAGAGAGGGACTGAGAATTGAGCACAGCATGATATATTATGAGTGACAAGTAGAGCTTGATTTTTTGTTTTCTTTTCTTTGTCAAACTAGAACTATAATTTTGCAAAGAAAAAGGATTCTTAACATATCTATTGAAGTTTTTTCTTTTAGAAAGGTGTGTTAGGCATCTCTATATCTGCAGAAGAGTAAACCTCTTTTAATACCCGCTGAAACTGACTATTCTAGTTCAGATGCACTCTATTACAAAATGCAATCGTATTTTCAAGCTGTATTGGAGAGCTGAATGACCGAGCTAATTCCCTTGAATTCTTTAATGAGTTGTTAAAGATAACATTGAGAATTCTGCTAAAATGATCAAAATACACATCTTTCAGACAAACAAAGCAAATACGCTGTGGCTGATGATGATACGGATGCTAATCCTCCTGATGATGACGACAGTGAGAGTGTAGAAGAAGAATTGAAGCTTTTTTCATTAAGCTTATGAATGGTTGGTATCATCTTGACTCAAAGAAATACTTTGATCAACACTCTTACGGATGGATTGATTGTTGAACACTGTAGTTATTTTGTTGTTATTATAAACCTCCTATGGTTTTACTATTGCTCTGCTTTTATAATTCGAGTGTATATAAAGTATTCGTAATAGATCTCAATTATAAAATTAATCAAAATAAAGATATATATCGTGGAGGGATGTGGTGAGACTATTGATATACAGGTAAATTGGGAGAATAGGAGATATATCAAAAGGAGATTTGAAGTCAAGTGTAGGATTCCAGATAGCCGATTGAGTAAATGAAGTTTGCAACTGTAATTGTTGGCTTTCTGCTTGTGTCATCATATTTATTATTCAACTATTATTTTGCAATTTACCCCCTTATTTTTCTCATGTGTAGCATCGTTCATTGAAGATATTATAGACGGGTGTAGAAAAAAATTGGATGTTTTGAGGTACATAACAAAGGATTATGTTTTCAATGCCTCATTGGTCAACTGCACTTGCAACAATGAACAAACCTTTCATCGTTATTTACTAAACAAAAAAAAAAACTATAAATATCAAATGCTTGTGAGCTAAAAATAAAAGAATGAATTGTGGTTTGTTTGTTATCTGAAGAAAATCGACAAACTTTAAAGGTTGGTCATTGGTGTAAATGATGTCAACTGACAGATAGTCTTGTTTATCTTCTTTTTCTTTATGAAATGCCAAGACCAATTAGCCTCTCAGAATCAATACGTTTATTCAAACGTTTGGATGAGTTTGACTTTAGTCTATAGAAGACATGTATCGATTAGTCATTATGCTGTAGTACAGCAGATACTATGTTAAAAACGTAGTAATATAAAAAAAGTTTGAAAGAGGAGAAGGCCAATATCGTAGGAATATGCTATAAAATTGAAAAATGATGAGCACAAAAGAAACTAGAATGAGATAGATGTAGCCATGCGTAATCTTTTAAGAAGCCGATTGCCTGTTGACTGCACACTACTGCTATACAAGTGATCTAATAGATTCGAGAGAAGAAATTTCAAACGATGACAACTTCTAGGCTCTTAAAGTTGTAGAGATGCTGCGTCATATACGGGCTTGGCATTATCCATATTCAAAACTGTCATTTGAAATTCAGGTGATATCTGTTTGACGGAAAAGGAAAAAGTGATCATACTACTTTACAAAAAAAAACACGCCTTCTAGAATTTTATTTAAATGACACTACGATTATTCAAAATTGACACGATGATAATTGCAACAGTTCAGAAGTCATTTTAGCAAGTTAAGCCAGCTTCAACCGACCCATGTTTTCAGAATATTTCTAATATATGTTAAATTCCTCGAGTATTTTATCCAAAGATGTTCTTTTATGCAAAAATATACAACCCAAAATATTCTCATTTCTCACAAACTCGCACAATAAGTGTCAAATTCGAACACCAAAAATACTAATGAGCAAGAAAAAGATGGAAGCATTACTCGGAATTCAGATAGTAAACATATCATTGCATTTATACCATTTATGGCCTTGGATGGATAAAATTAACAAGAAAAAATGCAGCTAAGAGCTTTTAGGCTTTTTTTTTTTCTTAATATTGAACTTTTGTCGTTTATTGAAAAATCGCTTACTGTATCAACCTTTTCTCAATCATTTTAGAGGCCACTAGTATAGCTTACATTCACTTAAAATAGCTTTAATATTTAGATAGGATTGGATGGTACTGTCATATAGGATTGTATTTATAAAGCTTGGCATAAGTGGAGTGTCCCCTAAAAAAGCCTGAGTTTGATTTAGTATGTTCATGAAGGATTTTAGAAATTCACCTTTCTTTCGTCTAAAGAACTTTTTAGTAAGTTGGTCTGGTCACTCTTGGTGGTGGTCCATATTTTGCTATAATCCCTTGTGGAAGGTTGTATCTCTTAGGTATCAGCAATTGTGTCAAGTGCCAAGTAATTGAAGACATTTTGGAATGATGTCCTTTACTTGTGGTACTGGTATTGCCATCTGTAGCATTGAACAAGACAAGATATAAAAAGTACTGACTCTCAGGAGCAACGAACGAAAAACTCAACATGTCTTTTTTAGGACATATTAAAGGGTAGCCCAGATGACGGCTATTTTATTGGGATTATATAAGACTCATATAATCGTGCTGAATGCTTCCACAAAAGCATTATTTTGAAGATGTTTTATATGGCTAGTCACTTTGCTTCACATACACTAGTTTCCATTTATACGATGACTTTATTTTTTTTTTCATCCAAAACATAAAAGAGATGATGGACTAAAAGTGTCTATAAACGAAGAGCTATCGAAAAAGTGTATTAACAAAACTGGTATATATAAATAAGGCGCATTGAATGGTGCAAAAAACGCAGCATGTTGAATAGCAAGATAGTGAGCTATCCTTCAAAAACGTATTTTCTGTTTTTGAGCTGTAGTATACATCTTTTATAGTGCTTTTGCAAATGCGACACATTGAGTGTGCTTTATAGACTTAGAGAAACAATTCGTACTAAGACACGCTATATCTGCAACGTCTCTATCGTTCACAAATTGCAAAATAATGAGAAATAAAGATCTGCAAATAGTATAGGCAAAATGACGATTTTCTCACTTTTTCAAAACTTGCTGTATTTTTGCATAAATATGTTCTTTTATGTATGCTCAAACATAAGAAACTCAAAAGGAGGAGATTAGAAGGCAGGAATAATGGTTTATTTTGAAAAACACTCGCGCCTACAGTGGGGTGCCAATCCTCTGTTGGTGTTATTACGCTCAAAAATGAGTTGTTAGGGAAGTTAGTTTATAAACTAAGATCGTATTATAAGCTCGATACTCGAGAAAGGCACAAATTGAGGAACCAAAGCACGTTAAGTGTGCCAAATGGAATCAAAAGTTATTTAGTGACCGCAAAGTATGTATACTTTTAATATGTTGACTCTATTTGTGCTCAAAACGAAAAGAATCATTTTGGCGCTACCATACATAACCAAGTGAGCGTATTTGGTGTACCCCACAATAAAAAAAAAGCTTGTGAATGCAGATTATCTCAGCATAAACTCTGGGTTGAAATTTATTTGATTATTTAAACTATGAGCGATATATTTTTCACTAATTTTTTTCTCACTCTATTTAGAAGATGAAAGCTTATATTGTCGAAAAATGGCTCAAGGGCCCCGAAGAACTTGTTATCAAGGATGTGCCATTACCTAACGAACCCAAGCAAGGTGAGCTACAAATACAAGTCAAATCTGCTGGTTTAAACTTTTTCGACACGTTAATGGTAAAAAAAAAAATATCCATATTATGCAACTGTATCTAATAAGTTTATATCTATATAGATTCAAGGCAAATATCAAATCAAACCACCTTTCCCCTTTGTTCCCGGAGGTGAATTCAGTGGTATTGTGCTCAAGTCAACTGTGCCTAAATTTAAAGCTGGTGACCGAGTATTTGGATCTGGTTATTCATTTGCAGAGGTGATCAATGTACCTGCTCTTAACGTGCTTCACATGCCTAAGAACTTTAGTTTTCAACAAGCTGCTGGTCTCTACGTGACTTACCCTACTAGTTACGCTGCACTTGTTTTGCGCGCTAAATTAAAGCAAGGAGAATATTGTTTAGTCCATGCTGCTGCTGGTGGTGTTGGTATTGCTGCTGTTCAAATAGCCAAGGCATTAGGTGCTAAAGTCATTGCAACTGCTGGTTCAGCTGAAAAACTTGAGATGGCAAAGCGATTTGGTGCTGATTTTGCTATTAATTATCGCGATAAAGATTGGACTGAACAAGTCAAGAAAGTAACTCAAGGCCACGGTGCTGATGTAGTCTATGATCCTGTTGGTTTAGTGGAAGCAAGGTAAAAAAAAAAAAAAAAAAAAAAAAAAAAAACAATGAAAATCAAAAATAGATCATTAATGCAATGATAGCACAAAATGTACTGCCTGGAATGGACGTATTCTTGTTATTGGCTTTGCTCAGGGCACAATTGAAAAGATCCCTACAAACCGCTTATTGCTAAAGAACATTTCTGCAGTGTAAGTTGTTGCGTATAGTGACAAGTCAATTGATTTCTTTATAGTGGCTTACATTGGGGTGCTTATACCAAGAATGAACCAGAGCGTATTCCCGAAGTTTGGCAAGCATTGTTTGATTTATTTGAATCTGGCAAAATTCAACCTGCACTTTACGGCAAGATTTATAAGTTTGAGGAAATTCCTCAAGGTCTTCAGGCCATTAATGAACGTCAATCATATGCCAAAGTAGTCGCTAAATTCAGTAATGAATCCAAGATCTAATAGTGTAGTAATAAACTGAGTTTAAACGTATGCTGTTTTGTTGTTTTTCCAGTGATTCTTGCTTGTGTCTTCATAGAAAACTTGATAGATTCCCAGTCTTCTATTGTGACGCGATTTGAACTAACAAAATAACCATGATTATCAACATGTCATTATCTCTCCTTCTTTTCTTCTTTTTCTTTCTTGTTCCACTCATTCTTTTTTATTATGAATCCACCACTCTCAGCAGAAGCATATATGATACCAAGTCAACAAAATACTTTAATTGTTCAATCTACACAAAAGTCAAACACATTTGTTCACAAGCTATTTAAGTAAATATATACCATTTTGCCGCTTTTGTCTCATTTTATATAGTATGGTGATTGATAATCAGTTTCAACATTTGATTGCTTGGAATTATACAGGCAGTAGTTTTATTGTATGCAATATCATGGAGTTTTCTCGAGATGTATTACCGAAGCATTTTAAGCATAATAATTTTAGTAGTTTTGTCAGACAATTAAACATGTAAGTCAAACAATAACAATAACAAAAACAAACCAACGCAATAAAAGGTATGGATTCCATAAGGTCAACAAATCCCCACGTGGTCATCGAACACTAGCAGAGAATCAAATATGGGAATTCTCTCATACCAAATTCTTGCGCGATCGTCCTGACTTACTAGACGAAATTAAGCGCAAAACGATGGAGTCTGATACTGTACGACGTGAGACCGACTTACAAGCACATATAGCCATGCTGCAGGTATCTCAGACTGACATGCTGCAACAAATTAATCATTTATATGATAATTTCAGCCAAGTCTTTAAAGAACTGCATGAAACAAAGCAAAAGCAAGAACAACAGCAAAAATTAGTCAAACATGCCATGGAATATATAGCACAGCAAAATGGAGGTAATTTAGCATTTTTATATTGTGGGTTACTTATTTTTTTTTTTTTATAAAGGTCGATTACCTCAGGAACTCGATTTAGAATATAAAAAATTAAACTTGGATGATTCTAATAAACATCATATTACACCACCTATTTTTGTCACTACACATCATACACCAACAACCCAGCCAGCAACTCACCAACCACTAATCTTGACTCAAGCTCGACCTTCATTTGGAAATACATTGCCACCCAGCCCCAGTCCTACCATGTTATTCTCCTCAGAAGGGGAAAATAATTCATATTTCTCAAACAACAGTATGCAGCGCCATTCTCAACTTGTTGGTCTCCATAATATCCTTACTTCACCTACACCTACGAGAGCAACAATCAACAATACGCAACCATCCAATCTCGGACCAAACATGATGAATGGATAATTTTATGTTATTGTTTCTTTTATATGTTATTTATGCCCAACTATTTTATCTATCTATATGTTTATTATGCACCTATACTTTCAATTGAGAGAAAGAGAGAAAAAAGACAAAAAAACAAGGAGGAAAAATAAAGCGAATTGTTCTTCCGCTAGTTCCGATCATTCGAGTGTAGTACAAGAGTAATTTATTACAAGTTGTCTAAAATAGACTTGTTATTTCTTCTTTTCTTTCTCCTTTGTACGCACAATGAAAAGTCGAAATTTGTTACTTTTTATTGCTAGTGCATTATCAGTCGTTAGCGCAGCATATGTGAAGCACCCGAAATATAGACTTGCAAAACAATCCGCCAAGCATGTTATACCCGGACGTTATTTAGTCGAATACAATAGAGCTCACAACAATGATGATGGCGATTTTGTTGCTATTTTACAGTCATTTGATGCTACGATAAGCGAACCTTTATACCATAGTAATAGTAACAGTGTACATTCTGTTCATATGAATAGCGGAGACCACGAAAACTTTTTACAAACGCTTGTTGATCACCAAGATATTGTTACTGTCTATCCAGTCACCTATATTGCTCGACCTGAATCCACTTACAATGCTTATTTCAGTCAAATTGACCCCAATATCACTCAAACAGTACAAGATCATCACTCAACACAAGTAGAACGAATTCATAAAGAACTTGGTCTTTCTGGAAAAGACATTAAAGTCTGTATCATTGATACGGGCGTAGACTATCTTCACCCTGCCCTGGGTGGAGGATTTGGACCTGGCTATAAAATAGCTTTTGGTGCTGATTTGGTCGGTGATCATTTTGAACCTCACTCATCAAACAATACTTTACCTGACCCAGATACCCCACCTCTTGATAACTGTACAAAACAAAGTGACAACGCAAGTAAGTCTATATACAATTTCTGTAAAAATAAATATAGATTGTAACACAATTTATGATAGATGGACATGGCACGCATGTTGCTGGTATCATTATTGGTAATGATACATCTAAAGTAAGTATATCAAGGTACACAAGCATTTTAATACAGATATATATAGGGTTTTGTTGGTGTTGCACCAAATGCTTCTCTTGGCGTTTGGCGAGTCTTTGGCTGCAATGAAGGCACTACTTCGGAGATTGTTATGAAAGCTATGATTGAAGCACAAAAAGCAAAATGCGATGTAATTAACATGAGTATGGGAAGTGGTGGTGCTCCTTGGTCAGAAGAACCTCATGCAGCTTTTGCTCAACAGCTAGTAAAACAAGGCATTTCTGGTAAAAATAGCATAATGGATACAAAAAACTGACTATAACAGTGATTATTTCAAATGGCAATGCTGGAAGAAATGGTGCTTTTTCGGTCACAGATCCTGCAGCTGCACATGATGCTCTATCCATTGCAGCTGTCAGTAACGCAAACTTTTTAGGAAGTTTGTTTTCTGTCAAGACATCTAACAAGACACTAGGCCCTTACTGTAAGCTGTAACATACAAGTTCTTTTGTGACTATGATATTTATGTTTGTTATAGCTTATCAAGTTGCCCCTGAATCCGACAAGGAAATTCCAGATGCAAGCGTTGTAATAGGTGGTAATTTTGAGTCTTTATCAGCGTGTAAAGCAGATGATATCAGTGCACTTGATCTCAATGGCAAAATAGCTCTTGTAAAGCAAGGTTCGTGTATGATGACAGAACAAGCCAAACTTGTAGCAGAAAAAGGTGCCATTGGCCTTATTTACTTTAATACCCTTTCTCGAGAGATTCCTCGGGCTCCTTATTTGGATACACCAATCCCTATTGCTACCATTTCTTCTGCCAGTGGTCGTCAACTCATGTCTGTTCTTCATGACGAAAGGGCAGTGGATATCCATTTTGAACGAAATGCTTTCGCTTTTGAATCAGCCACAGCCCATACAATTGCTGATTTTTCAAGTATTGGTCCCACCAATGAACTGCATATGAAGCCCTCCATTGCTGCTGTAGGGGGTAATGTATATTCGACTTTGCCTCGTTATCTTGGTGGATGGGGTGAAAAGAGCGGTACTTCCATGTCTTCTCCTTACATTGCTGGTGTGGTTGCTTTATTAAAAGAAGCATCTCAAGGCCAAAACGTTTCCATTATACATGACAAAATACAGAATTATGGTAAGCCACTGGATGCATACAAGCAAAAAGGCATACTTGACTCTCCTCTTCGTCAAGGTGCTGGCCTAGTTCAAGGTAAAGAATATGCATAGTTACCATTGATACTCATTTAATGATATATTAGCCTATGATGCTCTTAAAGAACCTCTACATGTATCACCAGCACATATTAGTTTTAATGATACTTCTTTGGATATTTATAAATCACACACACTTCAAATCACCAATACTGGTTCTGAGTCTGTTGCATACAGTATTACGAGTCAGATAGCAGCCTCTGTTTCTCCCTATGGTCACAACAATACCAAGTTTGAATTAGTTTCTTATGACAGCGATAAATTCTACACAAACACAACAACTGCTACTGTCAAACTCAGTGCTAGCACAATTTCATTGCAACCAGGAGAATCGAAGCAGATTACTGTTTCTGTTCAGTTACCAACAGATTTTAATGAAAACGAACAAGTCATGTATGGCGGTTTTGTTCAATTCAATCCTACATCTGGAAATGCAAATGCTTCTGTCCATGTACCTTATTTTGGTGTACTTGGCAGTCTTTATCGACTTCCAACATTAGATACATCCAAACTAAACATCAAAGACCAACAAGGCCATGTCTATTCTAACAAAGAGACCTATCATTTCATACTTTCTGACAATACAACGGCACCTTTGATTGATTTCCGATTAACAACGCCTTCTCGTCAATTGATGATTGATGTGATTGACAAACAAGAGGCCCATGTTGGCTATATCGTGGCTAGCTATGATTATGCAGAACGGTCTTTAAATGCATTTTCTATTCCAGAACTCAATCCCTGGAAAGGTCAACTATTTAAAGATGACCAGATCAATGCTGTGCCTCTTATGATTCAGCCAGGTACATATCAAATTCGATGGTCTGCGTTACGTATGTTTGGTGATATCAAGAAGAAAGACGACTGGATGATTCAAACTTCAGGTCCCATCGAAATTACACAATAAAACTACTTTTCCTTTTCTTTTTTTATTCATACATACAAATAACTTAACGAGAGGTGGCAGCAGCCTTAGGAGCGAAACCCTTGGCTTGTTGCTTGCTAACCTTAGGTTGAGAACCCTAGACATAAATTAGAACATACATACACACATATATAGATCAACTTACAGCAGGATTAGCGGCCTTCTTAGCAGCAGCAGCAGCTTTCTTGGCTTCCTTGGACTTGGTGATAGCAGCTTGACGAGCAGCAGCACGGGCATCGGGCTTTTGATTACGCTTAGCACGGATAGCATCCCAAGAGGCACCAACAACAGCACGTTCGTGCTTGACAGTACGGCGAGAACGCTTCTTTTGAACTTCTTCGGTGATGCCCTTTTTGTTCAAGCGACGGTAGATAACAGTCCATCTGATCTTACGGGGGTTCAAACGTTGAAGGAAGTAAGAGGCAGCCTTACCGTTGATGAAACGGAAAGTCTATTGAAGATGTTGAATATACATTCGTCATGAACCTAATTTATGTTTTACTTACTCTATAAACACATGTTAGTTCATCATGCTTATTACATTTATTTTAGTTACCTGCTGTCAACACGAACGTAAGTTTTACCCTTGGCAGGGTAGATCTTGTGACCAGAGAAGGAACAAATTTCAAGCCTACATGATACGATGGCTTAGTTGCTGACGGATGGATGCATGGATCTTACTTCATTCTAGCTGCAAAAAGGAGTGTTTATATGATGCACCCTTCTGACTTTTCATATGGGATTCATTTGAGCTCTTTAGGCTTAAAGAAGTCAATCTATCGCATACCGGAGTACATTTATTCCGGTCCGGATATAATCCAAGTTGCATGAATGATACTTTTTCATATGCTTATTGATCAATTGTTTACCGATGTTGCACGTATAGATCACAAAAGGAGTTTTACCGAGGTTTTTCATCTCCCCTATCTGTGGCAAATGCAATTTTCGATTTCCCTCTCTTGTAATCAGCACTAAATCATTCGAGACTACACCTCTAATTAGAACAAAATTATTGTTTTATATGATAATTGACCTTAAACGAGTTCTAAATTTGACCCTTTTGCTTAAATTTTGTAAGAGAAACGATTGCTTGGTTTCTTTAAGCTGAGCAAACTAGCTCAAGGAGGCCTGAACATGAACTAGTTTGAATATCTATTTTACCAACGACTCCATATGCATGTTTAATAACTCTTTATATGTCGTACGATGAAGATTCATTTTCTGTCTAGGCTTTTCAGTACGATATAAGCCTTGGTTGTAATCAAACTCTCTTTTTTTTTTCTTCCTCCTTAAATTGTACCGAATACAATGCCTGTATTGGTAGATAGAAGTCTACATGAGTGCTTTGTCAGAGTTATCTATCATGAGTACCATACTATGTTTTACATACAATAGACGATATGTATAGGAAGAAGGGGAGATTATGTGACAATTGAAACATGAGCGTGTTGTATCATATATATGTAAGGTACAATCATCGGCCATTATGCAAACTGAAAAGTATAAAAGATGAGGTTAGTTTTTTTTTTCTGTCTTATATTTCATTTTATTCTGAAAGAAAAGTATGGTTCTCCAGTATTTTATGTCAGTCTTACTATTAGCCTTATACGGTGTTGAGGCAAAATGGATGTCAGAAATCCCTAATGCACCTGAAAGAGCTTACAGCAAATTGTTTAATATTCCAACTTGGATTACTCATATTGAAGGTAACGTACAAAGTTATGTAGTCTAACTAACATGATTAGATTATGACGATGATGCCTTTAATGCAACAACTATTTTTTCTGTTGTCACTGTTGCAGTGTCAACACTATATACTCTATACCACATCATCTATGTCTTTTTGCCTAAACAACCTGCTAATCAAAAGACCATTGGCCCTTTCAATACTCTCATTATGCTCTATTTAATCGCTACCTTTGTTGCTACTTTTACTTTTGCTCTTATGAATGCAGGCAGAATTTGGGCTTCATTTGGTGTCTATCACAATTTGTTTGAAATTGCTCTTATGTCACACATCTTTCTTCGTCAAAAATCTCTCTTGTAAATTACCTTATATAACAGACAACTTTAGCTTATATATTCTGTTTAGGGAACGCAAATTTGTGTTTATCTGTTTTATCTATCTACTCATCACTATGTTTATTGTGATTATTGTACCTTGGCCACTAGATGCACTCTTTTTCAAGTTTCAAGGATTGGCTACTGATTTTGCATTGGCCATTGATTTAGGAAGATTGTACTACCACAACAAATCAAACTACAAACAAGCCAGTGTTGGTACTTTGGTCACAGATGATGATGAACAAGATCATAACAGAAAGATGAAACAAGTCATGATGGCGCCTCCTCATTTGAATATCAAAGTTTTGTATATTGCTGCAACACTTCATGCTGTCGGAAATGCTTTAGTTACTTTTAGCAATCATTTCTATCTGTAAGAATTTGTTGTATTATGCCATGAACTGACGACCTCCTTTTTTTTCTGTTTAGCTGGGTGATTTTTCAATTTATTTATGCTATTGCTTTCCCTATGTATGCTTACTATTGTGTAGCTGAACCCAATGCTAGTCGTGTTAGTTGGTACAAAGTAGATTATGCTAAAGAAGTGCTTGTCTTAGTCACGGGTGCTACATTAGCAGGTCTTTGTATTGCTGTGGGTGTTTATAATGCAGGAATCCCTTCTCACTAAGATAAGATGAAAGTTAGCCAGTCAATGCTGATGGGAACATCAATAGTGTCATATCTTATCAAATAAACAATAGCCATAAAACTTTCTTTCATATGTAAACCAATCGTTGATTTAATCAATGAAATAAGCTATTTTATTGGCTCATTTCTTATCAACAGGCGATAATAAATTCGCTATCTGTTGATTTCCGGAGTTGGCCTAAATCTTGTCGCTCCTTTGAAATTGGGTATAAATAGCAAGATATATATTTCTTTCTCTCCCTTTCTTCTTTACTCTTTTTTTAGCATGGAAATATCTTCTTCTTTTGTTGTATTTTCAGGTGGATCAGCCTGTAATCATATCTTAGATAGCTTTCATAAGACAGGCGCCAATCAAGTTAGTTACATCCTTGGGATTTCTGACAATGGTGGATCCACCGTAAGAAATAATACATGTTTAATTAAAATGCCAATAAAAATCATTAGAGTGAGCTGTTGCGGGTACTAGGTGGCCCAAGTGTTGGCGATCTTCGTTCTCGATTGATTCGTTTGATGAACACTTTGGACGAAGACACTTCAAAAGAAATGAAAGCCATCAAAGATCTCTTGAGCTATCGTTTACCTGCTGATAAGAAAAATCATCAGAAAGTGCGTGATGAATGGGCTTTGATTGTGGAAGGTCGTCATAGGTAAACTAATATAGAATTTAATCACTCGTTTTTTATATTTCTTATTTTAGTCTTTGGAATGACATTTCTATTGAAAAGCGAGAAGCTATCCGTGGCTTTCTGACACTATTTGATTTTGAGATATTGAAAAGAGCACATAAACGATTCAACTTTTGTAACGGAAGTATTGGCAACTTCTTCTTGACAGGTGCTCGTCTTTTCACTGGATCGTTAGAAGCAGCCATCTTTTTGTTTGCTTCCATCACAGGCATCACTTCTGCTCCTACGTCAGTTGTACCAGTCATTAATACAAACCAAACAGCTACAATTGCTGCTTCCTTACTAAATGGAGAGACGCTGGTAGGCCAATGCGAAATCTCTCATCCCTCACCATACCAACAAAAGAACAAAAAGCAAGGTGCATGTACTCCCGGTCGAAAACGAATAAACCCTATTGATGCATTCTCCTTTTTTGAAGATCCTTTTAATATGATCGAAACAAAGCTAGATGACGACGACAACGATAACGATACCAATGCCAACTTGTTTTTTTCTAAACAAGTGGACCAAAAGCTTACTTCACCTATTAATCGTATCTATTACATCAATGAATATGGACAAGAGATTTACCCTGTGCCGAATCCTAAAGTGATCAGCCATATATCCTCTAAGAAGACACTTGTGTATTCGATTGGCTCCCTTTATACTTCCTTAGTGCCTTGTCTTGTTCTCCGCGGTGTAGGAAACTCTATTGTCCAATCGCAAACCTTGAAGCACAAGATTCTATTATTAAACGGCACAAATGATCGTGAAACAAGTGACTATACAGCTCTAGACTTTATCAATGCCATCACCCGTGCGCTGAATGAAAGTCAAAGGATTGACGCACGCCGTGCATTCTATGAATCATGCGAGGATGACGACGATCAGGAAGAAGTGCCTGACTATATTTCAAGTAGAGCAAGCAGTATCTCAAGTGCCATCATCAATACCCCACCTTCATATTCTTCTCAATTTTCAAGTATGACCATTGGAAGCATGCCAGCTTCTCCTTCGCATCGTTACCCACCCTTTCCTAACCATTCATTTTACCCGAGTTCACCCTCATCCTTTATTACGCATTTAATCTACCTTGACAATAGTGCTATTCCAGTCGACATTGAGGCTATTCAAAGACTCGGTATTCAATGTGTCTGCATGAGGGGTGCTACTTCAGTCACTGGTGAACCCATTTATGATCAAACTTCTGTTACCGAAGCCATTGAATCTATTGTAAATAACTAATTATCCCCCTTTCCTTTTTTTGTACTATAATGATATCCCGAAAAAAAAGTTTAATAAACCTCTGTTTCCATGGTAATTCTACTCCGCAAATCGTCTAGACTTCGAGTTACATATGTGGCTTGTCAATGTATACTTTCAATGACTGTTTATCTTGAAGTACTTTTAAGTATGCATTTATTTTTAATTTTTGTTTTTTTCTCGAAGCATAATAAACATAATGGCCAAAGAACGATCTGCTATTAGTAAAAGCATGAGTAAAAAAAGGGTCTCAGGTACGCACGTATCTGGTCTCTCTACTTCCAAAACATCCAAAAGAAAAGACGCACCTATAAAATACGGTCAACTGTCAAGAAAACAAAAGCAAGACTTGGAGGACTATGGTGAACTTGTACCTAAAGACTTTGAAGACGACGAAGCAGACACTTTCAAGTAAGTAGGATTTTAAGAAATACAAATGAACTCATTCAATGGATAGGCGTAGAAGAGTCGTATCCGAGGCTGATTTGGACCGAGAATTAGAAGAAGAACAAAGACGAGCTGCGAGACAATTCGATGATTCTGAAGAAGAACAAGTATCAGATGATTACAGCGAGGAAGAAGATTGGAAAAAGCCTTCTGCATATTCCTTGCTTATGGGTTCATTGAAAAAGAATTCGAAGCAAAAAGACTTTTACAACAAGATTCAACGTGAACAAGAAGGCATTGAAGATGAAATAGAACAAGAAGACGAGGAACAGCTCATAGAAAGAGAAGAAGAAGGACTAGAAGACGATGAAGACGATGAAGACGATGAAGACGAGGAAATGTCAGGTGAAGAAGATTTGTATAACGAGGATGACGAAGAACAGGAAGAAAAAGAGCCCATTGATGGTGACGCTCCTGACCCACTTGAGGAAGAGGAAGAAATTGTATATATGGGAAGTGATGCAGAGGAAGAAGAAATTCAAGGTAATTTTTTCATGCAATGCATTCGTTGTAATTCAGTATTAGATGATTTGTTTGAGCATCGATTCAATGATCAGCAAGCAAGTACCTTTGATGAAAAGATTTCTATCGTTGAGCAGAAGAAATGGACAACGCAAATGTTTGATGATGAAGTTTTAAAGAACGTTACTGCCTTCACCACTTCAGAAGATAAACATGTAAAGAAAATGCCTGAAATAAACTCATTAGAAGAAGTCAAAGTGAAACAACGCATTGGAAACTGCTGGTATAAGGCTAACAAGCAAGTCAATCATAGAAGTAAGTCTTCAGGTTTTTTTTTTTCAATATGTCTCATCTTGTGCCTGATAGAAAACATCACATTCACTCCTCTTCAAGATCGTTTGTTTAACCAAATGAACAATTATCGTGATGTTGTTTATTGCAACCGTAATCTGAATAATGCCAAGGAGATCAGAAACACATATCTTCTCCATGCCATTAACCATATTACAAAGTAAGTAATGATAACCAAAAAAAATGGGGGAGAACAGCATAGCTAACTTATTATTAGAACTAGAGATCACGTCCTCAAAAACAACGCCAAGCTGAGTAAAGCACAAAAAGAAGGCAAAGACTTGGGGTAAATGATACACGCAATCAAGAAATCAAGTACTCACTCTGTTTTAGTGAAATGCGGGACCAAGGCTTTACTCGTCCAAAAGTCTTGCTCATTTTACCTTTTAGAAATACCGTCGTTGATGTAGTAGATACATTAATCAAACTATCAGGAACAGAGCAACATGAAAACAAGAATCGATTCTATGAGCAATTCAATTTACGTGAAGAAGAAGCCGTGGACCCTAGCAAACCAGCTGATTTCTTGCAAAATTTCCAAGGCAATATTGATGATCACTTTCGCTTGGGTATCAAGTTTGCTAAAAAGTCAATGAAGCTTTACTGCAACTTTTACGATGCTGATATGATTGTGGCATCACCTTTAGGCTTGCGTACATTGATTGGTTCGGAAGGGTAAATGGATGTCAATCAAAAGGATAGGAGATGGCTAATGTGTTTTATACAGTGACAAGAAAAGGGATTTCGATTTTTTATCATCTATTGAGCTCGTTATTATGGATCAAACAAACCATTTCTTGATGCAAAACTGGGAACATGTAGAACACATCTTTCAACATATGAACTTGATTCCTACTGATAGCCATGGCTGCGATATTTCTAGAATCAAGAGTTGGTACTTGGATGGAAAGTGAGTTTACACCACTCTTTTTTGGATGAATGACTCATAAAAACATAGGGCCAAATATCTTCGTCAAACACTTGTCTTTGCTGACTTCTTAACACCAGAATTCAATGCTTTATTTAACAAGCATTTAAAGAACGTATCCGGCAAATTAAAAATCAAGCAAATCTTTGAAGAAGGCAGTATCGTTGATGTGATTTCTCAGGTGCAACAGGCAAGTATGTTTCTATTTTCACCATGATCTAATTTCCTAACAGAGCTTTACCCGTATTGATGCTCCTACTTTGAAATCTGTCAATGACGTGAGATATAAATACTTTGTCGAAAAGGTAAAAAAAGAAAAAAAGGGCTTTTAGATAAAGTTGCTCATATCTATTATTAGACATTGCCAACCTTACGTAAATCAGCCATCATGCAATCACATACCCTTGTTTTCATCCCTTCTTATTTTGATTTTGTCAGGATAAGAAACTACTTTGAAGACAACAAGTATTCATACGAAGCTTGTTCGGAGTAAGTTTATGCTCTCTAAATCATCAGCCCACTCATGCATTAGTTTAGATACGCCTCTGGGTCTGCAATTACTCGAGCAAGAGCACAATTCTTTCATGGTAGAACAGACTTTTTACTGTATACTGAAAGACTTCACTTCTTTAGAAGGTAAGCGACCTGACTATGATACAGTCTTGACAATCAATAGATACAATATTCGTGGTACTTTCCATGTTGTGTTCTATGGTCTTCCTGAAGACCCATTATATTACACAGAAATTGTTAATTTCTTGAGTCTCAAGTTTGATGAAGCCAGTGCGGCTGAAGAAGCTACTTTTTCATGCACAGCTTTGTTTACCAAGTACGACTTTTTGAAGCTAGAACGTATTGTGGGTACAGAAAGAGCCAAGAAGATGTGTACAGCCCAGAAGAATGTGTTTATGTTTTCTTAATAAAAGTCTATTTTTATTTTACTGTGAGGCAATACAAATGAGAGCATAGGTAACCCTTATTATTTGTGAAAAACATGTCACAATAATTGGTAGTATCAGTGTCACATTGCTTTGTTTCGTTAGAAAGATCCAAGAGATAACACATATCGAGAGATCTCATACAAATTTTGCCTCCAGCATTGACAAACATATCACAGACCATTTTTGCCTTTAGGTTGCATTCAGCCATGTTATCGATTGGTGGCTCTGCTTGATTGAAATGATAACACAGTAATATAGGCAAACATAGGGTTGTTAGAACAATTTGACCTTTCATGTCTTTAACAAAAAGGAAGAAGGAGAAAAAAAAACGGCTTCCAAAATTCAACAAGAATGTTTTCGGTATAAAATATAGTTTTAAGTTTATTTAAATATCAAAAAAAAAGAAACTATATAATATTATTTGAGTTAACGCAATCATTCGAAGTACACAGGTAACCATATCTTGAGATAAAAGTTCGGCAGTTATAAGTTGCATTAGAGAAGCAGTAGTCCTTGTCATTTGCTTCCATATTTTTATGACAACAAAGTGTTTGATTATTTCTTTGACAATAGAGACCACCAGAAGCTAAGAATTGACCGCAATAAGACCATTGTTCAGTAGTACAGTTGGTCAGAGCTTGAACCAAGGCAAAGAATAAGATGAGAGTAGCAAGTAAGAACTTCATGATTTTTCAATTGATTGACTGATTGATTGATTGAAGAAAGAAGGGGAAAAAAAAGGGTCGACCCTGCTTTTATATACATGATATCTGTTATACGATATATGTTACATAATCCACATTTTTGACTAATGGATCCTGATGATAATAAATATGCTGATCATTTTTATTTTAAGAAACAACCTGATTTCATATTAAAAGATGTAACTGCCACAGAGTGCGGATAAAAGTATACTAGATGGGTAAATAAATTGTGTGTGTATACATAAGGCTATTTTTAAAACTTGTTTGATGAATTGCAGCTTTCGATTGGTGTGAGGGTCTAGTTCAAACAGAAATTATACGCTTAGTAAAACTGCAGGGCTTGGAGGAGAAGGAGGAGGAGGAGGAGGAGAGGCGGCATGAGTTGTGTCAGCCATATCCGGGCCAGCCGGTGCAGCCGGAGGATCAATTGTATTAAAATGAAGTTTTATTTTTTTGATTTGTACTTGTTCTTGCTTTTCTTCTTCTTCTTCATTTTTTGTACGCTTCCTTGAAGCAGACTTGTCTTCTTCAGGGCTTAATGAATCCAAAAAAGAGGATGATTTGGCTTCTTTATTAAACCAAGACCAGTCATGCTCGCTTTGGTTATTATCATTGGTGGGTATATTATCTTGTTCCTTAGTGTTTTCTTGTGTAATGGCACTTTGTTGCTGGAACAGCCAGTCATCAGAAGAAGGTATTGTCATCATAGCTTGTTGTCTACGAACATGATTCCACAATCTTTTTTTTTTTTGCTATTTTGTTAATACACAGCCTTTTTTCTTTATTGTGGGAACTTACCTCGTGGTCAATAAAATTTTTCTTAACGAAAGTTCGTTTCTAGGTATAATTAAAGGATACATTTTGTATTGGCTTGCATCTGCCAATCTTTTCATGAGTTCTTTATTATTTCCATATTGATGTTGTTGACTAATAACATTCATTTTCTTCAAGATAGAAAAGAAAAAGAAAAAGGAATTGAAAAAATAAAAATAAAAAAAAGGACTTATTTTTTAGTGTTTTGAAATCCAGACGTAAAATGCTTTAGTAAAGATCATTGAAATAAAAGCCATGATTGGTGCAATGAATGTGACTTTGCTTAATTAACTTTTGTAACATGATACCCTTTTTTGTATCACACAAACTGAATATCTTTATTTGGTAATGTATTCAAAAAGTAGTATAGATCAAGAATGCTACAAGTTTTAAAAGACTTGGTACAACTTCAATTTAAAAGTTTAAATTCACTAAAAGGAATCAGGATATGTCTTATAGGAATACCATAGAGTTACTTATCTGGTATTGATCTACGATAGTTACAATGGATTTTCCAATTGTAGCTGCCTTTCATCATTGCTATCAAATCAACTCTAGAGACTCTTTTTTGAGGGTGAGCCACCATAAGTAATATTCTGTCACAAGAAATGAATTTGCTTAGTATAAAACATACCTTTCATATCTCGAATTTATAAAAACAATTATAGTTTTTTATGTTTAGTATTTTTTGTTTCTTCATCATAAAATGCTCAAAACGAATAGAAACCAAGTAAAATTTGCTTCTTTTTTTTTGAAGCAGGCACTGGCATAGACAAATCATCCTCCCTCTCAAAAAAGAAATATTTGATCATGAAAATGCCCAGTAAATTTCTATTGATCGACCAAATAAAATATTTTGTGTAAAAGTGAAGAAATCCTATATTCTGAGGTAAAAAAGAAAGCACTGGAAAGTATACTGTATAAGCTAGCATTGATATCAAACAATCAACAAATAAAGCCTTTCTATATAATAAGTGACTAGTCAATTCACTTGGAATATTATGGTTAATAACAAGTTGTTAGAGAAGAAGAATAATTTCTTTTGGTAATGTTCCTAAATCTTGATATACAAAATATTTTGTTTGAAAAAGGAATGGGAGAGAGAGAATATTTTCCAATTGATATTACTTTATTTTGTCTTCCTACAAATACTATAGCTATCACTGGAGTCACAAAAAAAGAAAGCACAGACCAGTCTCTTACTTTATATAGAAACAAAAACGACAATCATAGCTGTCATAATTAATTCAATAAAGTTGTTGGGCGTACACAATGTGTCACCAAAAGATGTAATTTCATGCCGAATGACACTTGCAGAAGCAGTCTAGATGAAATCAGTAAAAAGGAAATATCATTTTAAGAAAAGACAATCAAACCTTTGCAAATCCAATTTGATGGTTTTTCATATCAAACACAAGATATGTAGATCTCAGAACAGAATCACCCAACAGAATCCAACCATTCTCTTTCATTTTTAGGCTATTGCCAGTATCCATCCATGGCGCAATGCCAAACATACAAATACCTTCTCCTAGTGGCAAGACGAGATCTCTTAGAGGGATATTTAATTGTATACCACTACGATCCAGTGTGAAATAAACAAAATAACTTGTGGTTGCCTCATGACCCGTGCGACAGTCAATGATATAAGTACCAGACATTTGGTCAAATACAGCATGGTCGTTGGTCACCATTTTGACAATGGCTTCAGCTGCGTCGCGATCCATATAAGTCAAAGTAGTTCCAGTATCTACAATCATGCCACGAACTGAAGAAAATGTATTGTTGTAAACTAGTTCACTTTTCGTCGTCTCTTTTTGTACCTGAATCGAGTTGCCGCCCACCATCCAATAAGACGTATTACTATTGTCTTGATTGAAAACGGGCTCATAGATAATATCCCCTATGTATTTCTCAGAATTCGTTCCACCTAGCAAGATTTCGCCAGACCAACCTGTTTCAGTTATTGATCCCATGCTAACCGAAAAAATAGGTTGATCGATTAATCCTTGCTCCGCCAACTGAAATACAAATGGACTATACTTCGTGTTGCTTGTAGTGAGAGAAGGATAACCAAGACCAAAGATGCCATTTGATGGCGATGTAGCTGGCAGAATGAGGTCACGGGTAGAAGCTGCCAAGCCAAACTGTTGTTGAGGAATATGGGCATTGCCTAAATAAACACTGTCTTTGCCATAGGTTCCATTTACTGATCCAATACCGTACTCAATCTGAAATGGTTGAGACTCATTCAATGATGTAAATGTACTAGATTGAGAGGAGATAAATCTTTGATAGGGGCATTCTTCCGTTGGACAGTTAGAGGAAGGGACCCAAAGATCAGAACTTGATATAATTAGATTATATATGCATATAGACTCTACTTACCTTCCAGTGTCTAATGATACAGTAAAGTTCTGCATTGGTGTTCCAATACCAATATTGATTAAATACTCTGATCCTTCATTATTAAATAAACGAGCTTGATGAATATCTGCTCTTTTCCAATGAGAATGTTGATTGTATTTAGTGATAGAGAGACTGATAGTCTTCTCTGATAAGACAAGGCTACATGTGGTAATTAACAACAAGACGATTGCCTTGTCAAGTAACATCTTTAAGATTAAAAAAGGTGATAAACAGTTATAATCAAAAATTTTTTTTTTGTTCAATCATAAAGTGAAACCCATTTTTTATCAATGCTAAAAAAGCTGTTTTTTATTTATAAAATACAAAGAAAATATACATATTTACTGCTACATGAAACAAAAAGAGACGTATACATACATATCTAGCTTAGAAAGCATTCATGATTAAAGCTGTTACAAACAAAGCAAAGAAAGTCATCTTAGCAGAGGTTTGAGTAGAGACTCCTGAAGAAAGATTATCAGCATTACTCGTGCTACGAGTGCTAGTAGAGGCGTTACTTGTAGAATTGCCAAAAGATACAGCGCCACCAGTTTGCTTTGTAGCAGCAAGACCAACACGATTCTGTCCCATATCAAACACCATATAAGCAGAACGAAGAACAGAATCACCAACAAGATACAAGTTATTACCAAGACCTCCGCCACCATTCAAAGGAGCAATACCAAACATACAGATACTAGCAGTGTCAGCAGAATTGCTGTCAACAGGGATAACTAGTTCGGAAGCAGGCACACTTAAAACTAAAGGGCTATTACTGATTCGACTGGACTGAGACATTTGTAATTCAAAGCGAGCAGGGCTCTTTGCAGTTTTGCAGTCGACGATAAATACACCCGATTGACGATCGTAAGCATAGTTTCTTTCGCCTGCAAAAGCAGAGACAATATCAGTAGCAACAGAAGTCGGCAAATAAGTCAAAGTAGTGCCTGTATCTAAAATAAAAGCACCGAGTTCACGCAATCTCCAGCTAGGGTTTGAGCCAGTGTCAGAATTTTTGACACCTAGACCTTGACCATACACCATCCAATAATAGTAACCAGGTTGAGAACTACTGCTTGAGCCACTGGAGGATCGTGTAATGAGACTAGCCACTGGTAAATAAGTCAAGTTACCATCAAACTTTGTTTCATCAATGCCACCAAAGATAATTTCACCAGACCAACCAGTTTCAGACACGCTGTTGAGAAAGATAGAGAAGATAGGCTCATTTATAATCTTTTGCTCGGCCAAGTTGAATACGAAGGGATTATAGGCGCCTTCGCCTTGACTATTTGCTTGAGTTAGACCAGGATAACCAAGGCCGAGGATACCATTTGCTTCTACATTTTGAATGTTTGTGCCGTTGTAACCATCGGGTGCTGATGAACCGGGACCTCCTGTTGAGGGATTGGGTTGCATGATATCTTCTGTCATCGAAGCCAAACCAAGTTGTTGGTTTTGAACGGTGGCACCACCCACAGTGACAGTATCTGTATAATAAGTGCCATTGACACTACCGATACCGTATTGGATACCAAAAGGTGCATTCAATTGCTTGAGAGTAGAGGACTTACTGGGGTCAAATCGATAGAAAGGACAAGAACTTTGAGGACAATCAGTGGAAGGAACCCAGAGGTCAGCACTACGTAATTATGTCAATTTTTCTGTTGTTTTTATTCCGCACATATTCCCTCTCCTACCTTCCAGTATCAAGTGTCACAGTGAAGTTTTGTGCTGGAGTACCAATACCCACTTGAATCAAGTATTGAGATCCTTGGTCGTTGTACAGAGAAGCATTGAAAGCATCTCTTTTTTCGAGTAAAGAGCGCTTATTGAGAAACTGATATTTTTTCTTCGCTTCCTCTAAAGGATTACCAAGGCGAGGGTTACGGATAATCGGTGTACGGATAATACCCTCTTCTGCTTTAACTACAAGTGTAGCCGACGCTAAGATGGCAATGGTTGCAGCAATAATTTGCATTTGTTTGTACAATAAAAAAAGAAAATGAAAAAAACAAATAATGCAAATGAAAAATATTATTATATACCCACCGATAGTTATCCCGAGACACGACAGATTAGAAAACACAGAAATCAAACGTCATTTACGTACAACTGGATCGTATCTTGTTCTGCGCAAATTTTATCCGCCGAATTCTTTTAACCAGTATGTGTGAAACTTTCATTTTTATTTTTACAAATCATAGAAAATAAAATACAAAGTAAAAAGTTTTGCCAAGAAAATAAAAGAGGGTTTTAATATCATGCCATTGGATATAGCGGTAGGAGGAGTGTCACTCTGAGCTAAAGGAGTACCAGTCATGCTGTTACTAATAATATCACTGTTGGTGGTAGTGGTAGCAATTGTAGCATTGCTGGTTGCTGATGATGAATTTACTGCTGTGGCCAATTTAGCCATTCCAAATCTATTCTGTTTCAAGTCATACACTGTATACAAGGAGCGCAACGTAGATTCGCCTAATATCCATGTGTCACCTGACGTCAACTCTAATCCTTTAGGAGCTGGCGCAATGCCAAACATGCAAGAAGTAGATGTCTCTGGAGTACGTGCATCATCCAAAGGTATGACCAATTCAGAAACAGGAACACGAATTGTCATAGGTGTTGTTGACTTGACTGTTTCTGAAGGCGAAATTAAGAATTCCACGAAAAGATCAGACTTTTCGGCTAAAGAACAGCTGACACGATAAATGCCTTCAAGGGCGTCCCATTTTGTCGTTTTTGCATTATTTGTCAATGACATAACAATAGATTTTGCAATCGATTCGGGAACATAGGTCAAGGTAGTACCAGTGTCCAAGATAAATGCTTGCAAATCTGGTGTGCTATAGCTATAATTTGAACTGGTAGAAACGCCTTGACCAGGTACAGACCAATAAAGGTATGTTTCTTGGCTACCATTGGTCGTGCTGGTCTTATTGGCTCCTAAATTAGCTGAAACATAGTATTTACTAACATCAAAGCTAACTATAGGCACATATTGAATATCGTCTGTGTATTTCGTACTATCAAGTCCACCCAAAACAAGTTCACCCGTTTTTCCATAAGCAGATTGCGTGTTAAGGAAGATAGAAAAAATAGGCTCCGAAATGATATTTGCTTGATATAACCCCATCACAAGATGACCGGGCTTTTTGCCAGACTTCATAGAGAGGCTTGGATGACCCATACCCAAGATACCATTCGAAGGCATTGTATCATCTTCTGAAGCAGAGAGGATATTGTCCGTGTTAGACACAAGCCCAATAGTATGGTTTGGAAGAGATATACCCGATTCTCCAAGTGTGATCGTATCAAGTGCATAGCTACCTTTGGCTGTACCAACACCATATTCAATTGAAAGCTTCTCGTTAGACAATGCCTTGAAAGTGGTTGATTTTTTATTATCGAAACGAGTATGTGGACACATGGATACCGGACATGATGAAGACGGAACCCAAAAATCTGCACTATTATAAAATGAAAGTTAAAACTTTGCTTTTCTTTTTTCTTTACCTCCCAGTGTCCATTGTTAGATTGAAGTATTGTGGTGGCGTACCAACGCCGACCTCAATTAAATATTCTTTTCCATTTGCATTGTATAAGGAGACATTGTTACCGTCTCGCTTCTGAAGATAAGGTTTTGAATGACTGCGTTGTCTGAGAGGGAAGCGTAAAATCTTATCATCTGTTGCGTTTACACAGGCAATGATGAGACCCGTGAAAACAATGGATTTTGATAAGATCATATCTGTTTTAAGGAAAGGAAGGGGAAAAATAAAGAGGAAGAAGAGAAAGAAAGAAAGAAAGAAAAGAAAAGCTTGTTCTAATTAATGGATCATTTTAGTGATGTTGCTCAATTAGGAAATGAAGAACAAGCTCGACTTATACGAGTTTTTAGTCTTAATTAGTACGCTTGGATTTTTTTTTTTGGTACGTTTGAAATAAATTTTAGTACGATAGTAAAAATAGTTTTAATATGCATACATATATAAACATTCAAGTTCTTTCTATTATAATGTCGATAAGACTAAAATTCATTTTTGTGATTTTTACGTCCAAAAAGCATGTTTTGAGAACAAAACGTTTGAGTTTTTTTATCTTACCAAGCGCCTCAGTTTTTAGCTTCATTATACTCCCATATTTAATTTACTGACAATGCTCATTGACGTGAAATGTTAAAATTTAGTTTTTCAAGGTTAAACATGTATTTATTATGTTGATCATTACTGAGTATGATGTTTTTTATAACATCATGGATTGATTTACGTAAGAAAAGGCCTTAGAATAATGTTAAATTCTTAATCTTATTCAACTGTATTTTCAAAAAAGGGTCTTTATTTTGATCTATTGTATTTTCAGAAAGGGTCAAATATAACATATATATGATATGGTGTATTTGACTATACAGTGAAATATCTTTTAATTTAAAAATCAATTAGCCAATCCTTATATATAGCTAGCAGTCGCATAAGACAGAAGGACCAGAAAGCTCATTAATCGTAGCAATGAATATTAAAATCAATAGTTAGAGGGGGAATAGAAAGTCGTCAGTCCTTGTAGCTAGCAAAAATTAAACCTGTAGTAATTAAACATGTATTAATAAAAAAAACAGTTAATGCAGTGGTGTTTTTTTCCAAAAAAATAACTGGATTTAAGTGTTACCTTCAGCCAAAGGTTATTTACGCCATCATTACCATAGTAAGACTTGGGTGCGAGTTGTCTAAAAGAAAAAAAAAAGAAGCAATTAGAGGTAGATGACAATACCAACCAAGAGGACTACCAATTGAAGGCAACAACACCAGTGTTACAAACACTAATGCCACCACGCAGCGAAAGGCGTTTGTCAGAGCAAGGATAGCTCCCAAGTCTCATCAATGGTTGCTTGAACTTGCCAATCTCCTGCCTTTCAAAGTCCTTCAGCAGGCCAAAGATCAAGTCTCTTGTCATCTACAGCATCTTAAATGTTACGAGCAATACCAACCAAGAGGACTACCAATTGAAGGCAACAACACCAGTGTTACAAACACTAATGCCACCACGCAGCGAAAGGCGTTTGTCAGAGCAAGGATAGCTCCCAAGTCTCGTCAATGGTTGCTTGAACTTGCCAATCTCCTGCCTTTCAAAGTCCTTCAGCAGGCCAAAGGCATTTGTCACCTTTTTTTTGATCAAGTTTCATCTCGAACTGATGCCAAAAATCTTAATAGCATGATGATAAGATGTTACCTTTTCGCGCACCATACTAATAAGATTCAATAATAAGTATTTGTGTTAGTCAGAATACTTTTGAGCTTTTAAAAATAAAAAACGGACAAGGACTAATTATTATTTATTACGTGGACGCTTAAGTACCGATCGAAAATTCGTGACGTAGACATTAACTTCGCAGTGTAGAAACTTTTCTTGTCTGTGTTTTTGGTACCTTACGAAAAAGATTTGGTGAGGTATTCACCGCTTATTACGTCCCAAAAATGTTTTTGAAGATACCAAAAAAAAAAAAAAAAAATCCAAGCGTACTAATTAAGACTAAAAACCTGTAAATGCAGTTAATTTAATGCTTTTTTTATGTGTGTGAAGGGTACACAAGAAATAAGAAGATCAAATTTAGTTGCTCGATTGTTGAATAGATAATAATGGCTATCCTTTGGTACGTCTTTTTTCACGCTAATATCTAATTGCTTTGCACTAACTTGTTGTCTTAATAGCATACAAGCAAATTTATTTTGAGCATTTCTTTGACCAAATGTAACACCTGCATCTCATGTGTCTTTGCATTTATCGCCGTTCAACATTATACAAAAAAGAGGAGTTGTATATTTTATTCAGATGATGGTTAGAGACAAAATAGAGATAACTTGTGCTTAACGATTAGACAATAAAAAGAGAAAACAAGAATGAGTATGAATATTTGGGATAAAAAAATGGATAAGCGCTTATTTTGTTTGAAAACATTTGGTAATGAATATTAGATGTTTGGCAAGAAAACCTATTTATAACTAAAAAAAAAATTATTCTGTACATTAGAGACAGAAGCATCTTGTATTGGTTTTTTTTTCTGCTTCGGACCTTTCTCAAATTGTGTTGTCACTTTCGAGTTGCTCACTATACCAATTTATTTAGATGGATGTCTAACAATTTCCAAAAATAGTACATAGATTTGGTGTTCTATGTATAGTAAGATATTCGCCACTCTCAATGCCTATCGTTAAGCCACATACACGCTGGCATTATTTGATCCCAATAAGCAGACTGTGTTCTTTTTATCATTAAAACGCAGGCGATTGATGATAGTAAGAAGACTTCGTTGTCTATGAGTTTACATGGCTTTTCTCACATATGTCTATCATAAGTACATAATGAATTAGAGATACATAGTATAAGATATGACTGTAGCAATAGATAATACTATTTGAAAAAAATCACATATATAAATACAAATTACCTGTACATTCGTGCTTAAACGTTAATCTTGATGAGCTGTGCTGAATTTGAGATATATTTTTATCAAAGCTCATCAAGTTGTTAATTCACAATTATTGCGCAAAAGCGAGTTTATTTCTTCTTACTCTCTTAATAAAAGCTATATATGTTTATTTTGCGCATCAAGTAGTATAAGTTTTATAAGAATTTTGCTACTAATATTTCAAGGGAACACATAATTTTGTCTTTAATGCTCCGAGAAAACATAACAGAGCTTTTGGCGATTATTCTGAGTATCTGAACACGCCAATTCCTCGTAGCACAATGGTTACAAGCAGTAAATGGTCATTTTGACATACTGCCCTTTCAGGTTCAAAATAACATCAGAAACACTGTATGTCTTGCTAAACATCTCTCATAGCTAGTTTAAGCATTTAATGGGATAAATAAACCCCTTTTTTTGCAAGTTTTCATTTAGCATAATGAAATACTTTTTCTTAATACACACGATTACTTTATCTGTATATGAAACTGCCTATCAATGGGCGTCCATGCATATCTGACTTGTCATAAAGAGAAACTAATATACTTTAGCACGGCGTTCGGAGACAACTTTAGAGGCACCCTGGAAGCTGAAAGTATGATTTTCTTTCTTTTATAGGCAGCACGAAAATAAATTAAGCTAGCATTTGAAGTGCTTTGTTCTTAATTTCAGTTTCATCAGACTTCACAGCATTTAATGGCTTTGTTTTTGACATCATCATTGTCAGGATATAAAACATGGTTTTACTTACTATGGAAAAAGTAAAGAGGTTACTATTAAGTCAATCCAGAAATACAAAATTATGACGAGCATCAGATTGCCCATCGCATCTATATAGTTCAAGAAACTGGATTATCATTAGCAAAGTTAGTCGAATAGAGCGATATATTCCGTAGTTTCTATAAGATTCTTGCAATTGAAAAGTACCAAGTCAAAAGCAAGCAAAACATCAAAAGGAATCACATTCGTTTTAATTAGGTACATTAGTTTAATAAGTCTAATAAATAAATACAAAAATTATCTCAAAATGTTAATGCTTGTAGTTTAGCCATATACTGACACTATCAGGCCCAACAAGATCGCGGATAGTGGCAATGAGTAACTCAAGCTCTACAGACAATTGTTCTGAGTTCATGATATATGAACTGAAATATGTATACTCGCGCTCTCCAAGATGTTGAAATTGAAGCGCAGGTAATTTGCGTGCTTTGTTTGTCAAGTTGCGTCTTGCTTTTGTAGGTCTAATTACATAAGGTGGAATAGGGGATTTGTTGATCAATGCATAAGAGCCTAAATGAAGTGCAATTAAATAAGAAGAAATCTGATTATGCGTTAGCAAAAAAAAAAGGGAGCAATTAGTTGTATTCGTATCTTACCATTTCCTTTCGTTCTTTCCATGTCTCTCTAGTAATCATCATTCTCCATTCATAAGGGATTTTCTCCATGGAGAATTCCATCTCTATAATTAAACTCAAGATGTTTTCTAATACCTGAAGTATGTGCAGATACTTGGCTTCAGGAAATATACCACGTAATGCTGGTTCAAATCGGCTTTGTTCTAACAAGACCCGCTCACCCTGGATTTGTCGACGAATAGCATTAGCGACTGAATTAAACAATTCACGGTTTTCTACAAGTATGGCTTCATTGTCTGGTGTTTCTTTTAATAAGAGAGACAGAAATGAAGAATAAAGTGATCCAATTTCACTCAGTGTTTGCGAAATGCGACGTCGAAGTATAACGCGACCTGTGCGAGGATATGGAAAGATGCTGATGACAAGTGCTGCAAAGACACCAACAATGACTGAAACCATCCTCTATATGTAACATGAGTATTTTTTCTTCTTAGTTTAGCTTTCGTACCTCTAAAGTGACAATGAATATAGAAACAGGTTGTCCATTAGGTTTAAAGCTATGTGTATAACCAATAACTAAAGAATCAACATCAACACAATTGTTTACATAACAAACAAACTTACTAATAGTTACTGTAACCAAAGCAAAGAGACCTGTTGCTTTCCAAAACTTGCCATGAATATAAACCAGCCACCATGGCAGATTAAACAAGAATGACAAGATAATTAATCCTTGTGGAGTTCCTCGACCTGCTTCCCATATAATGATTGCTTGAATAGCACCAATAATTGTGCCAGCAGTACGTGTCATTGTACTAGAGTAATTGAGTTTATACAGAAGGCAACGATTTTTTCTACTTACCCAAAAAAATTACTGCCTACCGAAGGACCCATCCAAATCAATGCAACAACAACAGCCCATTGACCACGAACAGTATCATACCAGGTAGCACTGCTCTCTAGAAAAGCAGGTAAAGACAACAAAGCTACAACAATGGCTGCACGAAATGCAAAAGCAACATCAGCTGAGTATATATTATTGTAAAAGAAAAGATAAATAGAATAAAAAAAGCGTTGTGTTGATGTTGTGGGATAAGCGACGTCAGGATCATGATATTCCAAGGGGTCAAGCGTATTTTGTCTCCAAGGATTGGCGTATTCTTTCAGCTGGTGTGTTTTGTGACAATTTTGATGATGCTCACTTGGTGAATGCACTTCCCCGCGTTGAGGCGTATTTAGTTTGTAAAGAACGCCCTTTGATTGCTGTGCTTCAAGATCCACAGGGTGCATATCATTGCTCATCATAGAAGAAAGTAGAGTGGCTCGTCGTGAAAGCTTGCGTTGTAAAGATATAGGATTATTGACACCCATCATGGCTGCAGGATTATTGAGATCAAATTCTTCGTCAATGTCATCAAGGCTTTGGAAAAACTTGTGCCAGGGAATATGTGGCCACCATAATCGGCGTTTAGTACGGATTTGATCCAGCTCATATATATGTGATGTCAAGGTATAAAGTTGTTCTGCATAAGTATGTAAATTAAATTGAAATGTAAGCAATAAGAACAAGATACGGCGTGGCACGCCCGATTTGGTATAAAGCCGGTTAAGGCCAGTTAGTCGATGCTCTTGGAATTGCCGAATTGCTTTTAATAAAGGAACAGAGGGATCCGCCTTTCTATCATATGCAAAAGCTTTGCTTTCTTCTCTTTCTTTGGCAGCGCCTACTTTCCATCGATAATAATATTTGTAGAAGAACGGTCGATCTTGATAGCGTGGATCAAGACCTTGAATGTGTCTAAGACGTTTGACTGACTCTTGAATAGCAATTGAACATGCTTCACTGAGATCGAGATAAACCGGCTTCACAATATTCAAAACGTCATCATAGTCCTCTCGCCAATAAGACATGACCTTCATGTTATCTTCCCATCTTACTTTACGTCGCCTTGATTGTTTCAAAGAACTGTCTGCTGTATTTGTATCATCTTTAGAGAAAGATGAAGTTGAACTGCTTACGCCTGAGGGTGTTTGAGGTGCTGAAGATCCAGAGGTATCATCGTCCGTTGTAAAATAATCTACATCTTGGCCTTGATCTTCATCATCTGTGCCACCATAATAACTTCGCGATCGTTGAATTTGTGAGGAAGGTATGGAAGTCGGAGAATCTTTCTCTGTAAAGTTATAGAACAGATTGGTAGCTGGTTCAGTCGGTTGAGCTTCGACAACTTCTGTTGTATGATTGTCTTGAAATACCGCTTCTTCTGCTTTACGCATGTTCTCTTCCATGGCTCGACTCAGAACCAAGCCTTGCAGTGGAGTTCTAATCTTCTTGACCAAGGAAGTGATCTCACTAATATCTGTTGGTGCCAGCATGTTGAAAGAGGGTTCTCTTCGTACCATTCGTTTTCTGAGTACGAGCGCTGTAATAAGATCATCAACCACTAAATTAATAGAGGCTACTGATTCAATTGGATCAAAAGGAATACTGAGTTTTCTACTGTTGTCTCTTAAAAAGGCTGACACTTGTCGTTGTGTAAATCCATCGAATGTTTCGCATAATTTGATTAAATGTTCAACATAGATTGTAGTGCTGTCCTCTGGGAAAATGACAAGAAATACAGTGAAAATCAAAAAAAAACCAACCAGAATGGACACTAATTCCTGCAACTAAAATTGATACGGAAAAAAAAGGAATGACAAAACTGGTTAAGCCATGCATAAAGAAAAAAGAATGAATAAAGATGACTTACAACAGGACGCGCTGAGAATTCTTTTTGTTGTACAGCTGAAGTCATTCCAATCACCATGATTGTTCCAGCTAACATAGCACCCACATTAGCTTGTTCCACTTTCACCCGAAATAAATTTAGACAAAAACAGCCAAAGATTAAGAAACAAGCTAGAATGGCACATACATTTGTTTGAGCCATGGTTTCGTCCGACGGATCTCTTACCAACGAAGCCAAGTAAATGGCAAGGATGGACCATGCAGCTGAAAGCGAACACATAACGCTGCCAAAAAGAACATCCTCTGCCAAAAACCCATATGATTTTGTTGGGTGCACAAATTCAACAGCAACACTGGCCAAAATGCCGCCAATTCCTGTAAGCTCTTGAACTGGGTCAACCAGTAAAAGGCCGAGGGCGATTGTTACTGCAATGTTGGCCTTGATCACCTTGATAAACACAGGCCATGTTAAAGATTGCCATAAGCCTATCAACCGCTGTCTAATTGTCTGTAGAGGAACTAGATTCCCAGAAGTAGATGAAAGTCTAAATCTATGTGTCTGGTTTGGTTTTTCTCTTTTCCTCTTCATGACGATAAAATAAAAGAAAGAAAAATGAAAAACGTCAGAATGTCTTTTTTTCTGTTTGCTTTTAAAATCTCTTTCAGTTTCAGACAATGCCCTTTTTTGGTATATATGTCGAACTATGCAGTTGTACAAGGGAAAATATTTTGTCGTCTTGGAAAAGAATCAGGCGGTTACGATTGTACACAATCAATATTGAACAATTTAAAGCTTAAAATAGCTTTAAAAATAACGTATTTTCCTCCTCCTCCCCCCTCAAAGGTTCGTTCTGTTCTTTACCTTCTCAATAAAAGCTGGAAGGGTTTACTTTGACGTATACATGCATAGGTTTAGACGTGCGAAATGTTTGATGATTTGCTCTTTTTTTTTTTTTTTTTTTTAAGACTATGATATTTCAGATAAATGCTTATTTCAGTTTTCAACTCAAAATAATTTGACTACGTCTACAACAAAAATAAAACATTGTAGGGACATCTATTGTTTATGTACGGAATTAAACTTTTCCTGATTTTGTAACTTTTTTTTATTATTTTGCAAAATGAACATTAAAAAAGAAGATCTATTTAAATATGCTGTATATGTATAAATGAATTATGGTTTTCCATGATCTTTGACTGCATCAGCATTGCTTTGGCTGGAGGATGACATAGGAATAAGATCTTTGTTCTTATTTGGTGATTTGTTGGCAATAGTCTTGGCAACAGAATAAACTAAACCAGCAATAAAACCTAATAAACCAGTAAATATACACAAATATGCGTCCAAAAATGACTTACCAACAATAATAGCAGACACATTACCAAATGTAGCAGGATCACCAAAGAACATAATACCAGAAGCAGCAATAGGCAATTTGTTCAAAGCACCTACCATTGAATAAGTAGTAGAAGAAGTAGTACGGACACACCAAGCAGAAGCATAAGACATGGCAAAGGCAGAGACACCAGAAAAGATCATGGCAATCAACATGGGCTGACGTACATCAGCAGGGAAGTTCTTGGTTAATCCTTCAGCACTCCAGTCTTCAAAGATGAAGCTGGGAATAATCAACATAGGAATTGAGACCAAATTGTTGTAGTACACTGTGTCAAAGTCCTTGAAGTTGGTGAGCTTAATGCGTTTACGCATATAGAGAACAAAAGCAGCTGAAGCAAGACAGTTGGTGGCCATCCAGAAATAACCCAACATGGCTGTATCAAATTCAACCATTTGACTCACAGTATCACTAATATCTGCCCAACCAGCAATCACAGATGAAAGTACCTATAATATATGTTAAACTTATCTCTCCATGCCTCGATGTTTACCATTAAGCCAAAAGAAACCAACATGAGATGTGTAACATTTCCACCAAACCAAAGTACTTCACCATAAGCAATGAGAATAATAGTCAAATTCTTAAAGATAGTATAGATAGGGATACGAAGATACTGAAGTGCCTTTGAGCCTGTATAAATCATAGCAACAAGTGCAGCTGCAATAGGAGACCATTTGCGGGCTTCGTCACTATCAAAATCACGAAACTTGATGAGGTTGAGAAATTTGAAGGATTGTAATAATACAACACAAGTCAAGTTCTATAATAAAGTAAGTAAAAAAAAAAAAGGTGCATTTTCGTATATTGCTTACTTGAATAGTTAATAGTAAGAAGTTCATATTGAAATCATAGCCACTCAAGACATACTTATTTGTAACAGTCATAAGAATAGAAGCAGCACAATAACTTGCAATAGGAAGAACAGCCTTCATACCAGGAGATAGCTTAATAACAGAAGGTGCAACAACAGTGTTTTGCTGCTGCTGCTGCTGCTGTTGATCAGGTTCCTGGTCAATCACCACAGAGTAATCTGGTTTAGTTTCTCCCATGCTAGTCTACAGAGATGAGTTTTCTAAAAAAAAAAAAAAAAACGAAAGAAAGAAAAGAGATATAAATGAAATCAACGGGGTTACAATTCCGCCTTAAAAAAAGAACAGTAGATCCCTTTTTTGATACACAAAAAAAGAAAAAGCGAAGATCCTTCTTCTTGTAAGCATATCATACTCATGCCAAGTTAGTCCTAGGCTTTGAATCCTATTAATTCTATGCTATCGGAAGTGGATAAAATGTCATACATTCGAAAAAGGCCATTAATTTATTTGCCAAGGCATCCTTATCTTTGGCTGATGTTAATTAAAAATAAAGTAATAGAACTTCGCTCATGAAGTAAATAATGTTGGCATCGATCCAATAAGCCACGCTTACCTTTTTTTTCTTTCTTACTTTCATAGAAACTTGTATCTATACTTGGAAAAAATAAAGTATTAAATAAGCAAAAATCAAATTCTAGAAATTAAGCAGAGCATGAGATACATAAGTAATATTTACATTAGATTATAAGAAAGAGCAGATAATAGAAAGGAGATACACTGGTAACAGATATGAACTAGTATATGTAAAATACTTACACGGATACGAGGAGGTAGTTAAATACCCTCCCTTCTATTTCTTCATTACCTTCATACTACTACACAATATGACCAACCAATATTAAGCTGTGATTGATGCTACCAAGTACTGATTCCTTTCTGTTTATATTATCTTAAAACATCTCAACAAGAAACTGAGTGCGTTTATGTATCATCTTGGCACATTAAAGGGCTCTTAGATCATGATACCTTTGTTGCTGAATTCGAATAACAAAAAACTGGGCTAATTTTTATTTCAGGTCAGTGTATAAGCAACTATGTCTCAGGTACACCTAGCAACCCGTTGTTTGTCACTTCTTCATAAATTTGGTAATTCAAACTTAAAAAGTTAACCCTTTTCTTTATCGATAGTAAATGTACAACATTACATATGATTGAAACGTATATAAATGATGCCTATTACTACAAGAGGTTAGTACTTTAAATCATTGTCTCGATAAAACATGTTATTGCTCGGGACATCAATATGCGATCGAGTTCTTACATCATTGCTATTAAAAGTCCGTGGTAAAATAAATGTGAATTCCTTGCAAAACGCGCTTCTTTTCTCTTTGATACCGACCGTTATGGACACTTTTGTAAGTGAACAAGTAAAGCGACTAGATGCGGCTTTGAACCAGTCTTTTGAACAGAAGCTGGAAAAGAACGGCATAATAAAGAACTTTGCTTCCCTTAACGAGAGAGATCAGTTTTTATTCAAAGCAACACAAGCACTTGACTTGACAAGCAATACGCCCCCCGCCTTCGAAAAAGTACAAGAATATCTTGAGAAATATCATGACACATCTTCTATTAATGCAACAGAATCAATGGATACAGAACTTGAATCATTTTTTATTGCCAAATGTACGATTGCAGTGTATGGTCAAGTCTTCTCCAAAGTCCTCAACTTGACTTTGCCAGTATCAGAGTCAATCGATTATTGGAATCATATTCATGGAAGCACCACACGAGAAATTTATTATGGATTACAAAGTACGTAAATCTTGGGCAATTTCAAACCATTGACTTTTTTTTAGCCGCACCTTATCGCATTTTCAATCTATTGAAAAGCACAACAGAACAGATCACTCAAACGGGTGCAGTAGCTCAACAAGTCAAATCTCTTTTTACTTCATCCGATTACATACTCAGACAACTGTTTCCTATTCATAACATCAAATCCAGCAAGCAAAAACAACCTTTCGATGCCCTCAAATTCTTTACACTTTCTTTTCATCGACGCCCTTTGATTCTTGAAATGTTAAGCGATGAAATCAATTTAAAGAAGAATGCTCTACAACAATTCAGAGCTGAACAAGCTGCTTCTCTGGGTATCTTATTACTTAGCCCTCCTCAATTCAAATATGATCAAGGCAATGATTTCACAAGTACCATAGCTAACGAAACCAAAAACTGTATTGAAATGATCAAATACCTTATGGAACCTTCACAAACAAAGAAAGTGAAGAAGAATTTACATCATTTCCAGACACAACTCAGTATGAAAAATTTAAATGCAAACTCTACACAAGATATTTCAATGGAACTGTATCAATTGACTAAGGAATGGGCTTCTACTTACGATTGCCATTTGCAGCTTGTGCAATCGTCGTACGGTATTCCTTCAAGACTGACCCGTTACTGGATACCATCCTTAATATCTTATTTTGCTGCAAGTTGGACAATACAGTATGGGCTTGAACGAAAAGAAGACATCATTCATTGTTTGGAAGAACTAGGTAAAACAGCGCACGATTTTGTTCTCAATTGGATATGGGAACCTGTCAGAAAAGTGTACAATACCATTCGTCTTAAGGATCAAAGATTGAGTCTCTTGAGTAAGGAAGGACTCTCCAGTGATTTAGATGTAAGTCGCAAGAATCAATGGCATGTGTGTATTTATTTCTTTAATTAGTCTCTTGAGCGTATGGTGGTAGGATTTGCCAAAGATAAACTACATATACCTGATTCTGAAATTTCCAGAATCGCAGCAGATGTTAGAGAAGGAGACATTTCAGTCTTGTTAAAGGAATATGAAAAAGAAATCAAGAATCCTTTGAAAAATGCTATCACGGGTGATTTGCTTCGAACAATTCTTATTCAAGTGCAAAAGACAAAAGTAGATATTGACCTTGCTATGGCTGCTTTAGACAAATTGTTAAAATCCAATGAATTGAACTTTGCCTTTCTGGGTGAGTCTCGCATAGAGAAAAAGAAAATCCAAAACTAATTTGAACGATAGCCGTGGCACCTTCTATGCTTTTGAGTTGGGCCTCTATTTCATGGTTTAAGAATGCTGTGCAAGGCAAGTCGCAACAAAAAATAAAGAAGGTTGGACAACCTATTCGAGAAACACTCCGGTAAGTTGTTTATTAGTTGCATTTCTTTTTCTCTCACACAAAATGTTTTCTTGTTAGTCGTATCGAGAGACAATTGATCATAAACGAACCAATTCATAAAAGAGAAGTTAGTGAATGGAAAATTTCTACTGATGAAGATGAAAAAGACCCTCATCAAGTTCAATGTGAAACACAAGGTATTTTACTGTGTGAAGTTCATTTATTACGTGCCTATGCTCGTTCATTACCTCAACAAAACTCTACTCGAGCCCGTTTCTTAGAAGACGTTCGAGACTTGGAGAATCCTGCTTTGACAAATGAACAAAAAGTACAAACAATTGCTCGTATCGTTCGATTTTGGCAATTTGTCTAAAGATTGTCTCTCCTGTTTCTTTTAATAAACACAGTATCCCTTTTGTATAACATCGTTTAGTTCTCCTAAATACAAAAAGGAGAGATTCTTTTAAAAATGGCACTGTTCGAAACATCTAATTCCTTTTTCTTCTGTTTGCTACAACTTGTAAGAGAAATGAGATCGGTGTCGTTATTGTTGTTTTCAATTGGGATCTTTTTTATTCTTTTTGATACTTCTCAAGGCTCTTCTGTAACTCAACAAGTCGATAATGAAAACGGTCCGTTTACTAACAAAATCACTGGTACGGGAAGTAGCGCCAACACATACTCGAAATCTGTTACTGAAGTAACAACATCCGATGGACAAACAATCAGAAAAGAGTATCCTTCTAGCCAAAAATTAGCTAAATCGTCAAGTAACATGCCTTTACTCGTGCCTTCCTTTATATTGCATGCGCTCTTACTTTCTATATTATTTGTACTTTTCTATTAAGTAAACTTACTACTATTTCATTGATTTTTTTCTGGTTTCTAATTGTGTAGTTCAACCAAAAGCTACCTGTTATGTCCAGCATACAACATCGCATAATTAACCAATCAAATGTGTTCATACAGTGACTTCAATGAATAAATGTCTTACTACAAATGATTGGCGATTAGTTATTGATGCAATGTTTCAACGCAGAAAGAAAGTCTCAAATATCAATCTGATAACCTCACTTAATTGATTGAAGATTGATTGTCTTACCAATACAGATCCTTGCACAGTAATAACCTAAGGATCATATGAATCAATCTTGCATTGTGAAATCCTTGTATATAATGTGAACCCTTTATTAATGATAACTGAGCCCTGACACAAGCACTTATCTATAAATATGAACCGATTATTGACTCAATAAACAGTAATTCTTTGTCTGATCTTTATTCTTACTATTATTTTGACATTGATAAATCAATACCGCTGAATGCGCAAAGTGCATGACAAATATTTTATGTTTGACATAGCAGAATTAAGTAGAATAAGGCAGCTAAATGATCCTGTTGTATCTCAGTAACTATTTGAGCTAATGTAAATAAGATTCTATTTCATTACATAACTATGTTGTCTTTCATGGAACGTATAATGTACAAATTAATTGAAATTGAAAACGCTTGTGATGTTTTGATAATAGAGTTATATAATAAGATGATATAGAGACAAAGGTAGATACTTTGAGACTGTTCTATACAATCTTTTTGTTATCCTTTTTTACTATAAGTTATTCTAGCATATTTATACATGAAGAGATGTCGGAGTAAGTAGTAGTAGAGTTCATGCAAATGACTGAGTCTCTATTGTCATAGACTACTTTAAATCAATTAAACAATGTAAATTATGGACTTCGATTATAAGTCTTGATCTATTAAAAGATACATTGTCTTATTCAGTACAAGAGGTTCTTTTATGTCTATTTCTGATGTAAATTGATTATGATGTATTTTAGTATGTAAATGAAGACTTATTTAATGTCAGATCATCACAACGCTCTCATTGGCTTCCGCTAGTAAAGGTTCTTGCATCGTCAATATACATGATATAGTAGCAAGACTTCTAACATAAGTTTTCTAGACAATGTCCTTTAAATGTGTAAGAAAAAAGGCTTGAAATATGCTTTATTTTCCCAGAAAAAAATTAATCAACCTATATAAATACTGTAATTAGCCCATTTTCAAGCAGTGTTCATTTAGCTCAGGTTAAAGATTATATTTTTATTAATAAACAATTTTATGGGCTACTCTATGGAGCATAATGCCAAATTGTATGAACAGTTTTTACAAAAGAGAAAAAGGAGAGAGAGTGAAAAAACCTGACAGAAAGCAGACAACAGGAAAAAAAGTAGAAGAGAAAAGAAACAGAGACAGAAAGAGTATTGTATTGATGCATGATTCCAAAGGCATGACCAACGGCTGGGAACTTTGATAATCACTTACCACCGTGGCAGCGCAGAGGAAAGACATGGCAAAAATAGTTCGTCTATGACGAGACCAGAGGAGGGAGCCAACGATCACCAGGATCTTGATCAGGGCGAATTGTTGCTAGAGGATGTACAAGTACATCAATTGCATAAAGCAATTGTAGCAAAGCAGACCAAAAAGGAGGAGGACCAGAGGAAGCCTTAGTCGGCAGCTGATTCAGAGCATAATCAAGACGATGAACACCAGCAGGAGCAATAGGTAGTGCATCTGTTGTATACACAGCATTATTCATCCCTTCTTACACTAGTTATGCCTTAAAAGAGCAAGTATTAATATCATGTATAAATATATCTTTCAATCACAGTTTTATCCGCAGCTTCGATGGATGTCTTCTATCTTAGTTTAAACATGTTAAAGATCAGACCATCACATAATCACAAATTGACATCTGCATCAATACCAATGGTAGACGAGGTCTGTGCCCTGATCATGTACCCAGTTCTTGTGTACCTTAATCCACTCAACCGATTAGCTAGTGTATACACACTCAGTCCCAAATTAAGGATAATCAATTATCATACAAACAGTATAAATACAATACAAAATATAACCTTTAATAAAGCAGACTTCTTTTGGCCGTTTTGGTTCTAATCGACTTATTGATTTGACCATTTTATTAGTGATTATATCACAGCATCCCATAATGCTGGGTCAAGCGCCTGACATGACAAAAAGTGTTCACGGGAGACAAAAGCACCAGAGAGACAAGGACATTCTTCACGCATATTCGCAAAGCGACCAAGACGCCAACGCACCAAGCGACTACGAGAAGTACGAAGCATGGGCAGGTATAAGATTGGATCCGGCTTAGACGTACAAGGACGACAAGCACGGAGAAGGACGGAACGACCACGAGCCGCATGTCGCACCATTTGGCGGTCAAATTGGCTCTGCCATTGTCGTCTAAAGTGAGTACGAAGTTCAGCATTAGAGACAGGCTGTGGGTCCGGTAGTGAACGGTACAAGACATTCTGTTGAAGAAGCTTGACCAGGCGAGGGTACCGTAGTTGATCACGCAAAAGCACTATCAAGCAGTCATCAGGGAGGTATTGTACACGCAAAGCGAATTTGGTGACAAGGATGTTGTACCTATGATTCATGGCAGGAAGACAGGTGAGGTGTTTTGCAACTTGAAACCAAGAGCCACCAACAAACATACGGACCAGGCGATTCTGCAGATCATCTAGGTGTGTCATGTCTGCCGAAGCAAGACGGGATATAGCCAAACCATACTCTATCTTGGGACGAATAAAGCAGGCATACAGCCGAGAGGACAAAAGAAGTGAGAAACCATTGCGGTGAACACCGACAGAGGTTAGCAGAGCCATGGTCTTGATGGCCTTAGCAGATCTCAAAGAGATAATGCCAGGTCCATGGATGCCTTTTTCTCGAAAGGGTACACCAAGATAGATGAACTCGTCCACGAGGGGCAGAGATTCGCCATACAATGTCAATCGAGGGCCATCACAAGGTGAGTTTAGAACTGCACACTTGGCCGGATTCCAACAATATCCAAGGGAGCAAGAATGCTCAGCAGCAAGGTTCAACATATGCTGGACTTGACTACGAGAGCCGAAGATCGCAACATCATCCGCAAAAAGAAGACAATTCAGAGGAATTGCATCAGACATACCAGGAGGACATACCAAAGTAGTACCAGCCGTAGCAGCAGAACGAAGGAGAGAAGGTAGAGAGTTGATGTACAAAGAGTACAAGTGCGGAGAGAGAACAGAGCCTTGCAGAACACCCGTGACAGGCTGAAAGGGAGTAGAAGAGTGGTTGGCTATCAGCACAGATACTTGTACGTCGTCAAACAAGTTGACTAGTAAAGCAAGCACAGGCCGAGGTAGAGAGGAGCGAGCCAGTACATCCCAGATGACACGTCTGTCGACAGTATCATAAGCAGCCTTGATGTCAAGAAAAGCAACAACAGGACGGCGACGGTTGGTTAGAAAGTAATCATGCATCAAGTCATGCAAGCATAGAGCTTGATCCAGAGTGTTGTGAACATATATGAACTCATATGCATAGATCAATAAATGATGATCATGGCAAAAGACCAGATCACATCTATGGCAATTGCAATGGATCTATAGTCACTGACATTCACTCATTCTACTAGAAGTACTACATCATCCTCATAGTCAGAGATTATGAACCTAGTGACTCTGTTATTATTAATGGCCCTCATAAAGTGACAGTTAGAGCTGACAAATACATTAGCATTGGCATTTGACAAATATGTAATAGTTTATTCAAGTTCAGGTCAGATCATGTACTATTGGCTGAGCTAACAACTTCCTCTAAAGGCATTTCTCTTAATTACTCCTGATCTAACAAATCAATCCGTAGTCAAGAAGCTAACCCAAAACAATATTTTGACCGAGAAGAAAAAGTATAAATACCTTGACATTTTATAGCAATTGAAGGACAACATTTTTCTTGGAGAAATAAAAACCTATACAAGTTCTAACGGACTTTCTCTGTGTTCTTACCTTTTCTCTTATTGAATATCTACTCTCTCTTCATCTCACAACATTTTTTTCCGTTAGAACTTGTATATCCTACAAGATGAACAACTCTGGTAACTCTGGTAACTCTGGTAACTCTGGTAACTCTGGTAATTTGAAAACATTACCAACCTTGATGTCTCCTCTTTGACTATTGGACCTTCTGCTGGAACATTGACTGATGCCCAGATGGATGAGTCGATTGATCAAATACTTAGTGAAGCATCAACTGTTAGCTCGGCTGCAAGTCCTGGCCAAGACTACAGAATGGTAGAAGAAAACCTCGCTATGCTGCGAAACGAAATGGCATCTACGTTGAGAGCTTTTGGCACTGCTAGGAGCCTAAATGATAGTGCCGCAGCCGATAGAGCACTCCAAGAAGTGGAGCGCATTAAATCGAGCATCCGCAGCTTAGACGAATATAAGTCTATGGTGTTGAAGATTGATGGAGCTGCAGAGCCTACCGGCTTCCAAAAGCAAAATGTTTCCTCTAGTGCTAGCGTTGGAGCTGTTTCGAGTGGCCTTTCTTTGAGTCGCCGGGATTTGCCCAAATATCAGTTACTAGCCAACTCACATAGACCCTTTCCTAACGAAGAGGCTTTTGAGTCGGATGAGCACTTTCTACGTACCTTTGAGAATGTGGTATACTCTTCCTCACAGGATATTGAAGCCGTGTGGAAAAGATACATTCCATTGTGTCTTCCGTATGGAGCGGATGCCTGGGCCCAGACTAACTTGAAGCGCTGCGGATCCTGGACTGAAGCAAGAGAAGCATTTAAAAAGCACTTTGGTTCGAAGTTCAAGACTAGGGAGTATAACACTCAGGTGTTTACTATGACCATGAAGAACGATGAACCCATTGGCACATACACCAATCGCTTTCTTCAAACTGTTTACAATGCTGGCATACCGAAGGATGATCCTCGAGTAGCTGATCGTTTTCTTGCTTCTCTGACTGCTCCTGTACAGACTTTGACACGTCTGGCGTGTATGAATACGTTGGGTAGACAGACAGAAGATTCTTCGAGTTGGACTGTGGAAAACATAGCCGATGTCGCAAGAGATGTGTTGGGTGATGATGCGTCCAAATATACTACGTCTACTTCCTTGTTGCCTGGTGTGGCAGGGCTGAGTCATGCTGTTGGTGTGAACCCTTTGGGTCATGCTAAGAGACATGCTAGAACGATAAGAACGCA